TCGGTTGTTTCCGTGAACGGCCGACTGTTGTGTGACGGCAAATGCTGCGGCCGCAAGGCATTGTGGGGCAGCATTTTCTCCTCTCCTTTCGGTTAGGGAGGTCCAGTGGTTCCTAGGCTAAAGGAGGTTATAAAGGAAGTTTGAAACCTCCTTTCCTTTTAATTTAGAGAATTCGAACGGCACTTATCATGGCTGCCACTGAGGGACTTCCGGGTCATTTCACTCCGTTAGGAAGGTTCCTAAGCTAAATGGACTATTCGAATGCAACCCAGGACTAAGTCTCGAGGATAGGAGTCGAGGATAGGAGTCGAGGAGGGGAAATTAGAGTATTGAGAAGCCTCTTGTGTTTACATTAGCAAGCATCCTAACACTCAGAGCTAACCTGGGTTGCGTTCGAATACTCCAAAAAAACAGCTCCTAAGTTCTAACCCTATCGTCTATTCCTTGACCTCGGAGTGAAACGTCATGGGGTTAAGGGATAGTGGATAGGAGAATTCAAAAGGATTTAGGAGAAGAGACTGCGGCACTTTAGAGAATCCGACTGCACTTTCACTATCCGACGTGTTTATGATGCGCCAGCAGAGGTCATAAATGTGCGCCTGCTGCTGTGGGGAAACTATGGAAACTACAGTTTTCTATACAGCGGACTACAACAGGGATGTTTAATAAGAACGAGGGACTACTGTAAACTCATCTAGAGACTCTGCACCGTGCTCTGATGCTGTTGTTTTATGCTTTATGAACGGGGACAACAGAGAAACATATTCTTCATGACCAAAGTTGGAATTGAAATAAAAAAGGAAAGTGAAACTTATGCTCGTCACCCTCTCCCTCCGGTCCACATTAATACAAATGATCCCAATACATATGATTGTATGAAAAGATCTTAAAATCAATACAAATGTATTTATTATAAACGTTAGTCCTTAACATCTATCACTGTGTATATCACCATTCAAACATCTTTTAAAAGTTGAACAAACCCCACACAGCTCAGTAAAGACTGTGAAATGTTGACTTTATTTGATCATTTCAGTAAAAACTAACGTTCATATTTCTCTTTTTGATTATAATACGGATGAACGTTCAAAACAAAGCACTTTGGCAACTTACCACATACGTTTTAAAATGCTTAATAAGCACCGTAACTTTCATGATATAATTTCTCGTTCATAATCGGTTGTTTCCGTGAACGGCCGACTGTTGTGTGACGGCAAATGCTGCGGCCGCAAGGCATTGTGGGGCAGCATTTTCTCCTCTCCTTTCGGTTAGGGAGGTCCAGTGGTTCCTAGGCTAAAGGAGGTTATAAAGGAAGTTTGAAACCTCCTTTCCTTTTAATTTAGAGAATTCGAACGGCACTTATCATGGCTGCCACTGAGGGACTTCCGGGTCATTTCACTCCGTTAGGAAGGTTCCTAAGCTAAATGGACTATTCGAATGCAACCCATGGATGTATAATAAGAACTGGATACAGCGTGGGAGGCGGGGCCTCATTCATTCCTATGAGAGTTGCTCAATCGCGCATGATGACAAAATGGCCCAACTTTTGAGAGAGCGAAACGTCACAGATTACCCGGCATGCCTGAGAAGTACCCGTATGTGCGCTCATAGCGCATGCGCAACTTTAAACATGCCCCCCAAAATGCTCGTTCACATCAAGCACGTCAATTTGCGTACACGTAACAGCACCGCGCGTTCATGACAGCATGGTAATGGGTTGTTATGATGGATTTGATATTAACGACGAGGCGGCAGTTAGCAGCTAGCGGCTAGCTAGTAATTATGCTAATTTACACATCAGTCGTTATGTACTTTTATATTACGCTGATGTAACAGGATCTAGTGATATCCAAGCAACAGAGCTTAATTTAGCATGATACTTGTGTGGGTTGTAGCCTACATGAAACCACTTGGTAATATATAAAAATATATGTATTTTGAGTTATGATCAATTGTGATTTAAATCTTTATCATTGTTCATTGTATATGTAAGTTATTTATATGTATGTAAGTTTTGTCTCGTGTGTATGTACTGTTTGTGATCGTTGTTGTGTCCTCACTCGTGGCCTGCACCTTGACGTGGTGAGTGGGCTTTAAACTAAGACAGGCCATTTATGTTTGAAATATCATGCTAACAAACCTGCAATTACAGAATTGAATGATAGTGGTTATATATGTTCATGTCTTGCTGACATTATTTGTTATCCTTTTCCGCATAGCCTCTCAGATGGATTCCTGTTTCATCTGTTGGTGTGCCACTGTCCAGTGTCTGCCGGCTGGCTCCCTCTCAGAAAAGTGCCATCTTCTGTCAACAGGAAGAACTGAGCCTCCCAACCAGCATTCTGACCATGAGTCTGACTCACTAAATGAAGCTCAGCGCAAGTTCTTTCAGGAAGACTGGGTATGTATACATTCACTCCGCAGCTGCTTATAATCAGCTCATCACAGGCGTTCTCTTTAACCTATTACATTCACCTCATTCTCCAGCAGCCAATCACCGAGCTGCAGCCAAACTTTAAAATGGTTCTCCTCTCTCCTGCAGTCAGCTGTGATTTCAGGTGTTCATGCTGCCGCCCGCCTCCTCCCCATCCACCTCCTCCCCATCCACCTCTTCTCCACCCACCTCCGTTCATCATATCCAGAGCCAGGAGAGCTAATCCAAAGACCTCATCACACCTCCTCTTCATCCCATCTCCTCATCAAATCCAGATCTTCATCATCATCACCAGTGTCTAGACCCCGGGGAGGTTCCCTATATGCTCACGGCTGCATTTCCCCCTTTAGATATAAGATTTCAGGATCGGGGTCTAATCGCCAAAGACTTAACATTTATCATATGACATGTGTCAATAAATGTTCTTTAAACAAAATGAAGTCTCTCCTGATTTAACTGTCTGGACCCCATCCTCAACTTTTTTTCAAACCACAACATGCCTTCAGAGGGCTTTCCTGTTGATCATAATTGGTGGATCTTTTAATCTAATAATTGCAATCAATATTATATATATTACCTTTTGATCTATATAAATTGTATTTACATTTGTTGTCACTATTTTTTCCACCTAGTTCTACAATGCCAGCCATAAGAGGTATACATTTCTTATTTTTGTGAATTTCTATATAAAATGCTGATTTTCTACCTGAAAATGCTTATGTATTTTTAATTACATTTTCGTAGAGCTTTGACTTTTTCAGCTGAATAAATATTATAACTAGATGGTTTTGTTCAGCATTGCCAGCTTCACTTTTGAGCTTTATGTTGTGCCCAGCATTCTCCTGTGCTCTGAAATCAAAATGTGGATAAGCATAACACAACACTAAAATAAACACTACAATACAACTTGTTATTTGACACACACAAGGTTGTTCATTTGTGTGTATAAATATAAAACACAGGCTATATATATATATATATATATATATATATATATATATATATATACATATACAAGTATAATTAATACAACTGTTAATTTGATTAGAGCTTTGACACATATATCTTTATTTATATATGTATAAGTATGACGACTTCCTCGGGCGATATCATGGTATAGCTAATTAATCTGGGTCAAAACGTGTTGTGCCCACATGCAAAGGTTGTAAACTCTGGTTTATCCCTGCGTGGTATTATAGTAATAGCAAACAGCAACGTTCAACTCCTTTAATGGTATATTGCAAGTGCAATAAGAAGCTACAGGGACGTTAATCTACGTCGGTAATATTAACTTTATTTAATACAAGATTTACATCATACAGCCCATGTAGTATAATATTTTACAAATGATGAATTACAGCAAACATGTGCAATATATCCATTATTACAGCTCCGTGGGCTGGCAGTAAGGCGATATGGGTCCGTTCTTATCCATGGGTAAAGATAAACTCATGTGGTGCTGAACACGTCACATCACATGAACGTGCCGGGCGGCGCGGTCCCGTGGGTTAGATGCGCGTTCATAATACAGAGGGAAATAACTCTCAGAATAACGTTATTAGCACATTTTTACAACTTGAGGAACGAATGTTTTTAATAAGGGCTATACAAGTGTTCATACTGGGTAGTTTATTTAGTTTAAAAAAAATTATCCAACGAGTTACAGACCACTCTTTCCCCATGTAAGTCAATGGGAAAAAGTGTTTCCGGGCCTGGCAACCAAAAGGAAGTGTAGTACCGCCGTTTGGCCAGCACGAATATTTTCATCAGAGTCCGGCGCACTTCCTGGGGGCTTGATGCAACCCTGGAGAGAGTAGGCTAGCCTATGTGTAAAAAAGCAGGAAATAAAAAAAGGAACTCACCTTGTGGTAAACCCGCAAGAGAAAAAGCATTTGAGCTCCATACTGTTTCAGAAATAATCCTTAATAAATAATATGATATGGCATGTAATCACGGCAGCATTTATAATTCTGAGCAGGCACAAGCTCCCCCTCCTCTTTTTTTTTTTCAAGCTAAGGACCCTGAACCTGCAGTTCTCTAACAGGCTGGAAATAGAGGGATATGAGGGATTTCTAAAATGCATGATCTGTTTGGTATTTTGAGCAAAACACATAATTGACATATTTTTTATATATTTGTATCTGAGACCCATAATATATGCCTAAAGAGCATTCAGACCATCATCATGTAAGGACACTGAGACAAAATGCAGGGAATGAATTAAACATGCATATATATTACTTCATCTGCATTACTTGCACGTTGGTCTTGCAACATAATCTGCACCATTATATTCTAATCTACTGTTTCCTTTTACACTTTTTAAAAAGAAAATCTGTTTTATGTCCTATAACTACGTTGCAATGTTGGAGGAGCTTGGGACTTAAGATTTTCATTGCCATTACTACACTGTAGCCTCTATGCATATGACAAATGTAGTCTTTGAATTTGAATTGAATTTGAATTGAATTTCGATGATAACACCATACAACACAAACGCAGAATGCTGCAGTACATAAAGTGGCCTGCGCGCTCACGATGCACGTTCACGTCATACACACCGGTGGGAGGGGTTTGCAGTGGAAAGCATATAGCGTCGCAGCTCCTCGCCCACCTGGCAATACTCACTCACTCGGACCGCATTGTAGGACGCCGTGAGAAGCTACTGACGAAACTAAAGCCAACTGCACGTTTCTTTTCTTTTAAAGGAAATCCCACTAAGAAGCAACAATGGTAAGTCTTATATGTTCTGTTTTGGTTGGAGAAACATTCCACTTGGAAGTTGCGTTTGTTTATCTCCTCGAACTGAGTCGATATTCGCTGCGCAGTTTGGTTTTACATAGTGCGTCAGTGATTCCGCAGTATTCGGATGCAGTTAAACATGTGCGATGTAGCAACTCTGAAATGCTTCCTCTGCGCACTCATGTCGCAGCACTCTTGTGTCAAACATAGACTGAAATAGACTCGACCGGCAGTAAAGCTGAGCTGGCTGCTCGCTTGGATTAGCAGGTGGTGATGACCAGTCTGTATATTTTCAGTAAGGATTATTCATTAAACATCGATGATACATAATAGTTTAATTGTTTTTTTGAATTATTTTTTGAATAATCAAGTATTTTTTTTAGATTTGGTGACCTTCTCTAAATAATTGTATTATCTGTATAGTGTTTTGTTCTAGGTAAAAGGTTCATTAGGTGTGCCATATGCGTCATAAGGAAATTAAGGTGTGTCTCACAAGTCAGTTCAGATTGAGACACGTATTTCTGCAGGGCAGGAAAAGAAAATGTCCCTTAAAATTCAAACAGCCATGGTAACATGGCTTTCAACATCAACACCATATAAAAAGTTGCTTCCATACTGCAGAGGGTAAAGCCACTTGTTATTCATAGTTAAAGGGGACAAATGGCTAATCCAGGTCATATAAAACAAAGATAACCTTGCAGGCACTGTAAATGGTGGAGTTGATTGATCACTTTCTGACATGCAGCAAAGTCTCATGTCTGTCAGGAATTGAACTTCCAAACAGACACACAACATGCTACTACCCCCTGTTCTGTTTGCACAGTGCAGTATAAACACAGGTTGTTGGCATTGTCAGTACTGTGTGCTTAGAAAAACAAAATGGTATCACAGTGCAGGCTACTAAGTAGCCTATACCCGCCCTGGTCAAATATTCCTGACAATGTAGTTCCTGTATTGTTCATTGTTTAAAGATCACATCTAAAAACTACTCTAACAATAACTGCAAATAACAATTTATGCATAAACGTAGGTTCAAAAGTTAAATGAATTTACACGACTTTCCCACACCACAATGATTTTATGATTGGCATCCATGCTTGTAGTACAATAGTTGGCTTCAGAATGACTCATCAGAACAAGTCATGACACATTACAGTAAATTCAAAAGAAGTGATTACCGGTACATTGGCAGCAAATCGGTTACAGTTTTGTATAAACTGACCTAGCTGCCAATAGTTCAGTTAAACGTTTTGGTTAACTATCCATCTTTAGAATGTTGCTTTTAAAATGATTTTCAACACATTTTCTAGTTTAAGCTGCAAAAGAAGCCAACCAGGCTTTATTGGGTTGGTCCACATCGATTGCGTAAGACTGTGGCATCACCACAGGAAAGACCAAAGGGTTGTCTATTATTCATCAGCGTTCATCCTTGCCTATTAATATCATCAAATCATATTGCATTCATTTACAGTATACACATGTAATCATTGATTCTAAAGCACTAGGGGAAAGACATTTATCTTGCAAAATGGATCACAGCAAGCATGAAGAGTTGGTATGACACCCATACAAGTCCATCCAAATTAAAACATGTCCAACAAGTCTTCTTCAGTCCTCCTCTTTGCACCTATTTATCATCCTCCTCCTTATCAATGGGGCCTGTAGATGTCAACAAATCCAGGTCGAGACAAAAAAGGTGTTGGACAGGACAATCAACCAACGAAGGCAATAAAGAATAAACTAAATGACTAAGAAAGCAATATAACAACATGTAAACATCCATCATGGAAATAGTTAATGTCTATTTTTGCTTTAAAGCATGGTTTCATATGTATCATCATAAAAAACCCTTGGCAGTTTTGATGTAGAACATATTCCTTTAGAGGATTTTCCATCCTTCTCTTTTTGGTACATTATCTAGTTTCCAGTTATAGAAGCAGAAAGGCGATTGGGTATCTAGGGATCTCTGTTCCCATTTCTGCTGACCTGAAAAAACCTTATACCAAATTGATTGCTTTTCAATCTCTTACACTGTTCAGTCATGTACAGTGCTCATTATATTGAGTAGTTTTAGTCACCAACAAACTAGAATTTCAAGTCTATCTGGCCACAGACGTACCCTTATTAACGTCATACACACACCCTGACAGAGACAAGTGAAGTTCAGCAGTTTGAGACTTCCTTGCCTTTAATTATTAACTGAAGCCTTTTTATGCCTGGGTGTTAAAATATACTATCCCAGCATTCAAGTAAGAACATCAATACGACAGAAACTCTGTAGCTTTTTTACGTTTTATCCTTTTCAGCTTAAATGATAAAGAAATTGTTTTCCGATTGCAGAAAACTTTCACCACATGTGGTACAAAATGTGACCACTATTTTTGGGAATGCCTATCCTTGTTTACTGAAACTGAAAGCCTTTGCTGCTAGGTGTCAGGTTAGGATCCTAAAACAGCTGCTTCACATAACTCTGCTGAACTGGAAGCACAGGTCCAGTGTAAGGAGGGTCACCTTTGCTTTGGAAAACTTCTGATGATAACGTTTAAGATTATTATATCTAAAAATCCTTTGATCAACATGGATTAAGTGAGAGATTACAGCATCTAAAATGATACAGGTTCCCCCAGCCCTAAATCACCAGCACCTCCTCTTGTCTATCTGATCATTGAGAAGGGGAAAGTTGAGGGAAGGATTTAAAAATAGCAGCCTGACGTAAAAGTAAGGTGGGGCTTTATAGTATGTCAATGTTTGTACTGTTTTATAGAATGAAAAAAGGCATATAAAAATGGGTTTTACAATGCTTACTCGTATCTTAGACTTATAGCAATTTTAAGAAATCACTTCAGGCTCTAGTAACTTATTTTTAGTTAATCCAACATATTGTACACATGACAAATAAAGTATCTTCACACTGATACAAATATACAAAATCCAGTATTGCTGTGAAACAGCCTGTCTCATTGATTTTAAACATTGTTTCAAGGTGTATACTATCACATTACCCAACACTATTCTGAGTCTGTCTCAGATAAGCAAGACAAAGCTTAAGCCTTTACTTTTAGAAGGCTTTAATTTACATGTGAGCTCTTTGTTGTTCTGTTTCATTAAGCCAAACAGTAATAAATTACTACTTTCTGGGCAAAGACTGAAGGGAGAGGCTACTGCAAATACACTAATACTTGTAAAACATTTTGGAACCCTGCGACTTGTTCAGGTGGCTTATGATTTAATCAGTGTTTTTATTTAATGGTCTTCAGAATTGTTGGATAAATGTGTCAATACTGCTTAGCTACCAGTCCCTTATTTCAAAGCCCTGGAAGAACTTTCTTTATCCCTATGTTTCTGTTAGTTTAAAGTTTATTGTTGACTACTGCATGTTGAGGAAACACACCTACACACAGTGTGTAGGCATAGTATTTTGCAATTGTTTGGTGATTCTATTGGTGGTTTCTTTTTTTATTTGGGTCATCCGGTTGTAGGAATGTTAACGCCAGTTGTACTCTGAACTCAACCTCCCTTCAGCTTATGACTCTAGCTCACAGACAGTCACATGAGAGCCAGTGACAGCTGCAGCAAATCTTTTGAGCTTGTTCTTTCAACTTCACCTTCTTTCCACCCAGTGCTGTATCTATTTGCTTCCACCTAGTGGCTAGGTTAATAAATTGCTCCTTTTTATTCCTTAAATATAACATTGATTATAATTTTAAAGCTTTTGGCTCACTGGGAAAGACCAAAACACTGTTGCTTAGCAATTATTTTTCTTCCTCCACTGTCCTTTCCTCTGCCATATATTCTAACTTCTTTACTTTTTCTCTTACAGCGTGAATGCATCTCTATCCACGTAGGACAGGCCGGTGTCCAGATGGGCAACACCTGCTGGGAGCTCTACTGTTTGGAACATGGAATCCAGCCGGACGGCAAGATGCCTGAAGTGAAGGCCATCGGAGGCCATGATGACTCCTTCACCACCTTCTTCAGCGACACTGGGTCTGGGAAGTACGTCCCCAGAGCCATCTTTGTGGACCTGGAACCAACTGTCATTGGTAAGAAGGGTTATGAGCTTGTAATGTTTTGAGTTATCAGTAATGTGCGTTTTAAGGAAATGGTAGTAGTAGTTCTTTCAGTATAAAAAAGTGATTCTAGTCAACCATCATTATCCGTAGACATTGTTCATTCAGTTGTCTGTACATAGAGGTTATATTTAACTATTTTTTTGTTCAGAGTCAGAAACGGTTTTATTGCCAGGTAGGTTCACACATACGAGGAATTTAACTTGATGTCAAAAAGTACACAGATGGCAAACGAAGAACTCTGTAATAAAAATATAGCAATAAAATAAAGCAGTAATTTACATCGAAATAGAATGCAATAAATTATAGAATATAAAATATGTGCAGTAAGCAATATTTAAACATTGTGTGCATTAATGTAATGCATATAGAGTCTGCGTTGTGGCTGAGGTGAAGTGTCAGTGGGGGGGGGGGGGGGGGCCTTGTTGATGAGGCCGGTAGCAGAGGGGAAGAAACTGTAAAGGTGGCGAGAGGTTTTGGTCCTGATGGAGCGCAGCCTCCTGCCAGAGGGGAGGGGGGTGAACAGTTTGTGTCCAGGGTAGGAGGGTTTAACTATTCTTAGTGTGAAGTTGGGTCCTTTTTTACCTTCATGGTCAACCAAACCATAAAAATGTCCATCTTCATGGTGTGAAAGCCCAAATAATATGTTGCCTTGGTCAGTCCTTGCAATTATTTATCCAATAATAGCAATTTGATGACAGATTTCAAATTTGTATTCTCAACTTTTCTGTTATTTCCTAGATGAGGTGCGTACAGGAATGTACCGTCAGCTATTTCACCCGGAACAGCTGATCTCCGGAAAGGAAGATGCAGCCAACAACTACGCCCGTGGACACTACACCATCGGCAAGGAGATCATTGACTCTGTCCTGGACAGAATCCGCAAACTGGTAAGGCCCCTTAATGGTAGTTGTCGGAAATGATTAGTTTAAAAAAACCATTCAGATTTGGCTCTCCTTCCTATGTCCACGAAGACCCATTAAAATATACCACCCAACTTCTGTGTTTCACGACCCAATGCTGCCTTTGCAGTAAGCCAGAATTCTTCACAAACCAATGAGAGCAGACTGGGCTTTTTCTATCGGGAGGAGGGCTAAAAGTGACATGCGCTAAAACGGAAGGTTTCAGAAAGAGGCAGAAAACCGTTATATTTGTATTGTACGAACTGTGTTTAACATTAAAGCATGTAAACATGTTCTAGTAGAAACCCAAAATAAAAGTATGAACCTGAAAATGGCAAACTAAAGATTTAGTTTTATGATTATACACATCAGTATAAATGCGGTGCAAAGAAATGCTTTGTTATTTGTTACTGTTTTATTCAGTCTTTGTCATTTCTTTCACTGTGTCCTTAGGCTGATCAGTGCACGGGTCTCCAAGGCTTCCTGGTCTTCCACTCCTTTGGTGGAGGCACAGGCTCTGGTTTCACCTCCCTGCTCATGGAGAGACTCTCCGTTGACTTTGGAAAGAAGTCCAAGCTTGAGTTTGCCATCTACCCGGCCCCCCAGGTTTCCACAGCTGTGGTTGAGCCTTACAACTCCATCCTGACCACCCACACCACCCTGGAGCACTCCGACTGTGCCTTCATGGTAGACAACGAGGCCATCTACGACATCTGCCGCAGAAACCTAGATATTGAACGCCCGTCTTACACCAACCTGAACAGGCTCATCAGCCAGATTGTGTCTTCAATCACAGCCTCGCTTCGCTTCGATGGAGCCCTGAATGTCGACCTCACGGAGTTCCAGACCAACTTGGTGCCCTACCCTCGTATCCACTTCCCTCTGGCCACCTATGCTCCAGTCATCTCTGCAGAGAAAGCCTACCATGAGCAGCTGTCCGTAGCTGAGATTACAAACTCTTGCTTTGAGCCAGCCAATCAGATGGTGAAGTGTGATCCTCGTCATGGTAAATACATGGCCTGCTGTCTGCTGTATCGCGGTGATGTGGTGCCCAAAGATGTCAACACAGCCATTGCTGCCATCAAGACCAAACGCTCCATTCAGTTTGTGGACTGGTGCCCCACAGGCTTCAAGGTGGGCATCAACTATCAGCCTCCAACAGTGGTCCCCGGTGGAGACCTGGCCAAGGTGCAGAGGGCTGTGTGCATGCTGAGCAACACCACAGCCATCGCTGAGGCCTGGGCCCGTCTCGACCACAAGTTTGACCTCATGTACGCCAAAAGAGCCTTTGTCCACTGGTATGTTGGGGAGGGCATGGAGGAGGGAGAGTTCTCCGAGGCCAGAGAAGATATGGCTGCCCTGGAGAAGGATTATGAAGAGGTTGGGATCGATTCCTTTGAGGAGGATGAGGAAGGAGAGGAATATTAAATGGGCTAAGCTTGCATTTGCCAGTTATTTTTCCATTATTCTCTTAAGATAATATGAAAGAAATACAACACATTCTGCATGTTTGTTTTTAATTCAGAAATATGCATTGGTTTTTATTTTAAAATTCAACTTTCTTATCAATAAACTTCTTTGTTGTGCCATCAAATGCTGTGTGCTTTGTGTCAATCTGTTTTATTAATTTGTTTTATCAAAAACTCAGAACAATGTTGAATTACCCAATTTGTTTGAAACGTGTTGTTGCTATAAATCTTTCCCCAAAATATATTGCCTTTTTTATTTGTTGGCTTTGTGTATGCTTCAGTACGTATGCTGTGATATTTAAAACACTTGTTGGAATGTCTGTAGTTTTAGAGTTCAGTTAAATCCATCTTATGAAGCCATTTTTCTACTAAATTGCATGCCTGAGGAAAAAATCTTCAATATGCTGATCTTATTCAATAATAACTTTAAAATCAAGAATTAATCAGATCTGTATAACAGCTCGCGACCTCACACTTATTCCTAGCATATTGTTACATACTTTAACCCTTTACCCCCCTTACTTTGGTGTTCGTGGTCAAATCTGACCGGTCCTGTTTTAACTGCTACACAAAAACCATTAATCACCAAATTTCATTTAACACCCTTTCAAACTGTAAATATTGTATCGGGACTACTGGTATACATGAAGAACTGCAGTAAATATACAAAGAATAGACACTGAACAATAACATGTATTGCGTGTGCCAGGTGTGATTCGATGGGGGGGATGGGTACATAAGGGGTGGGGAACACATCTTGGCCGTTTCTCAATCGCGAGGATGCTGGCTTGGTAGCACAGCCGAGCCGAGCATCTTGCTTCAGAAGCAAGGCAAGAATACTTCCTGCTATTCGGAAAACGAAGAGTGGAACAGGCTTTTGATTGATTGATTGATTGATTGAAAAGTTTATTAACAGCTTGTATATTGGGTACAGTACAGTACAGCTCAAAACATACAATTGTTAAGGGGATGCAGACCAGAGAAAGACTTTCGTCTTGTTTACATCAGGGTCCCCCATTTCCAATTCATCATATCATTTAAGACATATAAGACATATTTGACATACAGATGGCTTATTTACAATTTACATACAGGTGGTTTTTTACATACAGATGGCTTAAATGGCTAGCAAGTGTGCAGGTGTGCGTCATATGAGAGGCCCCGCCTTACATCTTCCGCCACAGATTTGGGGAAATTGGTCCATGCGCCAAGCATTGTGGGGATTTTAAGGACGCGAAGTCTACCCATGTGCAGCCTCGACATTTCCCCCAAACCAAGGACGCGGCCTCGGTGGAATTCCATGTATGCTGGAGATTGGAACAGTCCTTCGGCGGCACTCGATGACGTAGCATCCTTGAAATATTGGCTTGGAAGCCAATATCCTCGCGATTGAGAAACGGCCCTAGTGTATGTGTGTGTTTTATCTGATCCGGATGGTTACTAATTCCTTTTCTTTATTGCGGTCATTTTTGACCGGAAACACCACCATGGGTGTTACAAAGTTGACTAAATTATCCAAAATTCAATGAAAGTGGTGGTCAGCAATTGTTCAAATGTCTACTGTGAAGGATATCAAGACTTAATGTAATCGAATGTAAAACAAAAAAGTTATGATTGATGAAAGTAGTAAATCGGTCAGATTTGACCCGAACACAACAGGAGGGTTAAATAACTTGTAGGTATCATCATTGGGAGTGGAACAACTGACTATCAATAGCAAACGTTTATTCGACTGTACAAAGCATAAACTCAATTTACACAATTCTTGTAAATACTCGCTTCAGATGAATTCTGGTAGGCCTATTACAGAGTATTTCTCTGCCTCCCGCTTGGTGCATGCTGGGTACGTTTTGAAACCTTAGAACAGCTCTTATGACAGTCCTTGTCCCAACTTTAATAATAGTCATCGCTGTAAATGATACATGATGTATGCAACACAATACAGTCTCATCTGGATATCGATATTATTTGCTATTCCTGTCCGATATGGAGGCGCCATCTACTGGAGATTGTTGAGGCGAGGCTGGGCTGATATCTCACGAGGGCAGAGGTCACTTAGCGAGGTATGTAACAGCTAAATTATGTTAGCTCAATTTGCTTGCTAACTTGCCATGGCTACACGCTGGGGAATATGCAGTGCAGGAAAAATAAGTCATGACTTATATACAGGGTTCCCGCGGGGTCTTAAAAAGTCTTAAAAAGTCTTAAATTTGATAATCTGAATTTAAGGCCTTAAAAAGGTCTTAAATATGACCAAAAAAATAAGAAAGGTCTTAAATATGATTTAAAGGTCTTAAAAATGATCGGATTTGAAAGGTACTTCTGTGTTGAGATCGCGTCTAAATGTGTTTTGGGGGAAATGTCCGGGCTGCAAAGTAACCAGTACGGTAAGAGCCTTTCAGTTCCCCCCAACAATTTGTATTGAAATAAATCAACATGGAACCAGTAATCACTAACTTTGTTTCCCCCGGCCCCTTATTGGAGAACACCCAGCTAGTAACCTAGCAAGCTTCAGCTAGCGGCAGTCAGAAACTCATGTATCTTAGAATCTACTTAAAAATAAATATGGGGAAGTGTAAGTTCAACCGTATTTGGTTGGAAAACATCGAATTTAGTGCTTGGTTGAAACCAGTGGAGGGGAACGTGTTTGAAGCCCGCTGCACCTTTTGCAAAAGAAAGTAGCGTATGCTAATGTAGCGTTAGCTAGTGCAGCAGCTCCTGCAACAACACCGGCGGACCTCTGGGCGACGTTTGGGTGTATGTCAACCCTAAAAGCGGAGGTGCCGTAGACGCTAAATACCGTAGCTAAACACCAATCATACAACAGCAACGATGAAAGATTGTAGCCAAGGCAGCAGAGCTCTGAATATAGCTCTTGTCGCTCTTGTCTCTCTCTCTCTCTCTCTCTCTCTCTCTCTCTCTCTCTCTCTCTCTCTCTCTCTCTCTCTCTCTCTCTCTCTCTCTCTCTCTCTCTCTCTCTCTCTCTCTCTCTCTCTCACTCACACTCACACACACACACACTAGGGCTGCTCGATTATGGCAAAAATCATAATCACGATTATTTTGGTCAATAATTGATATCAAGATTATTAAATACGATTATTCATTGACTTTGAAAACATCCATTTATTGAACTTTAAAACAAATAATAATTTGAACAGTATCTTTTTAACTGTTGATTACCCTGAACGTATAATTCAACTGCAAAACCAATACAAAAATAAATTAAATAAATTATACATTTAAATAAATAATATCAAAATAATAAATACCAATAAACAAGATCAACAAATATTTTGGAGCGCACTTCCACAAGCTACTAAACATATATAAATATGATAAATACAAATAAATTAGACTAAAATTAATTAGATCAAATATGTTGTAGTGCACTGTCACAACCGAGCAAAGCTAAATAATTTCGTAATTGTGGCAGGCCAAAATCGTAATTGCGATTTAAAATACGATTAATTGCACACCCCTAACACACACACAAGCACACACAGACACATACACTTTTTGTCTAACACGCTAACACAGTTCTGTTATGCCTTTACATTTACTTTGTAAGTAATTATGGGACGTATTTCTTCTTTCATAGCAATTTTCCTTCATACTTTCTTGCTGTGAAATAGGTCTTAAATTCTATTCAAAGTGGTCTTAAAAAGGTCTTAAAAAGTCTTAAATTTGAGTAGGTGAAACCTGCAGGAACCCTGTATATACACGGTGGCTTTACGGACCCTGGCTCACAAGGTAAGTGTCGAACTATAGTTCGTGTACTCCCAAAACCTTACACAAAGTGGGATTTTGTAAACATTCAAGGTGTGCTCTTTCTTTCTGAGCAAGTTATGTCAAGAAAGAAGGAAATAATTCATCATAAACTTGTAACTATCTACCGTTTTATCAATGTAACAAGTTTGAGTTTACAACAGGTTTGCACTATAAAGGCTACTTTATTCTGTTTACATGTACAGTATGTAACAGTGCTTCCCATAAAGGAAGAGGAAATGTTTGTTAGATTCACATCCCCTTCCCACAAAAGCAATTAAACATGGTTACTTTGTATCACCACTCCTGGTTTTCTTTAGCATCACTGAGCAGCAGGGAGTATGTATCCAGAACTGTTTGTGGCAATGATTACAATGATATCTCTAGGTTTATGTTTTAATCCTTAATTAAATGATGGTTGCTCCTGCATTTCTGCTCACGTTTTAATTTGTATTCAAATGTTGGTAAATACAAAAATCAGGTTTGCTGCATTACTAAAACTATGTATATGTTTATGTATGCACCATGTACACCAAGGCAAATACCTCGTATGTGTCAACCTACTTGGCAATAAACCTGTTTCTGATTCTGATGTGTTCATCCTCAGATAGTGGCTGTTGCAGCGAGGGATGTGAAACATGCTGAAGAATTCGCTAAAAAGCACAACATCCCACGAGTATATGGGAGTTATGATGAGTTGGCAAAAGATCCTGACATGGGTGTGTTCTTCTGTCAGCATATGGCTTTTCCTTTTGGTCTGAATTAAATCAAACTATTCCACTCAGCAGAAGTTTCTTCAAACTAGTCAATTAATCTCTAACAGCTCCAAGAATGCTAGTGGTTGCTGCATTTCATGTCCTACTTGGAAGTGAATTCTTAAATCATTCTAAACACTACACTTGTTTTAGATGTGGTGTACATCGGCACCATCCATCCTTACCACCTGGCTACTGGCAAGCTCTTTATGAAGTCCAAAAATAATGTGCTGATTGAGAAGCCTTTGGCCATGAATTTAAGGGAGGTGCAGGAACTCATCAGTGCAGCCCAAGACAACAGTGTCTTTCTCATGGAGGTAACTAACTCATTAATTGCCAAAATCACATTTGCCATTGATCTGTTCAAACCATTCCATGTCTCTGTTCAGGCAATTTGGACACGTTTCTTTCCTGTAACCGTTGAAGTGAGGAGACTGCTGGAGCAGGGTGATGTTCAGATGGAGGGCTGATCTGGGGGCTCCACTCACACACACATCCCGCGCCTGGCTGATAGGAAGTTGGGAGGGGGGGCACTGCTGGACCTGGGCATCTACTGTCTGCAGTTTATCTTCGCGGTTTTCAACGTCGAGAGGCCTGAGTCCATCCAAGCAAAGGGGCATTGCATAGAGACAGGTGATTGTCTGCAGGAAGCCTATTCACTAAGCAAATATTAAATACAACGTATATTCTTGCATAGAAACCAGATGTCTTTTATATATATCATTACAAAACGTTCATTAAATCCTTTGTTCAGGTGTTGATGGAACAGCAGTTTTGGTCCTAAAGTTCTCGGGAAACAGACTTGCAATTTGCACATGCTCAATCACCATGATGCTGACCTGTGATGCAGTTATCACTGGAACCAAAGGCACCATTAAGGTAATGGCATGCAACAAGAAAAGTATAATCATTTCCATTGATTGATTGATTCCACACAGGACCAAACCAATTATTTTGACATTGTTATATTAGGTTATTGCTAGATAGAGGAATCACAGCCAAAAGTGTACATTTTTGCACCAATCTAGTTAACAGGAGTGGTAAAACATCTACTATTTAATTCAGATGTTCGTTTTCTAATGTGTTTTGCAGCCCCTGGTGCTTCTAGTTTGCCTATATAATTGTAGTCTTGTTGATTTATACATTTTTTGGATGTATGATTGATTTAAATGTTGGCTTGAGCTCATTGCTGTGGCTGTTTGTTAATGATTCATGAAAACATCATCAAAGTACTGCAGAAAATGAACTATCTACAAATATTTATCCACGGTGAGTTACATTATACTTTCAACATCAGATACCTGACTATATGTGGTGCCCCACATCCTTGGAGGTGAATGGAAAGGAGATGCAGTTCCCCCTGCCAGAGGCCAGCATGCTACTAAACTTCACCAACAGCACAGGACTACGATATGAAGCTGAGGAGGTCCGCCAATGTTTGCTGAAAGGTAGTATTCTATAATGCATATAAAACAGAACATGAGTAGCATTTTTTATTAATCTGGTAGTGATTGATCATCTTAATTTATTTACATTTTCAGTTATTTGCTATATCCAAATGTGAATGACAGATTTAAAGGGGACCTATCATGCAAAATGCACGTTTTGACGTCTTTTATACATAAATATGTGTCCCCGGTGTGTCGGGGAACTCACGCAGCGTCAGAAAATAAAACCCTCTCTCTTTTCCTCCGTACCCAAATCTCTAAAAACGGGGCTACAACGGAGTTGATCCAGATTTGCGTCCAATATGACGTAATATCGGAAATGTAGGCTGGCTTTACACCCATGGCCCTATCAGAAACGTTGCTATCAGAAACAATGCCCGACTGTTTTGGACGTAATATGGTCGATGCGTGTTTACATTAGCATCGCTAACACTCAGAGCTAACCTGTACTGCACAGCATGTGTGTGAAGAAGCAGGAAATAAAAAGGAACTCACCTTGTTGTATAACCGGCAAGAGAGAAAGCCTTTGAGCTCAATACTGTTTCAGAAATAATCCTTGATAATCCATGATATGGCGTTTCATCACCGCAGTATCTGCCGGTAGCATCTCCCGCATGAGCTCAGCCCCCTCCTTTTTTTTTTAATCAATTTCCTTTTTTTTTTTAAAGCTTTATACCCCAAATCAGCACTTTTGAAACAGGAAGTGAAATAGAGGGATATGAGGCATGGCTAGAATGGGTGATCTGTTTGGTATTTTGAGCAATACACTTAATAGACATGATTTTTATATATTTGTATATATCTGAGACCTATGCTATTGCCTAAAAATAGCATGATAGGTGCACTTTAAGATTGAAATAACTTATAACTAATGAAATGTAAAAAAAAAAAAAAAAAAAAATATTGAATGTTGATGGCCCTTGTTGTGTGGTGTCTTAATTATCCTTATTTATAGTTGCTTGTTCCCCTCTAGGACTGAAGGAGAGTCCTGGGATGCCGTGGGCTCACTCCAGCCTGATAGCAGAAGTTTTAGATGATGTTTTTGTACCTCAAAAAGAAAAAAGGAACAATTAGACTCAAACATCCTATCGATTGTATACCTTGTGATGGTTCTTGATGTTTTATGTGTGTTTACATTAACCTTACAGTGGCTTTCCCGTGAGGGGACAGTGTGATGATGGTTAGCCAGCATGCACAATAATGAATTATAGTAGGCTAAGCTTACACTAAAACCAAAGAAGACTAATTAAGTTAAGCCATCAATATGCTTTTTTTTGTTCCCTTTGTGTTCATCCTACTGTGACATGTGTAATAATAAAATAATACTAAGCTTGTCAATGGTTTTCATTTTTTGTATTTATTTTTTTCAAATATGTTGTACATTTCATCTAGTCTCTTGACGTTTTCTTACACTACACTCATGTCAAAAATATATCCGGGTTAGTTGTCATTGATTAAAATATAGAAATAAGTAGGCCCGCCTATTAGCCTACATTTCCTGAATTAATTTTTCAGAATTCACTTTCACTGCATGCATGTCACCGCTCGTTGCTCGGCAACTGTACAGACGCTTTTTACTCTTCCGGAAGTGCGTGGCTGAGGAAATATGGCGCACAGAGCAGTGCATATACCAGTGGTATGCATTGCTTCAATCGATTCGTTTACTGCATTGTTTTTGTCTATTTTCATCGCTTTTGCAGCATTTGAAACTGTGAACGCCGACAATGTGTTCAGTGCCAGCCACACGGCTACTGTACCCATCGCTGCCGCCAGGGATCTGCGGTAAGCTTCCTCACTCTACTCTTACTGTTAGCTAGCTACTCTTTGCTAACGTTACATTTGTATGTCATTTTGTATGTTTATGGTAAGTTTACTACGGATTCAGTTTCACGCTGTTCACCAAGGCTTTATTTTGTTATTCAGTTTGCCAGGCTTTAACACAAGTGTTGATTACCCCTGCACTGTTGTTGGGAGGCAGAGGTGTACCTGACTCCATTCAAAAACATACACGTTTAACGACTGATTCGGTATTATAACCATACTATCTTCGTAGACATATTCATGAATACAATTTACTAAACTACATTGTGTTGAAGTGAATTCCGGCGTATAAATGGTTCCTTAAGCAGCAACAGAATCTCTTATTTTCCGCCCTACATCGAGTGTATGAGTAACATAACACGTTGCTGACGTAAATGAGAATCTGGTCTCATCTGGCGACTGGCGAGGCTGAACCGAATATGGTGGGTTATCCAGAAATGATAAACTTCATAATGTCTGAAGACGAATCGAGTCGTATTTCTTTACTTGTGCATTTGTTTGCAACATGGCTGTAGTGTACTGTGCATATTGATCCAGCAGCTTGCAGTATATTCCACAATATCACGGTGAAGTCAGTTCTAGGTTGGATATTCGGCAGACGCCCCCTCTGGCGTAATAGGTCACCTCTTTTTAATAGACTTTAGTCAATCTTCTATTTTACATTAATGTTTCTATGATTCTTTTTTTAAACTCATGTTACCTTATGACTCCAAATCAATGCATCATTGTATTACTACACTGGAAAAGTAGAGCCTTCCTCGCATTTTAATACTTTTTCTATCTTTTTGAACGAAAAATCAGCAGGTTTTGTCTTGAAACTCTTGGATTTTTTCAATAGCTTTTATGTCATGACTCATGAGACAAATTGACTCAATATCAATCCACCATTGTATTACTACACTGGACAAGTAGGGCACCTCCTTTCATTCGATTTTGGTGCTTTTTGGTTATAAATTAATATTTAAATTTTAATTGAAACCTCTTGGACTTTTTCAAGGTTACTTATGCCTGACTTTCCTCTTTAGCTTTTATGTATAATGTCATGGCACTATTTTGTTTGTGTAATCGTTTCAGTGTATGCTTATTGTATCTATGATCATTTCCTGTTGAACAGTTGCCACAATTCAGTTCTATCAACAACAACCCATCGTAAATGTTGGAACAGGATGTGAACTGCCTGTGAACTGTTTACATAAACCACACATTTAAAACATAAGAAAGATGGAATAGATTTCTAGAAATCTTTACATTATCGGTACATAAATAACCTAGACGTAAACATAGTTGAAAGGTACAATAGACATTTTGTTGTATAGACACATTTAAATCTGAATCAAGGTTGCTTGATTACTTAATATGCTAGATTTGATGTAGACGATTAGCCTTCACTCTTGTTTTCACTAACCAAAGCGCATGATGCTGCTTTTCATCCATCCAAAACATTTTAAAACTTCACGTGTTCACTTGTCATCACAGGTACCTCCTTTACGATGTGAACCCCCCGGAGGGTTTCAATCTGCGGAGGGATGTCTATATCCGCATGGCCTCCCTGGTGAAGACTTTGAGGAAGGAAGGGGATGACTGGGTGTTGGTGTTGCCCCCATGGGGTCGACTCTACCACTGGCAGAGCTCAAACATCCATCAGATGCGCATCCCATGGGGGGAGTTCTTCAGCCTCACCAGCCTGCAGGTCAATGTGCCTGTCGTTGAGTTTGAGGAATTCATCGCTGGTGAGCTTTTTGTCTTTGACCTGGAATAGAGTTACATTTTCTGAAGGTTTTGATCTGTCTTGTCTGTGAACCTATTGAAACCCCATCACTTTATGGTTAAAAATGTTTTTTTTCTTTTTTCTATACTTTAAATAATAAATATTAATAGTTGTTTTTCAAAATGCACATTCATCACTGTTTTTATAAGGGAGTGCTCCTTAGCTCAGATTAAGTGTGCCAAATGCCAATGAATGTGTTTTGTTTCTCTTTTGGATCTAGAAAACGGAGGCCCTTTCATAGACCAGGTTCTGGTATTGCAAAACTACGCTGAGGGATGGACTGATGGGAAATGGGAGGAAAAAGTTGATGAGCGGCCATGCATTGACAAGTTGATGTACTCCAAAGATAAACAGGGCTACTACAGGTAAAGAAACACACTGCAAAGAACCTGCCTTTAAAAAACACTAAGACTGAATTAACAAGATTACCACTTCATCTTCATTATCTTTTATAAACCATGCTAGTTGTCATTAGGCTGATGTTTTCTGAATACTTTTTTCTTTTGACACCCTCAACATTAGATTAGATTTAAATTCTCGGCATTGTGATTGAAATTATTTTTGCTACATTGACTGGAAAATGAGGAGGCTGGAGACCGATCGGATGTCTGAGAAACTGGAGGTTTATTCAAAGTATTTAGCAGGAAAAAGGATAATGACAGTGCAAACAGTACACAGACAAGTGTTCACGCTCTATTTAACCATCATTTCTGCCAAACTCTCACAGGGTCTGCATATTTAACTGAGACTTAGGCTGGCCATAAACATATCTGCTTATAGTCCAAACATTTCAAAACACATCAAAACGGAGGCGCCACCCGAGGATTAGAATGGATAAATGATTCCTCATATGAAAAGTACATTCTTATATCATCATAAGCATAAAGTTTAAATATAGTAAACTATGTGTTAACAGATAGAAATGAGCTGGGATGACTGTTCGATTTGCTTCTTTGTTCAAAACACTCTTATTCAATATTCTGTTAAAAGTGTTGCCAATTTCAGTATCTACTCCAGTCCCTTTACAAAAAAGAATGAGAATGTGGAAAATTGCTGCATGTAAGTAAATTGTGTGTCTTGGACTTAAACAAAATAAAATGTTAACATTATAACGTATCACGATCATCATATAAGTAGCAATACACAAATCTAGTAATCTAAAGTTTTTATTTGGAAATAAGAAGAAATAAAGAACAAGATTTCTCCGCCCCACTTTTTTGTTCCTGCCCTCTTTAGAAGCATTTTTGTTGTTGTTAATTTTTCCCGCATGGAAAAAGAGATTTATTAAGCTTAAGTGCCAAACAAAATGAATTTGAATTAAAGTAGAATAACTCAGGAGACATAATTCAGACAGTTGGACAAAGATAATCTTGATTCTTAACTACATAGTTTGTTCTGCCTACCTTTTTGTATCCTGCCCTCTATTAGAAGGCATTTTTTGTTCTTTATTGTTCCCACATTTATTTATTAAGATTGATTATGCTTAAGTGCAAAAGAAAATTAATTGAATGATATCCATCTCTTCTTTCTTGCCCATATCCCTCTCCTCTCCATCCATTTAAAAATGTTACCTTTATTTTGTTTGTGTGTGTGTGTGTTACCAAGGGGCTGGTTTTGGGGCTACGAGGAGACGAGAGCTCGAAATGTAACGTGTATATCAGCTCAAGGGCATGCCTCCATCATGTCCCCAGTCCTCCAGAAGAACATCACAGCGACGTGAGTCTACTGAGCAACAATCTGATATAAACTGCAAGGACTATACACATACTGTACATATAGAGCAGCTCATTTTACATAATGCATTATAATCTTCTGACTTTAACTAGCATTCCTAGCTTCTGAAGTGAACTTTAATATAGCTGACCATTACCAATGTCATCATACACCTTATATGACAGGTGTAGCTAATTGACTATATAATATGTGAGTCAACAAACAACCAATATGACGGAAATGAAAATGATCGGTCCAAACGTATCAGTCACTATCTAAAGTATTCAGTATCAATCCTTTATAAGACAGCAAAACATGTGATTCTTTTATATGTAAAATACCTGAAAGATTATCTGACTTGATTGTTACTTAAAGGTGGGGTATATCATTTATTTCAGAAACACTTTTTGTTATATTCCATGGAATTCTCTTAACATCCCGATAGCAATGAATATCTGAAATGCTTTGACAATAAATACATACAAAAATGTCATCTGTGGAAGCCGTGGCGCTGTAAAAAGCACGACCAATCATTTTAGCCGGCCAGGCTAAAATAACTGGATGGCCTACCTGCCTGTCAGCCTTCCATCTGTGCACAAACTTATCTCGTGCCCTCATTGGTCATGTGCGCGTTCGTGTGTGTTGGAAGAGGGGCTCTGTAAGGAAGTGGCAGATTTTTTCCGGTTGTGTATTTTCAAATTCTAGCGATCTCGAGCTGGTTTCTCCAAAATTACCTACCCCACCTTTAAATGTGGTAAAGTTTACAGTTCGATTTTTTTTTAAGACCTTGTTGACACTGACTTGGATTAATCTCTTTGTACCGCGCCCTTTTGCAGGTCGGTTATGCTTGACCGAGCAGAGACACTCCTCCATGATCACTATGCTGGAAAGGATTACTGGGATGTAAGTAATCGGCTTATATTAATTAAATAATCTAGGTTTCAGGCAATACATAACACTTTTTTTTTGTGTCATTTGGAACTTTGGAAATGTTGAATTTTCTGTGTTTTGTGTAGACCCGCCGCAGCATGGTTTTTGCCAAGCACCTGAGACTCATAGGAGATGACTTCAGAGCAAAGTACCTGAACTCCTCAGATGACAGAGACTTTACTATTTACAGTGAGGACTGGACTCGCATGAAAGTGAGTACATTTTTCTGATTGTGGCATGATTATGGGATTGTACAAGTGGAATAAAGATTGTGGAAATGTACAGTATATTATCCAAGTATTTACCATGTGAGGCCATTTGCATCATGTGAGTGTTGACTCTTTTGTCTTTGAGAATGTTTTACATTTTTGAGCTTATCATCTCACCCACACCCTTTACTGCTCAATACCTGTTTGCTGTCAGATTTCATTGGGATGATGTGAAAAATATGCCTGCTGTTAAATCATCTGTATGTACAGTATGTATGAATGTGCTGCTTGAGTCTGCATTTGTTTATTTTCCAAATTCAATCAATCAAGTTTCAGCAATAATTTAACAATGTTCCGTCTCTTTATTTATTTCCTCCTCAGGCCAAGTTGGGCTCGGCTAAAGGGGGTCCATATCTGGGGGTCCACCTGCGCAGGAAGGACTTTATCTGGGGTCATCGGGAGGATGTACCAAGCCTTAAAGGAGCAGTGAAAAAAATACGCAGCTTGATGAAGAAGCACAAACTTGAAAAAGTGTTTGTTGCAACAGATGCCGATGAGGAAGGTAAAGACATACTGGCACATTAAAGACAATTTAAAATTGTATTTTATTTAAAAGGCTAAGTTTTTGTGATTTCTTTTTTTTAATTGGGAGTGAAAACATTCTAAATCCTTTCGTACTGCATTGACAAAATAAAATATGATTGCATTGTGTTATAATGTTACTATAATAGGACAACTAGAATTAATAATAGTAGCTTACATACTGTATAGCAGTCATTATAGTGACTTCTATTCAAGTATATTCGCTATAAATGCTACTATAATCCTGTTTAATGTATGTCACTTTGTAGAGTCGAAGGAGCTGAGAAGGTTGTTGCCAGACATGGTGCGGTTTGAGCCGTCCACAGAGGACCTGGAGCTCTTCAAAGATGGGGGGGTGGCCATCATCGACCAGTGGATATGTGCCCATGCAAGGTAAATAATTGTTATGATGTTTTTACATGTATTCATTACGAAATAACGAGTTGATCCAATATTGGGAAATTATTTAGTAACAGTTGCAGCAGTGTGTTCAGGCATTACAATGTAAATATCTTTTAAAGGTGGAAAAAACTATAAACATAATTAAATAAAACAAAAATAAATAAAAACAATGAACAGCTGCAAGTCTATACACATATCTAAAGCAGACAAGACATGAACCACAAGAATACTCCACATAACATTTTCTAGATAATTTAGACAGTTCTATAATATAGAAATCAGAAAACATATATACATATGATAGTGTATAAATGACAGGGTATTTGTATCAGACAACAAAATGACACATATTTCATAGGTTAATGACCTTGTTGTTAATAAAGTAATTGGTTCTTACTGTGTTTTCAATTTGAAAACAAAGGTTTTGTAACACCAAATACCTCAGATATTTTAGCAGCCTTGTCACTCTCATTCCATACCATGGACAATGTTTCAACTTGAAAAACTAGTTCTAGCTGTACATGCCGATCTCTTTGCATGTCACGTGAACATCAATCAATCAACAACTTTATTAATCCCGCAAGGGGCAATTGGTTATGAGCAGCAGCTTATGTCATGTACACAGGCAGGAACATACAAGAAGAAAACACACACAGATACACCCGGGAGCACAGATGTGGATAATTCCAATTTACACTATAAATAGTTCATAGCATCACAATAATAAATAAATTAATAAATAATCAAGTTAAAAGCCTTTCAAGAATTTAAAAGTTTGAGTGCAGAAGGGATGAATGATTTTGAAAAGCGATTAGTCCTTTGATCACGTAGAGCATATCTTCGCCCTGATGGCAACAGACGAAATTCATGTGAAAGTACATGACCTGGAGAGTTCAGAATGCTCTCTGCTTTCCGCAGAATCTGTTCGTTACAGAAGGAATTTAAGTCAGTCTGTTTCACGCCGATGATCTTGGAGCAGGTTTTAACAATGCTGTTCAGGCTGTTCCTGTCTTTCAGTGTAAGGCTATGGAACCAGCAGATAAAAGAAAAACAAATAAGGCTCTCAATGAATGCTTGGTCGACAAAGAATGAAAGGCCTGACAGAGAAAGAGTTCAGTTTGCGAAGAAGGTGCATTCTCTGTTGACCCCGCTTCACAATACACTCAGTATTCACATCAAATTTGAGGTGGTCATAGAAAATGGTGCCCAAGTATTTGTATGATGTGACAATTTCTACCTTGTCATTGTGTATGATGCACTCCTTAGGAACATCCTTGTGACGTCTAAAATCAATGATCAATTCCTGGGTTTTAGAGACATTTAAATCCAGAAAACTGTCATCACACCAGGAAATAACATGTAATTTCCCAAGGGGCACGTCTCTTGCATAACTGTTTTTCTTTTCATCAGATATTTCATTGGAACTTCAGTGTCCACCTTCTCTTTCCGGATCCATGAAGAGAGGGAGATTTTGGGTTTTGACCCCAAAGCGACATACAATCGTTTCTGTGGGGACAATGAGAAGGAATGTGAACAACCCACACACTGGAAAATTGTTTATTGATGCAACCACTCACTTTCCTGACACACACAAGTGCCAACAGCAGTGTTAAAAGGGACAGTTATTTGTATGGAATTTTAAAAGATATTTTTACTGTTTAATGGGGTATTATTTTTTGTTTGCTTTTTATGGTTTCAGAATTGTGCAATCAGGTCTGAAGTGACCACTGTGACTGAACCTTATACAATGCCAATACTTGGCTGCCAAACATGTATAACTGTAATCTGAACATCTGCAAACATTTATTTTGGTTTTATGTGGAATATTTATCTTTTAATGACAGCTTCATTTTTTAACATAATTCCTCATATTTATTACCAGCACCACTGGTGAGAAAAAGTGACTTATAAAGACTGCAGAAGAGTGTTGTTTGAAGTGTTGTGGTGGAGTATTATCAGTTTAAACTTTGTGAGATTCAAAGATGTTGAGCATCTATACATTAACTACCCGTTATTTAAATATACAATTACATTTTTCAAAAATAACCCCACAAAATGGTGAAGGAACAATCGTATATTGCATTTTTAATAAAAAGTGCCCTGTGGAACTTTTTGAAGACAAGTAAAGATGTGTTTACAATTGTTTTTCAAATATGTATTTTGTTACCCAGTGTTATTTAAGTACTTCGCACATTTCCCTAGAAATTAGTAAGGAGCTGAATATTTCTAGCTCACAATTTTTTCAAATTAAGTGCATTTGGTTTCTTTTCTACCTTGTTTCTGTGATGTGAATTATGTTCCCTTTATGCATTGCCAGTATTAACATTTGTTACATGAAATTTCATTACAACATTATTGGTGTTTGAAAAGTAGGAAATATGAAAGTGAATGATAATGAATATCATGATGATTTTTGATGGTGCTTAACTTCATTTTCATTTTTCTTTATGTGATTGACATTGACCATGATAGTATTTTTGCTTATTAAAATATGTTTTAAAGGAATTCAAACGCCACAAATGAGCCACTATCTCTTCAACACTTGCTAGCCATGAAGCTGTCCTGAACACACCCTTTTTTTTCCATTCCTGAAGATGCCCGTGTTTTGATTAAAACATGTTTGGTGTGGGCTTTGTCTCAAGACTTGCTTTATACAGTAGTTGTATTATTTGCATGGTAAATAAAAGATTTTAGGCGGGTTTAAACATGGCATTTGTGATTATGTTTAACATTTGATTGCTGATGCTTATATTTGCCTATCTCTATATTTTAATCTCAACGAGAAGTCAATAGCTCAAGTTTAGAAATGGTGATGTTAAACATTGTTTGATTATAAAAGGTTAAATCTTTAAAGTATGTTATTGTTTTTAGGGATGTTTATTTATTCACATTTCTTGACAAAAAGAGTGTGATTGAGGCGTTCCAACATTAGGATGTTAGATGTATGTAGTCTTTACAGCAGCAGAGATTTCTTGTATGACTTTTATGATTTTTCGCTGCATGTATGAAGATGAAAAACCAGTAAGACTACTTTGATGACGGAATTCACTTGATGCTTAACAGTATGATAGTGTCATATGTCACCTATGCTCTCAGTTGGCCCAACCCTGAGGCTTTCTATTGTCCTTTGTTTGGCCTCGTTTGAAATGTCTGGTAATGGCAAAAGTTAACTGGCATGTTAACCTGATAGTTCAGGCTCCACTCTTTATGTAAAATTCTGCTGAGTCATTCAGCTATGTCTTTATCAGTTGCAATTAAGTACACCCACACAGGGAGTCTGTGTTTGTGTATGAAAGTGAAGTTAAAAATGACATTAGTTTAAGCTGCATCAGGCTATAGTCACATAGAAATCTGATTAAAGAAAAAAAAGAATTGAATCTGGAATCTAATCTTGTGTGAATGAAGCAATTGTGATGGTATTTCTTTGTACATTTCAAATCATATACTTTAGTTTTTTACATTTTTTTTGTCCGTTTTTCTTGGCTTTCTTTCATTTGTTTTCTCAAGATAGTCATATGATGTGCAGCTTTATGCGAATACACTGCATTGTTTTGTTTCTTTTCCCTGTGGATCCATACATAAAAGTGGTGTACCCTGGAGACCCTCCTCAACAACATCGTACTGACATTAGCAGTAGAGTGTATTGTGATGCTTAGTTGCTCTGTCCCCTTTAAACCAATGCTCTTGCTTGTATAACATACATATCAAATGTTTTGTAACATTACATCTTATTCACACATTCATCTTTCCTCTATTAATCACTTTTCTAACCTAAACCCAGAAGTCTTACCCTGAAGAGGAACTGACACATTATACTGCAGGTCAAACACAGGAAAAGCTCAATGTGATCAACATTTTTTTTTAAATTTTTACAGAAATGTGTAATTTTAGAAATGTAAGACTATACGCTTTTATGTTCAAAGGAATCAGGTAGGTTGATCCAAATTAGCTTAATTCTATATATTTTTTAAAACAGCTTTCATAAGCTTTAGTAATACATTATGTCAGATACGCTATGATTAGCTTAAAATAGAATTACATCATATTATATAAAGGGCACCTTGAGTAGTACTCAGTCTATTTTAAGTGTGTGCCCTCTACTTGCCCCTTGATCACAAGAATCATTAACTCGTCCCTCGCAACTGGAACTGTACCGCCAAACCTCAAAACTGCTGCAATAACACCAACACTCAAAAAACCTGGAGCTGACCGAGATGACCTGAATAACTACAGGCCCATCTCTAACCTCTCCTTCATCTCAAAAACCCTTGAAAGAGTGGTTGCTGACCAACTTCAACAACACCTGGACAAAAACAACCTTCATGAACCCTTCCAATCGGGTTTCCGCTCAAAGCACAGCACCGAAACAGCGCTGGTAAAAATCACCAACGACCTCCTCCGTGCAGCTGACTCTGGACTGCTCACCATCCTAATCCTCCTTGACCTCACAGCTGCCTTTGACACCATCTCGCACCCACTGCTTATCAAACGCTTGGCAGACATTGGGATCACTGGTACTGCACTCTCATGGTTTTCATCCTACCTCACAGACAGAAAACAATATGTCCGTCTCAGCACCCACCGGTCAAGCTGCTCTACTGTCTCACATGGTGTTCCTCAGGGGTCAGTATTGGGTCCACTCCTGTTTATCATCTACCTACTCCCCCTTGGCACTATCCTCCGTCATCACAATGTCCATTTCCACTGTTACGCCGATGATACACAGGTCTACATTTCCAGCAAACCCAACACTGCCCTCCCCCCAACCTCTCTCACCAACTGCCTCCAGGACATCAGGAACTGGATGAGCAGGAACTTCCTAAAGCTCAACGGCAGCAAAACCGAAGCCCTGCTGGTTGGCACCAAAACCACCCTCTCCAAAACCTCATCCTCCCCTGCCTCCAACCTCATCATTGATGGCTACTCCATCCCCTTCTCTGGCCAAGTTAAGAGCCTTGGTGTCATCCTGGACAGCTCCCTCTCATTTTCACCTCACATAAATAACATCACCCGGACTGCCTTCTTCCACATACGCAACATCTCCAGACTCCGCCCATCCCTTTCTCAATCAAACACTGAAATCCTGGTCAATGCCTTTGTCACCTCCCGCATCGACTACTGTAACGCCATCCTCTCAGGCATCCCCACCAAGCTCATCAACAAACTACAAATCATACAGAACTCTGCAGCCCGGATCATCACCGGCACCAAGGCCTCAGAACACATCACCCCCATCCTCATCCAACTCCACTGGCTCCCCGTTCAATCACGCATCAACTTCAAAAACCTACTGCTCACTTACAAAGCCCTACATAACCTGGCTCTCCCCTATCTGGCTGACCTTCTTCAGGAGTACACCCCGTCTCGCTCCCTCCGCTCCTCCTCTGCTGGTCTGCTAACCGTCCCCACCCCACGCCTCGTCACCATGGGTGCTCGGGCTTTTAGCTGCACTGCTCCCAGACTCTGGAACTCCCTCCCCCCGCACATCCGACAGTCAGACACAATCACCATATTCAAATCCCAATTAAAAACCCACCTGTTCAAATCTGCCTACTCACTGTAGTCCTCCCTATTATATGTTTAATTTGTGTCCACTTGACTGTCTCCTCCATGATTTCCTGTTTGTGTTTTTATCATGTTTTGCTGCCTATTAGCGTTTTATTTATTTATTTTTTAACAAATTGTACGGTGTCCTTGGGTGTCATGAAAGGCGCCTAAAAATAAAATGTATTATTATTATTATTATTATTAACCCCGTTGACATTTCATGTGGCCGGACTGGGTCAGTTTCCAGGGCTGAATTCTAGTCCCAGTCCGCCCCTGTTGAGTACAGATATTACCGTGTTCCCTGAAGTCAGGTGCCATACTGTGTAGTCAGGCAGGTCGCAGCCAGAGTACACGCCCTTCTTCAGATTTACCTTTTCACACACACACAGGTTGAGCTACTCACATAAGCAGCAGGCAACAACAGAAGTGAAGGTTGTTTATCCTGTGCAGAAATCGCTGGGTCATTCTTTTTGTTTAGAATTTTTGGGGTTTTGAGCGTGATTTCCTCTTTTACTTTGAATCGTCTGATGGAAAGGGTATCCTGCTAGGGGCCAGCTCGCGCCATGTCCTTCGTTATCCTGCGCTCTACAGTCAGATAACACATCGTTTTCAACAGTAAAGAGGACACACGCAAGCAGGTAAGACTCATACTTTATTAATAAAAACATTTAACAGTGACTTACTTTATATTGTCAATTATTAACGCATTTTCATGACGTGATTTATGCATTTGTGAGAAACTTTATTTGTGTCCACGTTCAGTTTATTACTAGGCTATATCAAAGTATGACACAAAATAAGATAAATTGAATTATGCACGTGTCGTATACATATTGTAAGACTAGTATGTTTAACTTTTACCTTCAATGTCGACTTTACAGCTGACACATTGATTTTAAAACAGGGTCCAATCTGTCTTCCTCCACACATGGAGTTTCCCAGTTTTCAGGGAAATGCATTTTTTGTTGTTCTTTGAGCACTATAGGAACTTAGTTCGTTAAAGCCAAATTAAACAATTAGGCGACGAATCGAGTCAAATTTGTCAACAATTCAGATAATCATTTAATCATAGAAATGACTCAAACTGAAAATGTTCATAAGAACTACATCAATTGCTATCTAAAAAAAAAATGTATTTCAGCTTTTCTCAGTTTTTTATCTCAGTAACCTGAACATCTTTAGATTAAACAAAACATTTAAAGACATCACCTTGGACTTTGAGAAACAGGGATGGACATGTGTCAATATTTATTTTTACATTTTATAGATCATTTAAAAAAGAAAATAAATGCATAGATTGATCATTCTCATATGTTTGTTTTTGTTTCTAGCCTCCTCTCCTGATGGCCTTTTTCCGGCAGCTGAAGCTTCTCCTCTGGAAGAATTGGCTCGCAGTCATCAGACAGCCAGTAAGTGACTTCCAAGAGCTGGGCAATTCTATTTCTATACAAGCACATGGATTCTTAAGAAGGATTCGGGGGAATAAATCACATACAGCACCTTTAACGAAGGGATGCTCAATATTTCAGGATTAATTAACCATTTATCCCTTAAAATATTCAGTTTATATATAAACAATGTAAATGACCTCTTTATTAACTGATATTGCTGTTTTATCATATCCTGCGTTACAGCTATGGTCCCTGACTCTGGTCGCCTGGCCTCTGATCATCTTCATCATCATTGCTGTGACACGCAACCAGTTCCCTCCAGTTCAAAAAGATATATGTAAGTACAACACCGCACGGGTATACAAAAGTGCTTTGATTTAGATCCATGTTAGTGACATGTAATTAAATAGTGCTACAAATACATATCTTCACAAAGACAAGTCTAACTGTTATGCAATCAATAACCAATAAGATGGAATGGACTGAAAACAGAATAAAGTAACTACTGGATAAGAGACACAGCTGGTAATACTGTACTTAAGAATTATTGTTTGTCTCCATATCAGCAATTTGTTTTCAGCGAATTACAGTAAAGATTTGTTGGCTGCTATCTCTTCACTTCATAGAGAGCAAGATCTTACAGTGGCAGACACAAGGGAAAGATCCAATTGGCTGTTGAGTAATGGAAGCTTTCGTCACCAAATAATGACTTGACCTGAGGCCTGTACTACGAAGCTGGATTTTCGCTTAGCCGGCTAAATTCAGGGAAATCTCGGGCTTTCCGGTCCTACGACGCTGGTTCTCTTTTTAGCAGGCTAGATTTCCATGGTAACTTATGCTGAGCGGCAAACCAGGGGGGTATACTACGAATCAAGATTTTCGTTTAGCAAGCTAACTTCAGGGGTTTCCGGTCCTACGAAGCTGGTTCACTTTTTAGCAGGCTAGATAACTTATTCTGAACGGCTAGCCTCCGGAGCAGGATAGGTTCCAGGATAAAAGCACTGCCTGCTGACCAATCAGAGCTCATTGTGCGGAGTTTAAAGCGATCAATTCATATGACAGGAGGAGAAAGGAAATACAGTTTAAACTGCCGTTGCTGGAAAGACAGCCGGTCAAAATCACCGACTGTGTGAACGTGAAAATGAATAGAATATCACCTCCCATCTTCAGAGCAATCTGACTATTATAACATTAGCGTTAAGAAAGCTTACTTAAATATCTGCCACAACATAAGTAACCTACAGTCCGCGGCACTGTGAGTGCAGACGTACCCCATTATCATTCATATCACATGATATCACATCATAATGTATCATATATTTCCTTATCTGAGTCAGCTTCTTGAGCCGTATCTGGCGTGCAACACTCACAGTGTCACATACTGTATGCAGAAGTATTATTTTAAGCAACACATTAAGTTGACGAAACACTCGAGTCAAATGTAATTAAAGTCAGATCCACTCGTGTCTTGGACGGGGCAGTGATTTCATAAACCTGTTAATGTACGCATTCAAACACTTTTTCTTTTACCAGCAGTATTCACCTTGCAGCTGCAACTATGTGGCTTTTATCCTGGATAAAGTGTTTAAGTCATGGATGTTTAAAGTTTAACGTCTTCATATTTGTCTAATATTAGTTTACTTTTCATTCAGGAAATATATGACGCGCTGCGCTGTCAGTACACGGCTTGTCCATGTTTGTGATTGGTCGAATGCTCCAAATACCACCCCTTTTATGTGAACGCGCACCTAACTAGATAGGACACGGCTGGCTTGCGGTCGAGGTGATAGCCAGCGTCGTAGGACAGTTTAGCGAGAGCAGTTTGTTTTTTTGGATTTAGTCAGCCGGATAACTCAAAACATATCCAGGATATGTTGAACTAGATTCGTAGTATACCCCCCTGCTCCGGAGCAGGTTAGGTGGCAGGCTAAGAGATCAACTCAGTGAAAGCACTGCCTGCTGACCAATCAGAGCTCCGTGTGCGGAGTTTAAAGCTATCAAGTCATATTACAGGATAGAGGAAATACAGAAAAACTGCCGTTGCAGGAAAGACTGCCGGCCAAAATCAACTGACTGTGTGAACGTGAAAATTAATAGAATATCCCCTCCCATCTTCAGAGCAATCTGACTATTATAACATTAGCGTTAAGAAAGCTTACTTAAATATCTGCCACGACATAAGTAACCGGATCAGAGTAACATTAAGTACAGTCCGCGGCACTGTGAGTGCAGACGTAGATGTGTCCCATTATCATTCATATCATATCACATCATAATGTATCATATATTTCCTTATTTGAGTCAGCTTCTTGAGCCGTATCTGGCCGTGCAACACTCACAGTGTCACATACTGTATGCAGAAGTATTATTTTAAGCAACAGATTAAGTTGACGAAACACTCGAGTCAAATTCTCCTAATTAAAGTCAGATCCACTCGTGTCTTGGACGGGGCAGTGATTTCATAAACCTGTTAATGTACGCATTCAAACACTTTTTCTTTTACCAGCTGTATTCACCTTGCAGGTGCAGCTATGTGGCTTTTATCCTGGATAAAGTGTTTAAGTCATGGATGTTTAAAGTTTAACTTCTTCATATTTGACTAATATTAAAGTTGACTTTTCATTCAGGAAGTATGACGCTGCGCTGTCAGTACGCTTCTCCGTGTTTGAGATTGGTCGAATGCTCCAAATACCACCCCTTTCATGTGAACGCGCACCTAACTAGATAGGACACGGCGGCTTGAGCGATCCACTTGATATCCAGCGTCGTAGTACAGCTTAGCGCCAGCGCGTATGTTTTGGCTTAGGCCAACCGGCTAACTCCAACATATCCAGGTTAGGTTGAACCAGCTTCGTAGTACAGGCCTCTGGGCAGCAGGGTGTTTGTATATTGTTTAAAATCACTTGTCCATTCCGATTCCACAATGAAGGTAAACAAAAGGAACGTTTAACTCAAGATCTGAGCCTATCCCTGCACTGTTGACATGGTATTTGCACTCCTTTGTTATTTAACCCCGATGAAAGAAAGTACATTCATCTTTCTGCAATAATGCGGGTAAAGGTTATTCAGGAGGGAGGGTTACACAAGTATATTTTGCTGCTATTGTTTTGCCAGATATGATGGCAGATGAAACCCAAGTATGTGGTTACAGAGGGAGAGGCCGACACTCAAACCAGTTGGTTTGGAAAAAAACATACCACAAGATTTTAAAAACATACCTAAAGCCTTTTAAATTCCAGTAAGCCTGGTTCTTTAACAAATAAGCTGCGTCTTTCAGAAATAACATTTAAAACTGCGTCAGCATCATTTTAAGAGAACTTCATCCTCCTATGCACCTGTCAGCATGGGATAATGGGCACATTGTGATGCGTTATATACAGCATCAGAAACATGTACATTGTACCCATCTTACTCTGGTAGAAACTTTAACCAGTTAACCCTCCCACCTTTGTTTGTCCGGTCTTTTTTGATGGATCAGATTCTGTGGATGCAGGGATTGCTGTGTAACTTAATAACTTTTCTGTGAAACGAACAATAGGACCTACTCTACCCTTTTAAGTGCTGTTTATTGTGTCGTTGCTTTTGTATAAGACCACTCCCAAAGCAAGCAACAACACATATTCAGTGACCGATCATACTGAATGACCAGCAGTAACCTTGATTCAGGTAGTATAGTGTTGCAATTTAGTCTGGAAACACACAGTTTCTCACAGAACTATTGAGTGTTATACAAATTATTCCTTTTTATTAACTATTTTCCATGAGATGGTCCCTGTTGTATTATGAGAGGTGCTGAAATAAGCGTTAAAGACTAATGATAAACTACTGAAAACAAAATATACACACATCTTTTGTTGCTTTTTTTGACAGTTGAAAACAATGTTCAATGTTGAAATGTAACATTGGCACCCTGCTTGATTTGAGTTTCATAGTGTTTGACTAAACTTCAAACCTCAACCCATTATCAGATTTGCACTACTTGAAGTGCCGTTATGTCAATGGATATGAAATGTTACCTTTATTGAACTCAAGTACCGCCTTTTATACTCCTTGTTTGTCGATCATGAGTCACTGTTTTTGCTCTAGATATCATAAATGTACATCAATTATATGTCAACGCTGTTTGCTCTGCATATTCTTTAGAGAGTTTTGGGTCAAGTACCTTTCTGAGAAATGATACTTAATACCATAGCAGTACTATACCATGCAGTCAGTCTAGTCGCATGTCTTTGTTCTAAATGTAAGTAATGGCTAAGATTGTTTCCTGAAAATAAATGGTGTGTTAATTCATTGGCAGTGATTCAGAAAAATGGAAAATAGTTCAAGCTCAAGATCTTGTGGGGAGAAATATCCCTACAAGATAACAATACGTCAAATAGAAATTAACAACCAATTGGGCAAATGTAATTTTTTTTTTTTTAATGAAGCGCTCAAACAATGCACTCAGTATGTTCACGATGCACAGGTTTCCTTTGGACCTGCCTATTAACACCACATCAAACATTTTGATAAGGTTGATTACATTTATCTACCCCTTCATATAGTAAATAATACGACATAAATTGAATGGAGTATTTAAGCTAGTAATCTACCTGTGACCTACTTCGGGTAGTTCCAATAACAGAGTTTTGTTTGCCAAATGTACACATTTAAGGACATATCTTACAGGGATTTTGAAACAATTTTCTGATGTTTTCAAGCATTCTCGCTACAACTTACACTTTGTCACGTCTCCTCCAGGTTATGTGGGACCCAGAAACCTTCCCAGCACAGGCTTCTTCCCTTTCCTGCAGACCCTCATGTGCAACACCGACAGCAACTGTCACAACAAATCCCGCCTGGTGGACCCAGCTGCATCAAAGTCAACTTCAAGGTATCCCCAGTAGAATACACCATATACTGGATGAACTATTTCTGACCCATACTGCAGGAACACCAAATGTTTATTGAAGTTGTGATTTTAGTCAGTATCACTGCATCTATTCCGCCTCATAATTCCCCTCCATCTTAAACATATATACGTAATGTCTCTAGTGGCTCCATCCCAGGTGTCATACCATTTATAAAAAATGTACAGAGGGCAAGAGAGACACAAAGGAGTGACTCACCTCCGCATAGCTGCATCACACGAGATGACTAGTTAGTGTGATCATGGAAATGTACCAACAATAGATAAGGAGAAGTAAAAAGTAAAAACGCTGAAAGAAAAACATGCTTTGATGGCATTCTTTTTAGTATAGCTCTGTTTATTTTTTATTTTCAACTGCAATAAAGAGAGATTTTAGTTTAAAACAACTAAGGAGTTGCATATTCTTTAGAAAACAGGGAGCGGGTTTCTTTATGTAAGCCTGTCTATTTTGTTGTAGTTCAAGTGTTAACTAGTTCATTAGTTCCTTAGAGTTGTTTTTTCTGCCTTTGTTGAGCTCTCGTGTGCTGTCACTGAAATATACATTCCAGACGCAGGAATGACGCTGGCTGGTGGAAACCAGTTTTTTTAACCCTCGACCTAATGCTGATTGATGGTTTATACACATACCAAACTAGTTACACTCACACCCACTACAGATTTTGGTTTCAAATTACATACAGCAAAATGGTGGAATGAGCTCCCCATTGACATCAGGACAGCAGAAAGCCTACACGTCTTCCGGCGCAGACTGAAAACTCATCTCTTTCGACTCCACTTCGAGCGATAGAATTACTAACAAAGAATTACTAACAAAGCACTTATATACTAATAAAGGACTGGCTTATCTAAAGTCAGTTGAGTAGCACTTGAAATGTTTTGGCTCTATGAAACCTGATGTACTTATATGATTCTGTTTTCTTCAAGTTTGTATCTTCTTGGTCGAATGCACTTATTGTAAGTCGCTTTGGATAAAAGTGTCAGCTAAATGCAATGTAATGTAATGTAATGGTTATCTTTTCATTACCTCATGTGATCCTTTTGACTCTGTATGATAGGTCGAAGAAACAGAAGAGTTCTCCGCTGTCAAAACTGGTTAACGGGGATGAATTATTGAACTTCCTTCTTCCCAAGGGCGTTGGCAGTGATCCTGCAGCACTGTTTGAGGTGTTAAACAACTTTTTTGGTATGTTATCCTCATTTCCATGTACCATAGTAAAAAACATTGTTCTGCTCATTTTAACAAATCAAATTCTGGGTCAAGTTATGCATTTTCTTTTTCATTTTGTGTTGAGGAGCCCCATTCAGGCACATGTTATTGCACAGATAAGAATTTAAACACATTTTATAGAAAGACTAGCCATGCTCTGTACATCGGAAAGAAAAGACACATTTGTTGTAGAATAAACATTGTAAAACAAACTTGAAGCTGGAGCCAAGAGAAGAATAGCTGAGCTAAGAGAGTGGAAAAAGGGAAACAGCTAGCCTTTGGTTAGCCACTTTGGATTGAACAGATTATACAAACAACATAATGTGTTCATTAGTGCATTTTTGATATGCTGGTAGGCAGATGAGATTTATTTATTATACCTATTATATATTTAGAGAATTCATTCAAGCTAGCAGTTTCCCTCTACTATTAGTGTTTATGCCAAGCTAAGCTAACTGTTTCCAATTAGCTTTATATTTAAAAGAAATACATATATAAAAGAGGTTATAATCTGCAGGACAGCAAATAACCCTGTTTTTCAAAATACTGAACCGTTGATTTTTAGAACCACATTGTGGACTTATCTGACTTTGGTACTCAAACATTCAACTTTGTTTACTCTAGCCCATTCTACTGTTGGCTAATGTGTTTACTATTGTTTGTTTATTTATTTAAAGGACAGTGCACATTAATCCACATTGCTGCAAATGAGCCAGTATTAGCCAGCAGGCTAATTTTCAACTGTTGTCCTTGGCAAGATGTTAAATGACCACAACAAGACTAGAGAAATAAAAACATAATTAAATAGAGTACAGCAGACAACAGCAGTACAACAATAAATAAATAGCAGTACAACAATAAATAGGAACAGCAGTACAACAATAGAGAAGAACAAACACACATGCAAACAGATGAAATATGATTGTGTATTCTTGTTTTAAAGGTTCATCTCACCAAGGAAGCTCTAATAATGCCTCTTTCATGAACACCATGAATAACACACTTCCTCCTGATCAGGTAAAATGATTATATGGGGAACAACACTGCTGAGAGTACAGAATGAAAAGCCTGTTCGTGATACCTTGTTCAGTCTCTTCTTTATAAACCATTGTTAGTGGCAGTTAAGCAATTATTGACCATACAAAGGCTCATAGGAATACCTAAAACCATTTCTCTTTTTGTATTTACCCTTGACAGAGATAAGGGATACACAAGAAACAAACAAACTGTATTTTAAACTGATAACTTGCTCAATATGATTGTTTCAATAGTTAAGCGATACAGTAGATTGTGGAACTGTAAACAATGTGTTGTGAAGGTGTTGTGTGTTATCATTTTTTATTGTATGAATTTACTAATAGTAATAATCTGAATCCAGGAGAGCTTGAACCAAATGCTGGAGTCAGTGAACCTGTTGAAGAGAGCCATCTGTTCCCTGACGCTGCCCATGATAAACACCTCGTCACCGGACAGTATCTCCTATGCTGTGGTCACTTTCTGCACTTCCAACAACACTCTTTTTGAAGTCTCGCTCAACACAATCAACGAGGTGTGTGTTCGCTTGCATTCACAATTTGTAAATTGCAAGTCTCAACTCTTTTATATATTTGTACATACAAAAAATAAGTATTTAGGGACACTGCTGCAGTGAAGTTTGTTTCATTGACCTCTGTTTTCAGATACTGACGCAGCTGATGATGAAAGAGCCTGATGAGATGATGACGTTGGCTGGCGTGGCGGTGTTGGTGTTCGATAAGCTGCAAAGTCAGACCCCACTGTGGGATACCCTTCTTGCCATTCCCCAGCTCCTCAATTCTGGTTCCATCGACCAAGGGCTGGACAGCGCTGAGGTCCTACTCAGCAACTTACAGGGGTAATGTACTTTCAATGACGGATTCATTCAAAATGAATCAAGGGCAGCTGTATAAAGGTGTTTATTTATTTAGTCAGTTTAGAAAAAAAGAGGGCAATAGTTCAATGGTGTACTGAATATTTCATGAAGGCCAGAGCAGCTTTCAGTTAAAGAATTACTGAACTGAGTTACAATTCAATTGAGCCCTAGTGATTCATTTTAGAAAAAAAGAATTGGTAATGGCTTTTGAAACTTGGACCATCCCTGTTTGCGAACCACAAAATCTGAGACATAAGGATTTAAAGCAGCAGAAGGGTAAAATGTGTGTGTGCCTAATCAATACTGTAGCTCTTTCAAGTGTTTTCTGCAGGTCTTGAGAATGAAATGTTTTCCCTCTGCGGTCTCTTTAGTTCTCTGCATGTCATCGAGAGCAATTTCCCTGAAGCAGGTGCCTCACTTTCCACGGTGCATCCACTGCTTGCGGGAGGCATCAACCTCATCAACTATGCTCAAAACTGGCCTGGCAGAGGTAACGTTTCATCAGCTGTACTGAATAAACCCAATCCAAATACTTTAATGTATATAAGATGTAGGCTATGTTTGTAAATATGGAGGTAAAATGCTGATATGCCATAAGGGTGTAACATGTGATTTTATTTGATTTAGATGTGTCCATTCCCCTTGGAGAGATTGTCACATTGCAGAATGACACACTAAGTGAAATGGTGAAAACTCTCTTACAAAACATCAAAATACCTCTGGACAAGGTACGTGTCATTAAGTTAAAGCATTTCTTTCTATATGGTATGAAAATACGAGTTGGTATCCATCCAAGAAAATGTAAAAATCTGAATTAGATGATGCATTTCTATACATATTTTTTCACTCACATGCCTATATAATAGATTATGAAGCTACTGTACAGCCCAGTAGCCTAGCTTAGAATAAAGCAGAGGTTAACAGAGCCTAGGTCTGTTTAAAGTTAACAAAAACCCACATGCCTAGATTCTTTGTTCCATTACAGAGGCAGTTTAACCTGTAAGGATAAACTAAACTAACCATGTCCTTGCTGTAGTTTCATATTTAATGAACCAATATGAAAGGGTTTTTTCCCAGAACTATTATTTTGAAGCAACACTTTTCTACTACAGTTCTGACTCTTTGTGGTAATAATTAATCCATAAATGAGACACCACTATATAAAGACTTGAATTATCTTCCCTTCTCTAGGCTATTGGCCTGGCATTGGACAGCAGCATGGCTAGTTCGTACCTGTGTGACAACAGTAGCAACCCGATGTGGCTAACAGCAGCGTGCCGCACCGGCACCGTGGACATGCTTCTGGGTTGGATCAGCCCTGATAAGTTGGCAAAGCAGGTACGAGAGAGATAATCACAGACATCACAAATGAGTCAGCTAGTTGTTGTTTTTTCTATCTCTTCTCTCTGTATTGTTCTGTCATTGCTTTTAATTTGTGTTTTCAAGTGCTCCACCTTCACTTTTAATTAGATTCACCAAACACTGAATAATTAGACTAAGGGTCGCAAGCTGTTGGCCATAGCAACAAGCAACCGTGAAACCCAGGTCCCACCTGGGGAACAGAACCCTTGAAGACATCCAATTAGCACTGCCACTGTAGTGGATTTGTTTTGATGAGTTAATACCCAATCAGAAGCAGTTAAACACGGTCATCCCTCTGCATACACGCTTCAACAGTCAGCCGGACAGCAATCTACAAAGTTATGTTATTATATCAGAGCCTGGTTTATTGCTAAGTAGGATTTTGTATAATATAAGAATATGTGCTGTGTATTTGTGTTTAAAATTAAAGAGCAGTACAGTAGTATTTTGACCATATCATCTTGCTAATATCATTAAGAGCACTGTTATATGTCATTTGATGTCAATTTGCCTAGGTGAATGGATATGTGAAAAAAATAGATACAACATGATATACTCCTTGATCACTGATATTTAGAGACAGGTAAAACATATTTACAGATCAGGTAGGATTCAACTAAAAATGATTTTAATGTTGCTACCCTAATTCAGCATACCCTCTGGTAACAACCACTTTATTGTGCCCAGGCTCTCCTGGTGTGGAGTAAGCACGTTGCTCCCCACGACGTGTCTTACGCCAAAGGGCTGCTGCACAGTCTGATGGGAACGCTATCTCAAGGAGGACAGGGAGTTTCCAGCAACCCAAGGAGCAGTCGTAGCGTAGAGACACAACCACAAAACATTGAGGAGGAGCTGTAAGTATAGTACATTCTCAATCACCTATAACATCCTATAGAGGTTTTCTGTTTCTCTTAAAGCTGCAAAAACAACAGTATGTAGTGAATTGCATTGAAGCAACTAAAAGGGCTCTCTGAATGTCACACAACTGGTCAGACAAGTGTAAGCAAGTTTCTAGGAAATGTTTATTTGAAGGCTTGAGGATTTGATTTGGGTTCAGAGACATCAAAGGTCATTCTTGTATTCTCTTGCTCCAGCTAACAGCTATGCTTCATTATCAAAATAAATGTATACAGTAGAGGAAACAATTGGTTATTTTCCTGCGAAATTGATAACATTTTGGATGTTGAAAGCTATTTTTATACCAATCCTTTAACATTTGTTGTACAATTTGTTTCAGCAAATGTATTATATATATTATACCTAGAAAAAACAAGCTGCAACCAACTTGTGTTGTTTCTTAACTCTGTCTTTCTCACTCGCTGAAGTTAGCTAAACCTTTATTTTTTAAATACAAAATCTACCATATACATTTTAATATAGTATGACTATATAAATATGAATATTTAGCTGTAAAAAGCTTAAATGTAAGCTATAACAGAGCCCTGCAGCTATCATCCGATCAGATATATACGTCTGCCGTCCACTGTAACATGAATAGTTTGTACTTTATTTTGAGTCTGGTGTTTCGGCAGGTTTTTGGGAGTCGGTCAAGTGGTGATGGAGATTATAAAAAGTGTGCCAGAGCTGGATATGGTTCTCCAGAGCATCCTCGGAACAGGCTTCCAGTCCATGAATTTTGCGTCACTGTCCCTTGAAAATGTAGAAGGTAAGACTTGAAAACATCAGTGAAGTCTCAGTTAAACATCCTGATGTCTACATGCAAACTTAGACATCTTTCTTTTACGGTAACACACGTACAGGACTACAGTTCAGTTCAGTTCAGTGAGGAAGTATGACTTATGTTTCCACTGACTGCCTCATTCACTTTTGTTTCCTCCCCCTGAAGTATTTGTACTGTAAAACCAGAGGTGAATGGAACAAGTTCACTCCCTTTCTCAGGGGAATAATGAAAGAACCAAAGTAGGACTATAGGAGTAACCAAGCGGGAAACAGATACACACACAAAAGGGAACATTATAATATTTGATAAAGCACAATCCCCCTGGGGTGTATTGTATTACAGAAATTGTGTGACAAATTGGTTGACATAACAGTTTCCAAACATGGATTTATTTGTTCTTGTTATAAATGTAGTTTTGTTTTATAGTATATCACTTAATAATGACTCTCTTTCTGACTTTCAGAAATCATAGCCAATGTCATGAAAGATGCTGATAAACTCCAGATGGCTTATCTGACGATCCTACAGGACCAGACCGAGGCAAGCGCTTGGATTTCTCAAGTCGTGGACAGTGTGATGAAAGTGATCATGAAGGTATGCTCGTAGTATTTTAACTAACCATACAGCTTTGCCTTTTATTCTCTTGATTAATAAAGAACCACGGTGTTATTTTTGTAGTTTTAGGCCTCAACGCTTCATTACAGTTTAGTGGCTAGCTGCTAGGCAGAAAGACATAGAGGATTGCACATTGTCGAAGCTACACAAGCAAACAGGCAGGTTGTAATTGATATTTAAGGAAACGGTTACCTTTTAGTTTCACTTCTCAGTAAATTCCCTTACATAGTTTGGTTAAAATGGGCTTGGTTCACTGTCTATCTCAGGGGTGCCCAATACGTCGATCGCGATCGACCGGTCGATCGCAAAGGTAGTGTGGGTGATCGCATGGCATTGAAAAAAAAAAAAGATATTTTTTTAATAATTTTTTTTTTAAAGTTAGCCTATCATCCATCCTTACTAGGGCATTTGCCACTTGATTGACGTACAGGTAAGCCAGTCTGAGTTGTATTGTGCCATACGGGTTCATGCAGTTATGAGGGGGCCTCACCTCCTCATCTGAAGCGCAAATGCGGCGCACTATTATGCGCTTACGCGGCGCAGTTAGTGTAAGCGCGCCACAGTTTATCCGCCGTAGTCCACTAGCACCCTCCCCCGCGCTCGCGACACAGATTGGGCAGGAGCGGCCCTGTAGGTAGATCTTTTGGGCTTGGTCATTTTAAAAGTAGCTCCCAAGCTGAAAAAGTGTGGGCACCCCTGGTCTATCTGATCTCTCATGTTATTTGCCAAGAAAACATTGAGCAACCTAGTATTGTTCAAAAAGATGTGTTATGCAGGTATGTGCAGGAAGCCTAGGGTGACTTACTGAACACCTGTCTGATTACTTTTTCTAGTATCTAGGACCTTGACTTCTGGGGATGTTTGATGTTTTTGTTTATTGTATAGAAAATCAATGAAGGTAATTAATTGGTGTTTTTTGCTTCTGTTTGACTAGATTCTGTCATCTGAGTCTTTAAAATGTGAGGATGTGTTTGGTCCCTTCGAATGGCTCTTAAAGTCAGAGAGCATAAAGACCGAGGTGTGGAGATCAATGATCTGTCAGAACAGCTCCGCCTTACAGGAAGCGCTCCTGGTGGATTGGCTGCCGCTGGTTCAGAAGGTAAACGTTACTCAACTACATTAAAAGATGATACTATGTTTTTTACTTTATTTATTGTGTTGTTTTAAAGCAAATGACTATCATCAAGGCTTTTGGCTTTTCTGCATTGTTGAAATTAACTAAATGTACCTAATCAGTTAAAATGAATGTCAGTCTTACGTTGACATTCATATTTAATGTCACGCAGGTATACCTTTAGATTAACAACTTGTTTTATGTTATCTTTCTACAGGCGCAAGACTTGTACGGTGTCCTCACAGGCCAAACACACTACAACGTGACACTTCCCATGATTCTCTCTGAGTGGCACAGGTTGTACAACAACAGTCTGCAGCTCGGTGTGCTTTTCGACAGACTGGCCACAGAGCTGGGTGGAGCGTACTGGATGAACTGGATGCCAGACAACAGCACTCCTGATGTTACGGGAATTCTTCAACAAAGGTCTTGTGAACGTGTTGATTATTTAGCCTCAAGGTTCCATGGTGCTCTGCATATCTGTTCTTAAGTTTAAGAGATGATTGGCAATAGAATGTCAAATATTATTATCTTGTTATAAACATGTTTTTATTTTAACTCTCATAATCAATGTAACTCAAAAGATTTTAGTGCCTGTCTTCCTGTGAAGGTTATTGATTTAAGTTGGATAAAAGCTATGCAAATAGTCCATTCACTTTGTTAAGTGGAGAACAAAATACATAAAAGGTGAATAGGAGTATCAATTTCATAATATCAGTTATCATTTCACTGTCTAAACATTGTTGTGATTTGCTTTGCTTGTAGTGCTTTCTTTATCATGGTGAATGTTGGAGAAAATATTGAGAAGAGTCAACTGTGGCCCGATGTAAAGGACTATTTTCACATGCTCTACTGGATTTCTAACTACAGGCCTGGACTTCCAACTCAACCACCAAACTGTGAGTACAATCTCTTCTTTTCTATTTTTCTTTTTCTTTATCCAACTTCTTTTCATACTTTGTTTCCCTTCTTTGTAATAATCGTCACCTACACACATTTTTGTCTGTGAATTCTTTATATTCTCCTTGTATACAGCAATTAAAAATCAAATGAAAGTTTAAATTGTGAATTAATATATTTCCAGTAAACCTTGACCAACAAAAATAAATGGCCAATTTGGCTTTATTAGTGTTTTTTGTTTTTATTTAAATTGGTCTTGTGCACATTGATTAATAGAGAATGCCAATAGGCCTAGTATATATTATAGTATACATTTCTCCAAATTAAATGTAAGTGCGAAAGTAGTTTATGATAAACTAAGTAAGTATTTAATAAAAAAATACAGAAAAATGCAACCAATTTAAGTAAATATTATGCACTTTTTTTACCCGCCCTTTAAGGTTCAATGAGCTATTACGGGGCCCTTCAATGTGATACTGGTTTGAAATGGCCTCAGTTTGTTCAAACACTGACTCGGAATCTGATGTCACCAAACCAAGATGTCCTGGTGAAGTATGTTATTTTGTCCTTGTTTTTTCAATAAATGTGGAGATGATGCAGGTAATGCACTGCAGATGCTATAAAATAGGATTTTCTGACATGTTTTCTTGTACTCTTCTCTTTTCTTTTTAGTTTTCTAAAAGGAACAGTGAATCTGTTGCAGCATGTATACGGGGACACCTATAAAAATCTGGCAGGATCATTTTTGAAACAAGAAATCATAGGTGGAGATGCACTCTCTGCCTACCTGACAAACCTGCTGGAAAACCTGGATGTTTTTGTCAACACGATCTCCATGCTTCCTGACCGAAACATTACAAACCCTAATGTCATGCTTCCCCTCCTCGGTAACCTGTTGCAGTCCACAGGTCTGAAACCACTGCTGCCTCTGTTCTTGAGTGACGGTCCCCTCAATGCCTCCGCAGTACTGGATGTTGCCTCGAAGCTTGGCAGACTCAACCAGCACATTTTTACATTCAATGAGACAGACCCAACGATGCCTGAACTGGAACGGTTGATAATGCAGTTTCTGTCCTTGGAGGGTAACCTCACCATGTCTCTTCCTCACATCATGGGACACACCCTGCTGACCTATTCAGACTACTTCAACCCTGACGATGTGGCCCGTCTTAGAAAAGCCATCCAGCCTTTCACCAACCAGACCTCAGCTGGCTTTGTAGAAGCCATCCTTAGGGCCATGGAGCTACTAAAGAAGGTTTTAGATGCTCCAGACGGTGACCCAACTAACATCATTCTTGGGTACATACGTCAGCTTCAAGACTTTGTGATGTCTCTGTATAGACTGAGAAAAATACAACATCTCCCGTCATCTAGTGGGAATCTAAGCACAGCACAAGTCACTGACCTCCACATGCTCTCGAAGGACTTCCTCAGCCTTCTTACCCCAGAAGGCCTTATGAACCTGACTCAGGCTGGACAAGATGCTGCCCAGGACATTGTTGCACAGAAATTCATAGCATTCCTCCCAAAAGAGGTCCAACAGGAAGCTGCTCGCTTTCTCAAGGATTTCAAAGCTCTGCAGTACCACATAATCCAATGTGCAGAAGGACAGAACTGCTTGACTGGAGTCTCAGAAATCTTCATGTTCCTGGATCAGATATTGGACCTGATGCTCTCAGCCGACGGTAATGTCAAATTTACATTATCTTCAACCAACTCTGTTCTGAAGAGACAGGAGGATGAGGAAATTGCAACCCTGTTCTTCTCACTCCTCCTGTCCTCTGATGATGCTGCCTATATGGAAACATTCAAACAGTTTCTTCATTTCATCCGATTGATCATAGCTACACCAAATATTAGTGTGTCTGACGTTCAGAATGCATTGCAACAGTCAAACCTTACCCTTGAGGAGCTGAACAACATCGCTGCCCTAGCTGGAGCTGCCAACATAAACGACCTGATGGTGGATATAATGGAGCTTATCAAGGTCCGACAGTGCTTCGAACCTCAGGATAATCCCATGGTGACAGCCCAGTGTGTAATGGGCCTGATAAATGGTGTCAGCAGTTTCCTGTCAAACGTACCAGTCCTCCGTAATGAGACAGCCGTCCTCTCACTAATTCCATTAATCGTCAATAACAGTATCATGGATGTCCTCCAGGTTGACTCCAGCTCCAATCCTCAAATGGCTATTGCACACACCTTGAACAGCATCCTGGCCAATATCAAGATGAACCTCCAGCAGAACCAGCTGTCAACTCCGGAGATCATGAAGGAAATCATGGTGGTAGAGGGTCTGATACAACTGATCGCCATCTCAGAACCATTTGACAATTTGAACACCACCTTGATGATGGAACCTTTGTATGCTCAGAAGGTGTATCTCCAGATCGTGGAATGGTACTTGAAAAAACTGGAAAACATCACAAGCACAAGCTCGGTCTCAGGGCTTGTCGATCCTTTTTTCTCCCTCACACACATGCAAGTGACATTACAGCTGGCTCAGGTGGATTACTCTTTGTTCTTGATGAACAACCTTCAGAACCCAATAGATGCTGCAGGGGTTGGTCAAATTGGCCAGACAACAGTTGAGCTTCTCCGACATCTTTTTGAATTGATAATGGTCAACCTAGAGACTCAGAATAACATCCCAGGTACCGAGCCATTTTTTAACACAACCATTCTGCATGTCACCAAGCTCCAAGTTCGGCAATACCTCAGCCTCATACAAAGGTGGATGAAACAACCCAATGTCCCGTTGGTCATTGAAAGTATGCTCCAATGGGCAAGCCCATCAATAAATATCTCCACCCCTATGACAAACCTCCATCAACTGCTGGAGACAATAGTTAATTTTGTCAGTGCTGATCAAAGGGCCTACCTCGCCATGATAAGGAATATCACACAGTCCCTTAGTAAAGCACTAATGGTGGCAGAGAAACCTGGTGGCCTACAGAGTGAACAGTTTTCAGCCGCCATCTTGGAAGTGGTCCGAAGTGCTTTGAATATCTTGAGTGCAGCCACAGGCCCCCTGCCGCCGTCTGTACAGCAGAACATCCTGGAAATTGTGCAGGACTCACTGAAGCTGATTGTCCAACCAGAGATGAGTATTGCCTCATCACGTAACATCTCCCTCCTCATCCTCAAGAAAGCTGAGAGCCTCATCAAAGTGATAATACCACAACCATTCGCTGAATATGTGCTTGCTGGAGTCGAATTAGTAACCACATATTTTGAGAGCATCTCCGCAGCGACTGGACCAAACAGCTTGAATCAGTTGTGAGTGATGTTTATGTTTTCCAAATACTTAAATAGACTAATGACCACATTTAAATAATGGTATTTAATGGAGTTGAAAAAGGCTTGACAGTTTGCACCCATCAACAAACATTATTCTTTCAGGGAAACCAACATGTTCTATTCACAATATTATCTGAACTAAATTATTGATATATGCTACCATCACTCATTAAACAACCCGTTCTGCAGTCCCAGTTTGTTAACTTCTCATCATGCCAGTATAATTGAGAGTTATACCTTGCTGTAATTAATGAGCAATGTAATGCCTAAAGCAGCGACATCAATATATTTATATTGTGGCGGATCAAATGACAACCTGATGTGAAACATGTTATCAGTAGTTAGTAACTGGCATATATTTATCACCTTACTGCAGTTTCCCTATAGAGCATTTAAGCCTGTTTTAGCATCTTTGAGCTCATGGATGTGAATTTAACAGAGATTGCTGACAGACAAAGTTAACAACTAGCTTTTAAACATAGTGTAACATTTAGCAAATTAACTACACCTACCATTCAAGATGCATAATTGAAAACAAACAAACATTGAGTGCATGCAGTCCTGAAATCCTTTGATAACACTTCATGAGACATGGTAACCTTTTGGTGAAATGTTCAGTTTTGAAATATTGTTGCCCTTTGTTTCTTCAGGATTCTGGATGAGATGGAATCAGTACAGAGCCTCCTGCCACCAAACTGCACCGCCCAGCCCTACATCTCTGTCCTCATTAACATCACTCACTTCATCTTGGAGTCTGGCCAAGGCAAGTCAGCTTCCCTGTTTCACTGTAGGAGGACAGAATGTTGAATCCTGATGAACTCTGATGGAGTGGAGGTCACATTGTGGACTTAATTATTCAAGCTTTGATGCCAGACAGCCTAGGAGCTGTGGATTAAAGCAGCACAATGTTTTTCATTTCTGTTCTAAGAATATGACGCTTTACTCCAAGTCTTACATTTAAAGGGGACCTATCATGCAAAATGCACTTTTGTACGTCTTTTATACATGAATATGTGTCCCCGGTGTTCCAGGGAACTCACCAAGTGTCAGAAAACACAACCCTCTCTATTTTCCTCCATACCCAAATCTCTAAAAAAGGGGCTGCAACGGATCTGATAAAAACTGATCCAGATTTGAACACTTTACTGACGTCAGGAAAGTGACGCTACGGCTATTGGGCCAACTCCACCAATCAGGAGGAGACAGCCACGGCCATTGCCGTTCGAAAGCGCTGGAGACGCTGTAGTACATATGCCAGGCCTGTAAGTGGCGCTGTAGTCTGCCACAAAAGCAGCGAAGAAGACTTGGTTACCATGGTTACCCTTCTGTTTATTCTCCGCTGTGGCTTTTTTTCTCCCTCCCCGAGGCAAGCATTTGCTCCCGCTGCTTTAATTCAATGCAATCCCTCCCCGTCGAGGCAAGCACTGTAATTCTCTCCGGTTAGTCCACCAGCAGATGACAAACACCCACCTCTCCGCCTCTTCCAAGGAACGAGGGGACCGTGCGGCAGAGTTTCAGTTTCAGTTTCTTTCGCCGGTCAAGATGTCCGTTAAAGTTTAAATCTTCCGGACAAAATTAGAAAAGTGCCGGTCAAAGGTCTTCTTTGTTATTTATTGAGCTTTAAAACAAATGAATAACGACTCTATATAGGCTATAATAAAAGACGGAGGACGGAGATCTCTTTTTCTCCCCCTCTTCTGACAGCCCAGCAGCTGATCAGAGCGGCTCCCCTCTCCTGCAGGGGGGCGTGGTCAGCTGCAGCTCACAGAATCAGCCCCGTAGACAGCAAACAGCACATAGAGCAAAATGAGGCATGGCTAAAATGCATGATCTGTTTGGTATTTTGAAAACAGAAACGTATAAATATACCTTATATAGGTATGGCCCTGCAATATATCATTTAAATATAGCATGATAGGTTTCCTTTATGGTATGTTTATTTGTCATTCAAATGTAGGTCCACATTGTAAAAAATATTTCTTGTGATTTCAGGCAACATGAGTCTCTGGGGATTTTTTGAAAGTGCATCATTAGAAAACATGCCCATCATGTTTGGCCAGGTAAGGCTTAAAACACTGTCACATCATTGTATGAGCAGTTAATTAGTGCGAATGCTGTTTACAGCATTCCACTATAGTTCTTCGAATCTTTATTCTTCCCCTTATTATTTCAGCCAATACTTTGGCACTCCATAACTTCAGCTTCTTTTCAGCTACAGAAACCATTCAAATATTAAACTATTCAGCCTGTTCAGGAATCGATGGGAAACCTTCAAATTTTTAAAAATATTTTATACTTCTTGAAATATTCAGCTTTTTATACTCTTTTTTTAACATGGAAGTCAATGGGAGATGCCTTCAAATCCTCTTTTCCTACACTTTGCGCCAAATGCTACTCCTTCCACATACTTTCAGCTAGACACTTCATTCCAACTTCCAAATGATCACAAGACCTTCAGCTATTCAAACTTGACTTTTATTTTTGATATCTTTTACACTTTTTGAGATATTTAACTTAGTTTGGAGCTTGGTAGAGAGGCCTTTTTCAGATTTTAACATTAGTGTGGATGGAGCAGCTCGTTAAGTCTAGAGTGCTTTGATCTCAAAACAGAGTGGAGGAGTGCTTGAAATTCTTCCCCAAAAATGTTTTAAACTTGCCATAATTCCCAAACCCTACACTCCTCAGACATATGTTTACATGAAAAACGTAGGAAAACCTCTCCTAGGTTGGAAAATTAAAAAAAATTAAGAAGAAATATTAAACAAAATGCCTCTTGAGGGCATGAAGAGACATAAAGTCCACCTAGCTCCCAATTGATTCCCATGTTAAATCTTTCCGGAACTTTCTTCAGAACAGAGAGAAGTACACTTTAGACAAACTGCTCCCATCTCCACATTTTACACACAAAACCAAAAAAAACAACATATATCAGTTCATTGGGGTTCCCTGATGCTCACGGTCTGGTAATTATTTGATAGGAGCCATAGTTTTTGAACAGGTGGCAAAATTGTCAGATATAATCCTCAATGCATTCTTAATGGGACTCAGTGATGCAGTTGGTAAATCGTCACAAGTCGTCACCATGGTAACCTTTCATCTCTGGGTTTACACACACAGGTGTTTGTAAACATTAATTCACTACTACTTACATTTAATATCTTTATTTAACTCCTTCAGCCTAAGGGCGATCAAGAGAAGAGAGAGAGGGCGATCAAGAGGAGAGAGAGAGGGCGATCAAGAGAAGAGAGAGGGCGATCAAGAGAAGAGAGAGAGGGTGAGCAAGAGAAGAGAGAGAGAAGAGAGAGAGGGCGATCAAGAGAAGAGAGAGAGGGCGATCAAGAGAAGAGAGAGAGTGCGATCAAGAGAAGAGAGAGAGGGTGATAGAAGAGTGAGAGGGTGATCAAGAGAAGAGAGAGAGGGCGATCAAGAGAAGAGAGAGAAGAGAGAGAGAAGAGAGAGAGGGCGAGCAAGAAAAGAGAGAGAGAGGGCGATAGAAGATTGAGAGGGTGATCAAGAGAACGATGCAGCCATCAACACATCTAAGCGTATTATGGGGTGTCATCAAATGCCGTTGCCATAGCGACAGATAATTCACCATCAAGTTAGTTCAAAAGTTTGCAGTTCAAATATTCTGCTGCTTTCCCAAGCCTTTTTACTTTCTTTTCTCATCTTAATACAAATTCATTCACTACTACTTACATCTGATATTTAACTCCTTCAGCCTATTTTCAGCTGCAGAAACCATTCAACTATTACATTATTCAGCTATTTCAGGACATCAAGGCTATACATGTTGTTGTTTATAACTTTTTTTAAACCTTTTCTTTTAAATATTAGGCTTTTTCTGCATTTTTGTAGCTAAAAGCAGCTACCATTCAGCTAATAACATATTCAGCTTTTTCTGCATTTTCAGCTAAATTCAGCCACAAATGTTCACAGTTTACAGCATTCGCACGCATTTTCTGCAGGAAATGCATTTTCTAGTTTAGTCTATTTGTTATTTCTCCTTTTATTCAAATGTTCTGGGAATTTCCTACAGAGTGAACAGCTTTCAGCCGCCATCTTGTTTGCGGTCCGAAGTGCTTTGAATATCCTGAGTGCAGCCACAGGCCCCCTGCCGCCGTCTGTACAGCAGAACATCCTGGAAATTGTGCAGGACTCACTGAAGCTGATTGTTCAACCAGAGATGAGTATTGCCTCATCACGTAACATCTCCCTCCTCATCCTCAAGAAAGCTGAGAGCCTCATCAAAGTGATAATACCACAACCATTCGCTGAATATGTGCTTGCTGGAGTCGAATTAGTAACCACATATTTTGAGAGCATCTCCTCAGCCACTGGACCAAACAGCTTGAATCAGTTGTGAGTGATGCTTATGTTTTCCAAATACTTAAATAGACTAATGACCACATTTAATTAATGGTATGTAATGGAGTTGAAAAAGGCTTGACAGTTTGCACCCATCAACAAACATTATTCTTTCAGGGAAACCAACATGTTCTATTCACAATATTATCTGAACTAAATTATTGATATATGCTACCATCACTCATTAAACAACCCGTTCTGCAGTCCCAGTTTGTTAACTTCTCATCATGCCAGTATAATTGAGAGTTATACCTTGCTGTAATTAATGAGCATTGTAATGCCTAAAGCAGCTACATCAATATATTTATATTGTGGCGGATCAAATGACAACCTGATGTGAAACATGTTGTCAGTAGTTAGTAACTGGCATATATTTATCACCTTACTGCAGTTTCCCTATAGAGCATTTAAGCCTGTTTTAGCATCTTTGAGCTCATGGATGTGAATTTAACAGAGATTGCTGACAGACAAAGTTAACAACTAGCTTTTAAACATAGTGTAACATTTAGCAAATTAACTACACCTACCATTCAAGATGCATAATTGAAAACAAACAAACATTGAGTGCATGCAGTCCTGAAATCCTTTGATAACACTTCATGAGACATGGTAACCTTTTGGTGAAATGTTCAGTTTTGAAATATTGTTGCCCTTTGTTTCTTCAGGATTCTGGATGAGATGGAATCAGTACAGAGCCTCCTGCCACCAAACTGCACCGCCCAGCCCTACATCTCTGTCCTCATTAACATCACTCACTTCATCTTGGAGTCTGGCCAAGGCAAGTCATTTTCCCTGTTTCACTGTAGGAGGACAGAATGTTGAATCCTGATGAACTCTGATGGAGTGGAGGTCGCATTGTGGACTTAATTAATCAAGCTTTGATGCCAGACAGCCTAGGAGCTGTGGTTTAAAGTAGCACAATGTTTTTCATTTCTGTTCTAAGAATATGACGCTTCACTCCAAGTCTTACATTTAAGGTGTGTTTATTTGTCATTCAAATGTGGGTCCACATTGTAAAAAATATTTCATGTGATTTCAGGCAACATGAGTCTCTGGGGATTTTTTGAGAGTGCATCATTAGAAAACATGCCCATCATGTTTGGCCAGGTAAGGCTTAAAACATAATTGTATGAGCAGTTAATTTTGTCTATTTGTTATTTCTCCTTTTATTCAAATGTTCTGGGAATTTCCTACAGAGTGAACAGTTTTCAGCCGCCATCTTGTTTGCGATCCGAAGTGCTTTGAATATCCTGAGTGCAGCCACAGGCCCCCTGCCGCCGTCTGTACAGCAGAACATCCTGGAAATTGTGCAGGACTCACTGAAGCTGATTGTTCAACCAGAGATGAGTATTGCCTCATCACGTAACATCTCCCTCCTCATCCTCAAGAAAGCTGAGAGCCTCATCAAAGTGATAATACCTCAACCATTCGCTGAATATGTGCTTGCTGGAGTCAAATTAGTAACCACATATTTTGAGAGCATCTCCTCAGCCACTGGACCAAACAGCTTGAATCAGTTGTGAGTGATGCTTATGTTTTCCAAATACTTAAATAGACTAATGACCACATTTAAATAATGGTATGTAATGGAGTTGAAAAAGGCTTGACAGTTTGCACCCATCAACAAACATTATTCTTTCAGGGAAACCAACATGTTCTATTCACAATATTATCTGAACTAAATTATTGATATATGCTACCATCACTCATTAAACAACCCGTTCTGCAGTCCCAGTTTGTTAACTTCTCATCATGCCAGTATAATTGAGAGTTATACCTTGCTGTAATTAATGAGCAATGTAATGCCTAAAGCAGCTACATCAATATATTTATATTGTGGCGGATCAAATGACAACCTGATGTGAAACATGTTGTCAGTAGTTAGTAACTGGCATCTATTTATCACCTTACTGCAGTTTCCCTATAGAGCGTTTAAGCCTGTTTTAGCATCTTTGAGCTCATGGATGTGAATTTAACAGAGATTGCTGACAGACAAAGTTAACAATTAGCTTTTAAACATAGTGTAACATTTAGCAAATTAACTACACCTACCATTCAAGATGCATAATTGAAAACAAACAAACATTGAGTGCATGCAGTCCTGAAATCCTTTGATAACACTTCATGAGACATGGTAACCTTTTGGTGAAATGTTCAGTTTTGAAATATTGTTGCCCTTTGTTTCTTCAGGATTCTGGATGAGATGGAATCAGTACAGAGCCTCCTGCCACCAAACTGCACCGCCCAGCCCTACATCTCTGTCCTCATTAACATCACTCACTTCATCTTGGAGTCTGGCCAAGGCAAGTCATTTTCCCTGTTTCACTGTAGGAGGACAGAATGTTGAATCCTGATGAACTCTGATGGAGTGGAGGTCACATTGTGGACTTAATTAATCAAGCTTTGATGCCAGACAGCCTAGGAGCTGTGGATTAAAGTAGCACAATGTTTTTCATGTCTGTTCTAAGAATATGACGCTTCACTCCAAGTCTTACATTTAAGGTATGTTTATTTGTCATTCAAATGTAGGTCCACATTGTAAAAAATATTTCATGTGATTTCAGGCAACATGAGTCTCTGGGGATTTTTTGAGAGTGCATCATTAGAAAACATGCCCATCATGTTTGGCCAGGTAAGGCTTAAAACATAATTGTATGAGCAGTTAATTTTGTCTATTTGTTATTTCTCTTTTTATTCAAATGTTCTGGGAATTTCCTACAGAGTGAACAGTTTTCAGCCGCCATCTTGTTTGCGATCCGAAGTGCTTTGAATATCCTGAGTGCAGCCACAGGCCCCCTGCCGCCGTCTGTACAGCAGAACATCCTGGAAATTGTGCAGGACTCACTGAAGCTGATTGTTCAACCAGAGATGAGTATTGCCTCATCACGTAACATCTCCCTCCTCATCCTCAAGAAAGCTGAGAGCCTCATCAAAGTGATAATACCTCAACCATTCGCTGAATATGTGCTTGCTGGAGTCAAATTAGTAACCACATATTTTGAGAGCATCTCCTCAGCCACTGGACCAAACAGCTTGAATCAGTTGTGAGTGATGCTTATGTTTTCCAAATACTTAAATAGACTAATGACCACATTTAATTAATGGTATGTAATTGAGTTGAAAAAGGCTTGACAGTTTGCACCCATCAACAAACATTATTCTTTCAGGGAAACCAACATGTTCTATTCACAATATTATCTGAACTAAATTATTCATATATGCTACCATCACTCATTAAACAACCCGTTCTGCAGTCCCAGTTTGTTAACTTCTCATCATGCCAGTATAATTGAGAGTTATACCTTGCTGTAATTAATGAGCAATGTAATGCCTAAAGCAGCTACATCAATATATTTATATTGTGGCGGATCAAATGACAACCTGATGTGAAACATGTTGTCAGTAGTTAGTAACTGGCATATATTTATCACCTTACTGCAGTTTCCCTATAGAGCATTTAAGCCTGTTTTAGCATCTTTGAGCTCATGGATGTGAATTTAACAGAGATTGCTGACAGACAAAGTTAACAATTAGCTTTTAAACATAGTGTAACATTTAGCAAATTAACTACACCTACCATTCAAGATGCATAATTGAAAACAAACAAACATTGAGTGCATGCAGTCCTGAAATCCTTTGATAACACTTCATGAGACATGGTAACCTTTTGGTGAAATGTTCAGTTTTGAAATATTGTTGCCCTTTGTTTCTTCAGGATTCTGGATGAGATGGAATCAGTACAGAGCCTCCTGCCACCAAACTGCACCGCCCAGCCCTACATCTCTGTCCTCATTAACATCACTCACTTCATCTTGGAGTCTGGCCAAGGTAAGTCATTTTCCCTGTGTCACTGTAGGAGGACAGAATGTTGAATCCTGATGAACTCTGATGGAGTGGAGGTCGCATTGTGGACTTAATTAATCAAGCTTTGATGCCAGACAGCCTAGGAGCTGTGGTTTAAAGTAGCACAATGTTTTTCATGTCTGTTCTAAGAATATGACACTTCACTCCAAGTCTTACATTTAAAGGGGACCTATCATGCAAAATGCACTTTTGTACGTCTTTTATACATGAATATGTGTCCCCGGTGTTCCAGGGAACTCACCAAGTGTCAGAAAACACAACTCTCTCTATTTTCCTCCATACCCAAATCTCTAAAAAAGGGGCTGCAACGGATCTGATAAAAACTGATCCAGATTTGAACACTTTACTGACGTCAGGAAAGTGGCACTACGGCTATTGGGCCAACTCCACCAATCAGGAGGAGACAGCCACGGCCATTGCCGCTCGAAAGCGCTGGAGACGCTGTAGTACATATGCCAGGCCTGTAAGTGGCGCTGTAGTCTGCCACAAAAGCAGCGAAGAAGACTTGGTTACCATGGTTACCCTTCTGTTTATTCTCCGCTGTGGCTTTTTTTCTCCCTCCCCGAGGCAAGCGTTTGCTCCCGCTGCATTAATTCAATGCAATCCCTCCCCGTCGAGGCAAGCACTGTAATTATCTCCGGTTAGTCCACCAGCAGATGACCAACACCCACCTCTCCGCCTCTTCCAAGGAACGAGGGGACCGTGCGGCAGAGTTTCATTTTCAGTTTCTTTCGCCGGTCAAGATGTCCGTTAAAGTTTAAATCTTCCCGGACAAAATTAGAAAAGTGCCGGTCAAAGGTCTTCTTTGTTATTTCTTGAGCTTTAAAACAAATGAATAACGACTCTATAGGCCTATAATAATAATAAAACACGGAGGATGGAGATCTTTTTTTCTCCCCCTCTTGACTTGATCAGAGCACGGCTCCCCTCTCCTGCAGGGGGGCGTGGTCAGCTGCAGCTCACAGAATCAGCCCCGTAGACAGCAAACAGCACATAGAGCGAAATGAGGCATGGCTAAAATGCATGATCTGATTGGTATTTCGAAAACAGAAACGTATAAATATACCTTATATAGGTATGGCCCTACAATATATCATTTAAATATAGCATGATAGGTTTCCTTTAAGGTATGTTTATTTGTCATTCAAATGTAGGTCCACATTGTAAAAAATATTTCTTGTGATTTCAGGCAACATGAGTCTCTGGGGATTTTTTGAGAGTGCATCATTAGAAAACATGCCCATCATGTTTGGCCAGGTAAGGCTTAAAACACTGTCACATCATTGTATGAGCAGTTAATTTTGTCTATTTGTTATTTATCCTTTTATTCAAATGTTCTGGGAATTTCCTACAGAGTGAACAGTTTTCAGCCGCCATCTTGTTTGCGGTCCGAAGTGCTTTGAATATCCTGAGTGCAGCCACAGGCCCCCTGCCGCCGTCTGTACAGCAGAACATCCTGGAAATTGTGCAGGACTCACTGAAGCTGATTGTTCAACCAGAGATGAGTATTGCCTCATCACGTAACATCTCCCTCCTCATCCTCAAGAAAGCTGAGAGCCTCATCAAAGTGATAATACCACAACCATTCGCTGAATATGTGCTTGCTGGAGTCAAATTAGTAACCACATATTTTGAGAGCATCTCCGCAGCCACTGGACCAAACAGCTTGAATCAGTTGTGAGTGATGCTTATGTTTTCCAAATACTTAAATAGACTAATGACCACATTTAAATAATGGTATGTAATGGAGTTGAAAAAGGCTTGACAGTAAACACCCATCAGCAAACATTGTTCTTTCAGGGAAACCAACATGTTCTATTCACAATATTATCTGAACTAAATTATTGATATATGCTACCATCACTCATTAAACAACCCGTTCTGCAGTCCCAGTTTGTTAACTTCTCATCATGCCAGTATAATTGAGAGTTATACCTTGCTGTAATTAATGAGCAATGTAATGCCTAAAGCAGCTACATAAATATATTTATATTGTGGCGGATTAAATGACAACCTGATGTGAAACATGTTGTCAGTAGTTAGTAACTGGCATATATTTATCACCTTACTGCAGTTTCCCTATAGAGCGTTTAAGCCTGTTTTAGCATCTTTGAGCTCATGGATGTGAATTTAACAGAGATTGCTGACAGACAAAGTTAACAATTAGCTTTTAAACATAGTGTAACATTTAGCAAATTAACTACACCTACCATTCAAGATGCATAATTGAAAACAAACAAACATTGAGTGCATGCAGTCCTGAAATCCTTTGATAACACTTCATGAGACATGGTAACCTTTTGGTGAAATGTTCAGTTTTGAAATATTGTTGCCCTTTGTTTCTTCAGGATTCTGGATGAGATGGAATCAGTACAGAGCCTCCTGCCACCAAACTGTACCGCCCAGCCCTACATCTCTGTCCTCATTAACATCACTCACTTCATCTTGGAGTCTGGCCAAGGCAAGTCATTTTCCCTGTTTCACTGTAGGAGGACAGAATGTTGAATCCTGATGAACTCTGATGGAGTGGAGGTCGCATTGTGGACTTAATTATTCAAGCTTTGATGCCAGACAGCCTAGGAGCTGTGGTTTAAAGTAGCACAATGTTTTTCATGTCTGTTCTAAGAATATGACACTTCACTCCAAGTCTTACATTTAAAGGGGACCTATCATGCAAAATGCACTTTTGTACGTCTTTTATACATGAATATGTGTCCCCGGTGTTCCAGGGAACTCACCAAGTGTCAGAAAACACAACTCTCTCTATTTTCCTCCATACCCAAATCTCTAAAAAAGGGGCTGCAACGGATCTGATAAAAACTGATCCAGATTTGAACACTTTACTGACGTCAGGAAAGTGTCGCTACGGCTATTGGGCCAACTCCACCAATCAGGAGGAGACAGCCACGGCCATTGCCGCTCGAAAGCGCTGGAGACGCTGTAGTACATATGCCAGGCCTGTAAGTGGCGCTGTAGTCTGCCACAAAAGCAGCGAAGAAGACTTCCCGCCCATAGTTACCATGGTTACCCTTCTGTTTATTCTCCGCTGTGGCTTTTTTTCTCCCTCCCCGAGGCAAGCGTTTGCTCCCACTGCATTAATTCAATGCAATCCCTCCCCGTCGAGGCAAGCACTGTAATTATCTCCGGTTAGTCCACCAGCAGATGACCAACACCCACCTCTCCGCCTCTTCCAAGGAACGAGGGGACCGTGCGGCAGAGTTTCATTTTCAGTTTCTTTCGCCGGTCAAGATGTCCGTTAAAGTTTAAATCTTCCCGGACAAAATTAGAAAAGTGCCGGTCAAAGGTCTTCTTTGTTATTTATTGAGCTTTAAAACAAATGAATAACGACTCTATAGGCCTATAATAATAATAAAACACGGAGGATGGAGATCTTTTTTTCTCCCCCTCTTGACTTGATCAGAGCGGCTCCCCTCTCCTGCAGGGGGGCGTGGTCAGCTGCAGCTCACAGAATCAGCCCCGTAGACAGCAAACAGCACATAGAGCGAAATGAGGCATGGCTAAAATGCATGATCTGATTGGTATTTCGAAAACAGAAACGTATAAATATACCTTATATAGGTATGGCCCTACAATATATCATTTAAATATAGCATGATAGGTTTCCTTTAAGGTATGTTTATTTGTCATTCAAATGTAGGTCCACATTGTAAAAAATATTTCTTGTGATTTCAGGCAACATGAGTCTCTGGGGATTTTTTGAGAGTGCATCATTAGAAAACATGCCCATCATGTTTGGCCAGGTAAGGCTTAAAACACTGTCACATCATTGTATGAGCAGTTAATTTTGTCTATTTGTTATTTATCCTTTTATTCAAATGTTCTGGGAATTTCCTACAGAGTGAACAGTTTTCAGCCGCCATCTTGTTTGCGGTCCGAAGTGCTTTGAATATCCTGAGTGCAGCCACAGGCCCCCTGCCGCCGTCTGTACAGCAGAACATCCTGGAAATTGTGCAGGACTCACTGAAGCTGATTGTTCAACCAGAGATGAGTATTGCCTCATCACGTAACATCTCCCTCCTCATCCTCAAGAAAGCTGAGAGCCTCATCAAAGTGATAATACCACAACCATTCGCTGAATATGTGCTTGCTGGAGTCAAATTAGTAACCACATATTTTGAGAGCATCTCCGCAGCCACTGGACCAAACAGCTTGAATCAGTTGTAAGTGATGCTTATGTTTTCCAAATACTTAAATAGACTAATGACCACATTTAAATAATGGTATGTAATGGAGTTGAAAAAGGCTTGACAGTAAACACCCATCAGCAAACATTGTTCTTTCAGGGAAACCAACATGTTCTATTCACAATATTATCTGAACTAAATTATTGATATATGCTACCATCACTCATTAAACAACCCGTTCTGCAGTCCCAGTTTGTTAACTTCTCATCATGCCAGTATAATTGAGAGTTATACCTTGCTGTAATTAATGAGCAATGTAATGCCTAAAGCAGCTACATCAATATTCTTATGTTGTGGCGGATCAAATGACAACCTGATGTGAAACATGTTGTCAGAAGTTAGTAACTGGCATATATTTATCACCTTACTGCAGTTTCCCTATAGAGCATTTAAGCCTGTTTTATCATCCTTGAACTCATGGATGTGAATTTAACACATATAACTTTAAAGTTTAAATTAATGTTAAGCGCAGCTGCTGTAGCAAACCCACTCCACAATACTTGTTGTCCAGTATAAAATGACTGACAGAAAAAGGTAACCACTATTTATCAGCTAAAAACTACATATTTCAACAAGGGGTTTTTGGAGACCAAAAACAGAGCTAAAAGGAGTGTGAATATTGGACTTTCATTCATCTGCTGAACAGGTATACTAATTTGGCTAAATATTAGTCCGTCAAATGTGCCAGTGAGCATGTATTCACTAACAAGCTTCCAACATCAAAGTAGTAATATGTCAATGTTGTGGTTTTATTTTTCCAAGGTCGCCAAACAGTCTGATTATTGTTGGTTGAATTATTTTACAATTTGGTTTAAAATACTTGGTTTAACGGGACATTTAGACAGCATTTCTTTATCTTTATTATAAGAGGTACAGTTTTAGTGCTTGGTACTCAAGGTGCTTTTAGTTGAACTGTCTTACCAACTAGACCTGATTAATCAAAATGAATTGGATTCATCTTGCTTGTCAGAAAAATTCCCTTAGTGGATGATTAATATTAAAATAACTAACATCTACCGGTCTAGATGTATAATTGAAAACAAACAAAGATGGAGTGAATGCAGTCCTGAAATCCTTTGATAACACTTTATGAGACATGGTGACCTTTTAGTGAAATGTTCAGTTTTGAAATATTGTGTTTCTTCAGGATTCTGGATGAGATGGAAGCAGTACAGAGCCTCCTGCCACCAAACAGCCCTGCCCAGCCCTACATCTCTGTCCTCATTAACATCACTCACTTCATCTTGGAGTCTGGCCAAGGCAAGTCAGCTTCTACGTGTCACCGTAGGAGGACAGAATGTTGAATCCTGATGAACCCTCATGGAGTGGAGGTCGCATTGTGGATTTGATTATTCAAGCTTTGATGACAGCCTAGGAGCTGTGGATTAAAGTAGCACAATGTTTTTGATGTCTGTTCTAAGAATATGACGCTTCTCTCCAAGTCTTAAGTAAATGTAGGTCCACATTGTCAAAGATATTTCTTGTGATTTCAGGCAACATGAGTCTCTGGGCAAGTTTTGAGAGTGCATCAGAAGAAAATGTGTCCATCATTTTTGGTCAGGTAAGGCTTAAAACACTGTCACATGGTTGTATGAGCAGTTCATTGTGTCTGTCTGTTATTCCTCCTTTCATTTAAGTGTTCTGGGAATTCTCTGAATAACATATTACATCAAACAAATGCTGATTGGCATCTCAATTTCATCTACTGAAAACATTGGCCAACACCTAGTTCCAAACTACAGGAACAAAAAGATAGATCATATCAATGATCAGTTATGTGTCCTCAATGTTGTCACAACATTTAAACGGTCAAAGAGCACATGAAACAACACTTTTGTAGTTTAGGTTTTGCATTGAAAAACATAAAAACAGTGGGTGAAAAATGCGACCTGTTTCCCTCCCTTTTTGTATCCATTTTTTCTGTGTTCAGCTGGGAAAACTCTTGAGCACGCTTTGGCCTGGTATCATGGGAGGCCAAGGGTTACATACAACTGCTCCATCTCTGGAGGGCTTTGTTCATCTTGCACCAGTCCTACAAGAGGTGATGACTGGAAAAGCAGACAAGGAAACATGGGACAAGTAAGTTTAATTGACACTTGTAATGGAAAAAAAACAAACAGCTAATTACGGGATGTTAGTTAGAAAGCAGGTTAATATTTAACCAAATGACTTGTATGTCTTTGTGAGATAATAATATGATTATTCAATAATAAAAAAAGGCAGTTTAGTTCCATCTGTGATTGCACTAAACCTGTGTGTTTTCACAGACTTGAAAAGCTACTAGAGTCCCTTCTGTCAACCCTCAAAGGAACAGAGCTGTGGGACGGCACCCCATCTGTTATCCCACAGTTTGAGAAAATCATAAGAAGCTTGGTGAACACTGTGCAAGCACAGAACGGTGAGTATACTACTGAACAGCAAGGCTGTTGTCTTACATTTGTATACCCAAGACAGGTATATCAGTTTATTGATCCAAATTATTAACTGTGACACAGCATGAAGAAAGAATATGTACAATATTGAAACTGATGTCACCTTTTAGGTTTGATAATGGCTTGAAAAGCATACCTTTTGCAGAATGGCACACCTTAAACATACATGAAATACCTGTTGAAAAGTACCTTGTGTACCATTTCCTAAATAGGACATGTTTTCTTATCTAGCTTTTTTGTTAAGTCATCCTTGTTGGTCAATCCCTTTGTCTTTTCTTTCTCCCAGTGATGATACAAAGCCTTCAGATGCCTGTGGTGACCCTGATGAGAGAAATTGCACAGTCTGTGAACTCCACCCATTTTAACTTGTCTGAGATCTCCCAAAGAATGCAGCCTGCCATTGAACACACGCTGGAGCTAGCTGAGCAGGTTAGACTGCTTCTCCCTGGGAAGTTTTGGTGTCTTCACAGTCAGTTGCTAGCATCTTTTGTGAAAATGTTTCCGTGAGAGAGAGTCACGTGAGAGATACATTACCGTAACAATGCATACATCTTCATCCATTATTGCATTTGACTATGCCTATCTCTCATCTTGAGGTTACACCTTATGTAATAATAGTTTCCACACACTTAACTGATGTACACGCTTGGGGTTTGGATTTGTATAACTATCTGTCTTTTCTTCCTTGCCATTTTTTGTTTATTTTAAGAGAATTATTCTTAATTCTTTTTGAAAGACAACATGCCGGTATATAAATAACATGTGGGTTGTCTTGCCCTGTTAGCGCTCAGCGTGTTGATGCAGCTGACAACTGGATGATGGCTGGCATTTGTTCCTTGGATTAGTTATGCTTCATTCAAAGGTTAAGAATGTTCCTCATTTAGTGACAAGGAGTCAATAGTAAGAATGCTTGTACCGACGACACTGATAGTAGTCCTTCTGATGTACAAAACGAAAAAACAGACAAGCAAAAACAATCTAGTTGTTTGTCAGACATGCTTCCCCATACTGGAGCCTGAGCCATACATCTGCGAGCTATCTGCCTATTTGTACTGGTCACATATATAACAGTATTAGTGAGAATGTTGGCATTAACAAACCAAAACACTTATTCATTATCTTACCGATAGTTAGAGGAGAAAATAGGCCTACATATTTTTTCTTAAATATCATTATCATTAACAGCCTAATAAGGGATTATAAGGAAAACAAATATACAGAGGAGCAGAGCACTATTACAGGTTATTTTTATATTATTGTCTTGTGTAATTATAGGCTATACAATCTATCAGAGAGATCTGACATGGCAGAAACTCTATAGCTGATCCAGTGTTTGTTCCGATACATTGTGTATGCACATACAGTACATACAGTACATACGTGGTGTGTCTACTTGGTATGCACGTTTGTGAGAAGCGATGATACTTGTGTGACATTTCTTCCCTTTTATTTGCTACTGCGTAAACTGCATGAACATAGAGATAAAGGGAAGTCCCTTGTGCCTCTACCTTTTGTCTACCGGCTCTTTGTTCTACCTGCCTTTCAAACTGAACTAGTTTTCTGGGAACATTACAAATGAAACACAATAACGTGTTGAAATATTCCCTCTAGGCTAATGGCACGTTGAAGTGCAGTGAAGTTCTCATAGCATGGGAGCCCGTAAGAGAGGCGGCAGGGCTGAGCCCCTCCATCATGTCTATGTGGTGTAACATCCACCTGCAGCCTGTTCTGGAGGCCTATGCTGAGGCCCAGACTGTCTACGCCCTCATGAACATGAGTGTGAGTACTGTAGCTGCATGGCAAATCAAACAGGACATACTAAAAACAACTCATTGGTTGAAGGCTATTAGAATTAAAATGTGTTTCTCAGATCATATTGAAATATTCAATATTCAAATATTCGTGTACCAAAAAAATATTCTATTACAATTACTGGTTTTACCACTTGGTGGCAGTGTTGACGCACAGATAAAGCTGCCACATAACATTTCTGCTGTATGTTTTCTATACAGCACATGGGTGTGGGACCAATGACTGTGAGCGCCACAGCTGCCAGGATCGTCAAGAGTGTACAGTCCCTCTACCATGCCAACATGAACAGCACAATTGTGTCACAGCAGCTCATCATGGTGATCGTCAACCAGCTCTCTGGGCTTACAGGCCAGTCTCTGAGCCCTGAGGCAGAGCTTTACTGGTACAAGCAGCTCCAAGATGTGCAGCTGCTAAACAGGTAAACAAAAATAACAACCACAATGACATTGCAACATTGCTAACGCAATGCTGAACAAGAAAATCCATTAAACAATTTATCCTAAAAAAAGTGAATCTAATCCTGATCCATGTAATTATTAGTGATTAAGATATCAGGTCAAATTAGCATTTTAGACTCTCAAAACCTACAATGCTGAGATCATTGCATATTTGGGTTCCCAGTTTTATTTCTAACAGAGACCTTAGTGGATCAGACAGAGCACCCACACTAAAGCCACAGGATATGATGCAATCATATGAAAATATAATGGAGCCACATAACAAAACCCGCCCAATAGTGTATCTCCACGCAGACCCATACAGACAGACAGGTTTAGATAGACAGTCTAAACTCTCCTCACATTTTTTTTTGCAACAGTAGCAAATTTGAGTCATTTCAAATTACACAAGGAATTAGGAGTGATCACATTTGTAATCAACTTGATTCATTTCAGGCAATTCTGTCTGAAAAGAGGCAGGACATGATAGTGGCTTAACCATGATTCAGCTGAGTGGAGACATCCTCTTAAAATTGATTTTCCTTTATATGCCTGCTGAAATGATGAGCCGTGCACTGTGATAAGGATCATATTCTGCATATCACAGGGAATCCATCAGGTCTAAGTACATATGATAAAGATCGTTGATCACAGTGGAAAGACTCCACAGTCTTTTATTACAGATGAAATAATAAAACTATGTACAGTAAAAAGCAAGATGACAAAGAAATATTATTAGATTTCTATGGAATAATTGTGATCAGGAAATGAACTAAAACAAGATGTTCATGTCATAAAAGAAGCATGTAAGAACTAGTCCTGAGTCCTTGTCCATAGAAGAGCTTTGTGTCCTACAATCAAAATGTTTTACTTATGTCATATTGACTTTTTATACATGACTTTAATTGAAATGTTCCCCTCTACAGTTTGAGTTCTTTCAAAATGCTCTCAGACGAGCTGGTAAACGCGGCCCCATTCATCCAGCCTTACACTGATGCATTAGAGGGAGCACTGAACCACATCCTGGGCAACTACGATCTTTTTGAAGACAGCAGCTCATCCGAAGACATCTTCAGAGAAGCAGCAATGATCTTCCTATCGTCTGCAAACATAACATTGGACAATTCCATGATGTCAGGCAATTTCTCTGGACTCAATGTAGAATCTCTAACCAACATGATAAAGGAAGCTGTCCAACAGATCATTGACCTGCAGATATTTGGGAATGAGCCTATGCTTTACCAAGCCTTGGAGCAGTTTCTGGCATCCAACGAATCAAGCATGATTGTGCAGAAGGTGTTCGACATGGTTGCATGGTTGGCCTCCACTAAATCATCTGGATTTGACCTGCTGACTCAGGTTCTGCCTAAAATCTACGACATAGTCAGGCCTCTCCTGTCTGTTCTGACCCAGTTGGGTTTGGACATGTCAGAAAACATGGAGCTGTTTGAAGACCTAGCTGGAAACATCATAGCAATGCTGAGGCAGTTGGTAAGCACCAGCGGTCTTCTGTCCCCCAAGGACCACCGATCAAGTATGTATGGAATGAGCGGTGGTAACCATACATCGAGGGTCCGAAACCGACGCGAGGCCCCATCGATGATGGCAAGGGATCCCATGGATGACTTCATAGACCTGTTCTACATCGACTACCCTACCATGTTCAAAGCCATCTCTGTTCCTGTTTCTACAAATGAAATCCTGGAGACTGTCCACGTGTTCTTTGCCAATCCTGATATGAACGTTGTGGTGAAGGGAGTTACAAGCGACATGTCGTGGGGCTTGAACGCCTCTCGGGAAGACACCATTGATGCTGCCCTTGGCCTGCTCTCCTTCGTCACTCTGCCTAGCACGTTTCAGATGTAAGTCCCTTTTGAACCTTCTCTAGTATGGCTTTATGAATGATACAAAAACCAGAGATGGCAAAAGTACACCCATCCTTTACTCAAGTAGAAGTAGAGATACTCGTGTTTAAAAATACTCTGGTAAAAGTAGAAGTACAGACTAAACTTCTTTACTCAAGTAAAAGTAAAGAAATATAGGCTTCGAAATGTACTTAAGTAAAAAGTACCCATAACTACCAGCTGTTTTATAGAGTAACTGACCTCCCTTTATATTAAAAGAACAATAATGTCATTGTTAGCTAATGAATGTTTTGATGCTGAACAATGGCAACATGACAAAGTTCTCATTGGTCCCTCTTGTTTAGAGAAGACCAGGAAATGATGGATACACGGATCGTGTTCAAATCAATAGGCACGCAATGACTCTAAATAATAATGATCACGCCAACCAATCGCAGAATAAAACTCAAGTAACCAGCCTGTCTTGAAAATGTAAGAAGTAGAAAGTACAGGTATTTGTGTTAAAAATGTAAGAAGTAAAAGTAAAAAGTTGTCAGAAAAATAAGCAGTGGAGTAAAGTACTGATACCAGAAAAATGTACTTAAGTACAGTAATGAAGTATTTGTACTCCACTACTTCCCACCTCTGACAAAAACAAACCTTTTTAAGTTGTGTAAACCCAATCACTTTAGATATTAGTTTGTACCAAAAACACAACTTATTTGCAAATGTTGGACCTTGTTTTATGTGTTTAATCTTCCCCAGGTCATCAATGGATCTTCTGTCAAATGCTGCTGCAATGCTTCCTGATGGCTTTCCATTCTCCGCGATGCTTAAACATATCACCAGAGTGCTTGCTGGTGAATCTCAAGGTAACTCATCGGTTTAGGTCTACTTTCTCTCTGACTCATTCTGGACAGTTAGAGGATTGTTTGACCAGATGCAGCTTTATGATGAGAAATGGCCACTCATTAGTTAAATTGAGAATCCCCTAATGGGTAATGCTTTATCCTTTTAGTTTCTCCAAATTAACTTTACCTACCGACTCCTCAGTGAATTCCCTCCCACTCATGCTTAATTAATGGTGTAATGTAGAGCTCACACTGATGCTGCAGCTTGTGTTTACATACCTGCTGTGTCAGTATGTACATTATAAGCAGCTTGGGCCATTAAAAAAAGTAACGCAGCATGGAAGAGTGCAACCCTGACCTTCACAGCCACCCTGACCTTCACAGCTATTACGACACCATGGGAAGACCATCAAACGATTTGTTAATGCTGTTGTTATTGTATACATGATTATAGTACGCCATAATTCATTCCAGAGATATGAGGAATAAGGCTTCACATCGGCTTAGCTTGAGCTCCCAAAGAGCCCAAGGCCATATGGCCCTTCTCCAGCTGAAAGCCACTCAGCACCTTTTTAAATCTCATTAGCAAAGTAGAATTCAATCACTTATCCTGTCCGCCCTCGCTAAACGTCTCCCCTCGCACTCACACAAGTGGACATCTATGACCTCCTTTTAATTGGCATCTGTGCTTGTGTGATAATATTTTCAGTGCATAGAATTACTTTGTAGGCAGATGCAGCGTCTTCACTTCTTCTCAACCCAGCTCCAATTCTTCACACACACATCCAGGGTGCACTGTTGTAATTGCAGGGGCCTCTAGGTGTTGAGCACCCTGAGATTAAACATCACCATTGTCTAATTTTGGCCTAATTATAAATTCTGTCATCACATCTTGCTGCCCGAGGTGGTGCCTTTCTTCGGGTTTGTCAGATGTGTTTTAATTCACGACAGCATCCCGTACTGCGGGCCCTCCTGGCCTCATCAGTCCAGCACAGAGCTTCACTTAAAACACATCATTTGCCGCTCGCTGGCTGAAGACGCTGCCCCGTAATGGTGCGAGTTGTAATGAATACCAGTGGGATGTCATGTTATTCTGTCACCTTATTGCCCTCCTTTCCCTTTCCTGTCCCATTTTCCTGTCCAACTCTAATAACCTCCCCCCCCCCCTCTCCTTTAATCTCTGCCTCCCTTCACAGAGAACCTCATGCTCATGCAAGAGACCATCCAAACAGCCATCGAGCTCTTCCAGATCAGCCTGACGGACCCACGATTCACAGAGCAACTCAGCCACCTGGGATCCAAGGTCTCTGCATTAACCCGGCCACTTGCACACATTCAACATGAATTGAAAAAGGGAAAATAGTACTTCAGAATGTTAAAGAAATCCTATAAAGATCCATTAAGTGATTGAAGAAGCACTATTATAATTAGAAGTACTTAGAATCCAGATGATGTTGATATTGCAGAACCTATTTGACTCAAACGTTGTCAGTGTTTAAACCCACTCATATGTATATCATGTGTCCCCGCAGTGTTATTTGGTTGCTCATGCTAAGATGTGGTTATGTCACGGTGTGCTTTGACAAGCATTTTATGTTTTCCTTACTTCTAAAGGAAAAGCCTCAAAGACAAAATCATCACGAGTAAAACTTTAAAGAAATTAACCATCAAAGTTTTATCAAACCTTTGTAAAGTTTGATTTTAGTTATTTGAGTCACAGTGAGACAGACGTTTTACAGACTCTAACGCTAACCCTGAAGTCTTAAATTGAACTGTGTAGCGAAATGTTCCCACGGTACAGCAGCAAACCATCAAATCTATGTTTGATATGTTTGATCCTGAGATTTGGCCAGAAACCAACTTGTTCCTTACTTGACTGATTGTAGGTGTGTGCGGTGGAGCAAACAGAGTCTGTGCGTCTGCTGATGCTGTCCCTCTCCATTGAGCCTGGCCAGCTGTGTAACACTATTCTACCGAGCCTGCAGATGTTGGTTGAGAGTCTGATGATGAACACATCCTATCTGAGCGATGCCATCTTCCAGACCGCCATCGGAGAACCAAAAGCCTACAACCTCAATTCAAACTGGTACAACATTGTCTTCATTCTTAAACGTGTTTCACAGCAATGATTACAGAGAACGCTGCTCTTGCAAACCTCTCGATCAGATGTTTTCAAAGTGGGAGGCCAGTTTCCCCAAGAGGGCTTCAAACTGCTTCAGGGGAAGCTCAGTGAATTGATGTTAAGGAAAATTACATCAGTTAATAAAAGAAGATCACATGAAATAGCCTAGACGTGTGATTTGGTTAAAGAGATAATTCAGAGATATAGTAGTTTGGGGATGTATTACTGTTATATTATAAATGTGTCTAGGCTGTAGATATGGCATTAATATTAATCTATCTTGGCTCATTTGTCTGGTATCTATGGCATTTAAATAATATAACCATGATCCCATCCACATCAAGGAATTGAGAAAAAGTACGATTCTTTAATCCCTTTTCTTTATTTGTTAAATCATATCACAGTGGGCCGGGCTGTTGCACTTTACAGAACTCTCCTTCCCGGATTTGAGAGGAAATAAATCAGGCAGTACTCTTGCTGTCATTTGGGGCCAATAGGTAAACTTGCATGTATGTGTTTGTGTGTGTGTGTGTGTGTGTTTACAGGTCCTCTCTGTTGAGTCAAGGCTTAGGCTTTAACACCAGCAACCTGAGCTCTTTAGACATTAACATCACTGCGCCAGGTAAGATGTTTCCCTATGTCACAGAAGTTGCTGTATTTCACAATATGTTATTATACATTCCTTCACCACTACTATACCTACCAGAATTCACCCCTAATGCTGCTTTTCCCACCACACAGATTATACTTCTCACTGCCGGTTCTGTTGTTTTTTAGATAATTAATTGGCTGTGTAAATATGAATAGGGACAAGGACGCACGACAGAGTTTAGCGTGATCCAGAAAGTTTGTTTTGAATTGTCCAAAAGTGTAATTTAAGGCTGTGGTCACTTTTTATTAAAAAGGGTGATGCCTGACATGCTATCTTTAGAAAAAATAGAAAATCACACACCTTGTTTCCATAGCAACAGACTGCTCATATCAGCTCACCTGTCACTCACTTGTGTCTGATGCCACTTCCTTTATTGTCACTGGATTATCTAATAATAGTCACTTACTGCAGAGGCACATTTCTCCACTGTGACCATGATCGTTTTTCATTAGGATTGGCTGGCTAAGATAACAGTTCATCTCATTTAGCGCTGAACTTTTTCAGCATGGGGTCCTCTTTTAAAAACCGCAGCCAGTATTGGCATATTTCAATGATTCAAAAAAGGTAGACCAGAACACCCTAATGTAGCTGTTCCACCTCTTCTGCTGCAGGAAATGCAATCAACTTTAGGAATGAAATGAAAAGTGCCACTGAAAGCAAAAGTATTTCTGTTTCTGTTTCTACAGAAACTAGATTAGGGTTTAAAACAACAAAACCAAAGGACTGAGTGAATGTCATAGTAAAAAGAAATACACTTTCAACCTACCCTTTGTTTCACTCTATTTCCCAGGAGTGGTGACAGTCGGTGAGTTGCTGAGGAATAAAACAGCCTTCCTCGTTGATGTTCAGAAACACATGGATTTCGATCCAGATGCTCTCCACCTGTTGATGGAAACAATATTACCAAACAACAATTTAGAGGTGAGCCAGGAACCACTTTAGCATGTCATCACATACACTATAAAGTGTGGAACAAGGTTATTGTATTTTCTTTAGTGTTTAGATTATCTCAGACAATGCTGCAAAAAAAAATGTATACAATCATTTATACAAACTAAAAATCTGGTGGTACAGCCTGTCTACATACTCCAAAAGGTAAATTACACCCTGTATGCATTTTGTTCATAGCAGACCAATGTGACTCATAAATACCACTTGAATTGGAACAAAAATATGTATATGATTGCTAACTTAGAAAACTGTTAAGTTCCTATGACACTTCAATGCTTTACTGTTCAACATATTCATCATTTTCTCTGTATGATGCTTGATTCAAAACATTTCTTGCCAATCATTTAATGAGCCGCAAGACCGACTTGTGCCCTAAAGTACAACATTTTGTTTTTACTAAATGGAGGAAAAAACCAACGCACATGTTATAAAAATGCCTAACCGAACACTAATATCAATGAGGAAAATTCACAATCAGAACACATGCCGTTGTGTAGTTCTGTACACACTCTCCTGTTGCCTGTACTAACTGTTTCCATACCCTCTTAATTCTATTACACAGATCCTGTCCTGGTTGGTCAACCTGCGTCACTGCGGCTCCACAGAAGCGTTGGAAATGAAAGAGACAGATTTGGAGATGTTGAAGACCTTCTGCTCCTTGTCTGTTGAGCAGTGGTACAGCTTCTCAATGCTGATGGCTCGCCACCTCAACATGGAGAAACTCATCTACAGAGTAAGGCTGATTTCTGATTGAGTTTTTTGTCAAAGAAAAAGTAAGGTGGTACACCTCCTATATGTGATTTATTTAAAAGAAACATAATGCTTTCTTTGTGATGGCCAAAGACATCATTTTTGTTGGGCTGTAGCAAAACGTGTGAGATGAAACATTGTGTTTGTTTGAGACATATGTAAGAAAGAAATGATTGCTTTTGTACAAGAAAAAACCTGTTCACTAGACAAAGCTCTGCCTCCCTCTCAAATTTAAAAACATGTATTTCTACCTGATGTTTCTTTTTCTATTTGATCTAAAAAAAAACTTGTCCATCAAAAAATCTAGTTACCTAGAAACATGTGTGTAAGAAGCTTACAGCTTTTTTATATTTCATGAGAAGTTAATCTTTATTTCATGTGTTTCTTTGATGTTTTTTAATTAAAACTCCTTCACTCATAGATTTTAAAACAACACTGAAAAGATATGTCAAGTCCTGGATGGATTTAGAGACTAGAGAAGACAGAAAAAAGAGCAATAACAGTTTGGAAATGAAAACCATAGCAAGATGTCTGAATGTTGGCCCCTGTCTTTCAGATGGTGTTGACTGAAGAAATGCAAGGCCTGGTGGGAGTTATGCTCCAGATGGCTGAGGTTATAACCAGCATGATGAAAACATTCATTCCTACCATCGGTCATCTTCAAACCTTCATGGTCTCCGTCCAAGACCTCAACCTGGGAGCCAACCATGAATTTGACCAAGTATGTGTACAGTGCTTTACCCACAGCTATGTGTGTGTGATCACTACACGTATGCCATAAATGACGAATGAATTTGCTATAAAATGTTCTGTTAAAATACTGCAAACTGGTACAGGCAAAAGCTTTTGCGTTAAAGGGGACCTATCATGAAAAATGCACTTTTTTATGTCTTTTATACATAAATATGTGTCCCCGGTGTGTCAGGGAACTCACAAAGTGTCAGAAAACAAAGCCTCTCTCTTTTCCTCCGTACCCAAATCTCTAAAAACGGGGGTACAACGGAGCTGATCCAGATTTTCATCCGATATGACGTAATATCGGAAATGTGGACCCACGGCCCTATCAGAAACGTTGCTATTAGAAACAATGCCCGACTGTTTTGGACGTAATATGGTCTTTGTTTACATTAGCAAACATCGCTAACACACAGAGCTAACCTGTACTGGAGAGAGTATGTGTAAAAAAGCAGGAAATAAAAAAAGGAACTCACCTTGAGAAAAAGCATTTGAGCTTCATACTGTTTCAGAAATAATCTTTGATGTGGTTTGGAACATGATATGGCATTTAACCACGGCAGCATTAGCTGTCTCCCGGTAGAATTCTGAGCAGGCATAAGCTCCGCCCACTTTTTTTTTTTTTCTTCAAGTTAAGGACCCCAAACCTGCAGTTCCCTAACAGGGCTGAAATAGAGGGATATGAGGGATGTCTAAAATGCATGATCTGTTTGGTTTTATGAGCAAAACACATCATATACATGTTTTTTAATATTTTTTTTAATATCTGAGAACCATAATATATGCCTATAAATAGCATAATAGGAGACCTTTAATACATGTTTTTTTCCAAGAGGCCTTCAGTTATGTATTTATATTTGCATGACAGATAATTCATTTTTCATTTATGATAATGATAAAGTATTCAATGTTTCACTCTCTTCCCACAGATGGCTAGAGGACACAGGTCAAGCATTTCCAGCAAAGCTACGTTTGTCACCCTCTCTCGAGCGTTGTGCAGTAAAGGTATCCTGGCTCTGTTCGGAGTCTCTAAACTCACCACCATCATGGAATTAAACTCCTCCCAATCCGACCAGGTCAAGAGGGGGGAGATGATCAAGAGGTTCAAGATCCCACAGGATGCCTGTACGTACAAAGGGGAAGGGATTTGCTAACTGAATTGTATTGCCTGTGTATTTGTTCTTGGTATTCAGTGTTTTTCACAGGATTCCCGTTGCTGTCTAAAGCATTCGTAATTAGCATTCTGTAATATGTTTTTATATTATAAAAAAACATTATCTATGCCTTAATGAGAGTGCTGCTACTTTGGTTTCTGACTCAAACACACTGTTGGGAGTTAAGAGGGTAGATTTATTTTTCCTAAATAGAATTTAAATATGTATGGACACTTCTGCTTAAGTTTTGTTTGCTAACTTCCCAGTGTAATAAAGGAATACAAATAAGAGGGTAAGGCTGATTGCATTGTATTTGTCTTATCATCAGCAAACTTCATTAAGTCCACAACTTACAAATTCATTGATACTACCTTCCAGTTTTGTTGGGACTTACCATTTGTACAGATTTGACGGTACTCGTAGGGATGAATGTGCTGTGAGAGTAATGCTACAGACACCTTGGGGAAGTTTAACACCCCAAAAGATGGATTTATTTGTTAGTTTTTTTTAATGGGATTTGTGGCAACAAGGATATGAATGCCAACTGTTCGATTATTTTTACAAAAACTAGATATCAACTTGTTTGTTGGATATTACATTTGTATGAATACTGTATATCTAATGATTCTCCAATCGTCTGCCCTTGTGTAGCTCCCTTCTGTATGAACATGTACCTGGATATGGTCAACACCACGGGCGGAGCCATCGCCTGGGCCTTCCTCAAACCAATGCTGATGGGTCACATTTTGTATACCCCTGACACACCTGCCACCAGGGCCATAATGGAGAAGGTATGAAGCACATATCAAATATGTCTTGTGTTTGGGTCAGCAGCTTCAAAATCAGCATTCACGGTTTTGCCGAGTATGTTGATCTTTTATTTTTGGTGTATTGGATGAACATAGTGAGAAAATATAGAAGAAAAATACAAAAATAATTCAACATAAATATAGAATAGAAGAAAATTACTATAAAATATGAAAAATACTATAGGAAAAAGTCTTCATGAACTTATGAACTCTGTGTTCTAAATCCTCCAGAATCCCTCCTCTGTCCTTGTTATGCTTTTACAGGAGTTTTTTTCACTCTTACTTCTACCTTTTCTAGGGTTTAGTTACCTTTGTAGTCTTCAAGCACCCCTACTGGCATGTAGTAAACAAGAAATACAGCATTGCAAGGGGTGCAGACCTATTTGTATGCGCCACCATCTTCCACTGTGGTACTATTTTGAGCAACTTTAGTTTTTTTAGTATACTGCTGACTTCACAGACGAAAACAGCCATAAGAACAATGAAATAGGGCAGGTTATGAAATCTCAGCCATTTCATATATTCTCGTCCTTGTCCTCTCCTTTCCAGGCCAATTCCACATTGAATGAGTTTGCAAATCTAAGGAAGTACTCCGAGGACTGGATCGAATCCTCCAACTACCTCGTGAAGTCTGCCGTGTTACTCAGCCAAACTTTGCCAATGCTACAGGTATGAAAACGTTGAACTGTCTTTTGAATATCTTATCGTTGCAGCTGGCTCGCTGCCATCTCGCTGCCATTTTGGAGATAAACTTTGCAGTGGTCTGCCACGAGTTTCAGCAGGCGAATGTTGATGTTGTACTTCGTCTCTTCCCACTCCCTCTCAGAATTCCCTCGGCAATTCCTTTGTTCAGAGATTCATTGAGATGCAGACAGACATCAATGTCGACACAATGAAGGAGACGCTCAGCAACTTCTGTGAGTGAGCATTTGAAGGTCTTAGTTTTGTAAGCGGCAGATTCCAGGCTTACCTTTATATTTCTCCCTCATTTATTGCCTGTAAAATATCTGCGCTATCAGAAAATAGCACTGCTGCTTATATTTACATGAAGCATCGCTATCATCACTTCAACATGCATTCCTTAAGGTCTATCTTCTTGATGTGATTATATGTGACAGTTTTTTTCCTCACAAAGGTCTGACTTTGATGTGCAGGTATTTAATCAGATTACCTTGAAATGCCAGACCATATCTTTTTATCCGAGTTAACATATGAGATAACAGTGCATGACACGGAACAGACACGGGGAAGTAGCATTACTTTAATTTAGATTGACAGCAATCAAATCTAAATCTACACGCTGAACTGCTTTGACCCTGTCGGTGAATTTCTAAATGTGTTTTTTTCCCCTAAAGCTAACATTACCGCCATGCTGGAGAAAAACAAACACATAATGGATCAGGTCACCACCTTGTCCACCCTGATGGTGAACCTCTCCTCCTGCATCACATTTGACCGTTACCGTGGCTACGACACTGCTGATGAGCTCAACGCTGCAGCTCAGCACCTCGCCAAAAACCGTGATCTCTACGCGAGTAAGTAAATATTAGGTATAATGGACACGTTTATGTGAGGAGAGCCGACTCATTCTGACCTGCGGGTTCATGAGGACAGTGCAGTGTGTTTCCACAAAATGTGATTTATTATTGATTATATTCCATCATATGTCGTACTTTTCTGGACTTATGTTTGTGTTAGAGCTTATCCCAGCCAGGCAAAAGCATCCACCACATCAAAATATTGTTGACAGATTTTTAACCTATGGTGCTACTGACTCAGTTGATAATGATTTAAGATTCCACCAAAACAGACTTTAAAACAGTATGTCTAGTAGAAAAAGAGCGTAAAAGCTGCTCTTTAAATGCTATCCTTAAAGGTATACTGTTTTTCATCAATATACTATAGGGGGGGGGGGGGGGGGGGGGGGGGGGTACCTTGGTTGGTTATTGGCTAACGTTAGGACATCATGATGTTGCCAAAGTCTGATCAGCTCATTTTCAGACAGGTTTTTGTATAAATGGATCAGGACAAAAAGAGAGTGAATCTTTCAGACTCTCTTTACACAGAGGAAACACATGTTTATGTATAAAATACATGAAAAAAAGGATTTTGCATAATAGGTGACCTTTAAGTTTAAGATGTGTGCATTGAGATTTTGCAATCTGTCCTTTAGGTGTCATCTTCAAGCTTCCCAAAGACACGGACGCATCCAGGAAGCGTAATGCCAGGGCTTCCTCTTCCACATCCACCCTGCCTCCTAAAGTCAGCTACACCATCCGAATGCACATGGACAACTTGATGCGTACAGACAGAGTCCGTGACCCCTATTTTATGAAGGACCACCACATCTCGGCCCAGAGGACGCTGCGCTACAACCGGGGCTTTGTGTACCTGCAGGAGAACATCGATCGGGCGATCATAGAGACCCAAACTGGACATAGAATTGAGGAGACAGCCGTCCAACTGCAGCCCTTCCCCTACCCCTGCCACTACAGGGATGAGTGAGTACCCTATATACACGGATGCACTCTCACATCACACACACACACAGTACAAACATGCTCCCTTGTGGATGCAGCACAGAAACGTGAAAGGATCAACGGTGTCTCTGTGGGGAAGTGCATGCATTGATGTGGATTAATGTATGCTCTCTCATTATTAATTTGCCACTTGGGACTGACAGTAAGCAGTCATTCACAGGAACCTTTTTTGCATTATAATTGGCTCCGTACCAGGTGCATACATATTCACTATTATTGAGCATTCATTTTTGAAGACCATACTCACTAACGCCCTGCAAGCTCTTCAGGAACCCCACTCATCTCTGTAGTATATTTCCAATTCAAAACATGGGCTTGGCATTAACTTGTGCATCGATACTCTTCATTGTTTCCAATAAATCATGCTTGACCGTAATGCCTATGTTTTTGCTTCCTGCCCCCGAGTGCTGATATCTCATCTTAGAGGCACCAGCGGGGCCACTGTCTCTGGCTGGATGCCTCTGACCAACTATAAGATATGAGAAATCTCGCCTCTACGTCCTTCTGATTTATTACTCAGCAAGACAATTTCTTGACATGAGCTGTGAAATATAGCTGTGTAGCATGAAAAACCGCAAGCTCTAAATTCCTATGCTTCAGGCTCCAGATATGATTAGGTAAAAAAAAAGAAAACAAAAATGGAGAGGCATTTATTTTGCGTAAATAATAACAGGATCAGGCTGTCAAAAATCCCCTAACACCTCCTTTGATATTGCTTTTCCATTCCGTGTCTTGTATCTGTCAAGCCGGTGACTGAATGATAGCTCTTTTTATCTTCTGTTGTTGACAGTGATTGGGTGTTAGGTTTTCTCGAAATTTGACTGACAGTTTTCTGTATTCCCCAGGTACCTGGAGGCCATCGCTTTTGTCTTCCCTCTCATGTTGATGATAGCCTGGGTGCTGTTTGTGGCTGATTTTGTGAAGAAACTGGTGCATGAGAGAGAGCTCAGACTGCATGAGGTATTTTTTTTCACTTGAAATATTATCAAAATTGCCCCTGTATTTGACATGGAACACTGATTTCTTGTTTTCTAAAATGTCCTGTTATCATACTGTCCATTTATTTGTGTTTTTTCAAGTATGCACTCACGCAGCTCACAGCAACAAACAGTAACATTTCCTCCCTCTTATATTCCCACTGTTCATTCTTAAGCACCACTAGCAAGCTAACACATCAACCATTTCTTTATTTCCTTGTATTCCAATGCTTTTCTTTTCTTGCTTTTCCCACAGTACATGAAAATGATGGGAGTCAATCCGCTCAGCCATTTCTTCGCTTGGTTCCTGGAGTGCGCCTCCTACTTGGTGCTGACCGTCTCCATCCTCACCCTGGTGCTGAAGTACGGCGACATTCTGCCCCACAGCAACGGCTTCATCCTCTTCTTGTACCTCTGCAACTACAGTTTGAGCATCCTGTCCTTCAGTTACCTGGTCAGCTCCTTCTTCGACAAGACTTACATCGCTGGCCTCAGCGGCAGCCTTCTGTACATCCTCTGCTTCTTCCCCTTCATTGTGGTCTTGGCCGTAGAGACAGATCTCACCTTTTCCCAGAAGAGCGCCCTGGTGAGGAACCCTTTGGACCCTTCTCTTTCATGACTCATCTATTCAAATGGTGCTAGTACTGTGCAATGTGTAATAACTTACACAGCTCTGGAATTGAAAGGAGAAATAAGGAACAACATACAATCATGTCATTTTATTACCAAATGTTATTTACTCAATCTATCATAGAACATTTTTGTAACATGAAAAAGTCCAGCCCTAAAACATGGTTCTTTGTGGAATAGTCTAAAAAACAGTAGTTTTTGCCTCAAACTGTTTTACAATGTGAGATTTAACTTTTAACTTTGACACATTGACAGAAACAATCTGACAGTGCAAAAGTCTGTTTGCCTTCTTATGCTGAGTTGTGCATATTTACGTAATATAGACTTTTATTTTGGTGATGGTTGTCAGATTTTCTCATTAATTAGATGTCACATAACGTCAGTGCAACAGCTAAAGCCTTATTTGCTTTGAACAAAACTCTTCATGTTATGTTGAGAAAGTGTTGTTAAAACCACATAAGAGAGGAATGATAGAAAGACACAAGACACATCATTGGATTTTTGCTGCTTTTGTTTCTGTATGTTGTCTGATTTGTCTCTCATTTTCTTACAGAGTTTGTTCTCCCCAACCTGCTTTAGTTATGCCAGCCAATATATCTCTCGATTCGAGTCCCAAGGAGAAGGTATGCATATACATTGTATACAGTACACATTTGACTTGCATCAAACAAGACTCTTTGACATAGAGCATAAGCTATTTTAGTCAGTGTGAAGCAATTGCAAATGATCTGTTGGCTTCTTTAGGCCTCCAATGGAGTAACTCATACACCTCGCCCATACCTGGAGACACGTCTTCGTTCGGTTGGCTGTGCTGGCTGATGCTCATCGACTCCATCCTCTACTTCATCATCGGGGGCTACATCCGAATGGTCTTCCCAGGTAAACTATTAAATCATAGAAGTCTGTATGAAAAATATTTTCCTTAAATGAAGGAGGCCAGTCCTTTCTAATAATTGATCTGTGATGTTTTATCGCTGATTTGAAATCAGCATCAACTAGGATTGCTGTAAAGAGAGCAAGTACATGGCATATTTGCTGTATGCAGATTAGGTTGTTAACAGTGGAAGCATATAAGGGCTCATGAATTTCTTGGTAGATTTATATTTGGTTATGTTTTTACCCTTTAGGCAACTATGGCATCGCTTCCCCATGGTACTTCCCATTCAAAGCATCCTTCTGGGCCGACCTGTGCTGTTGCTGTAGATCAAACAGTAAGGTGGGCCGAGGACTCCTCTTCACCAACATCATGCAGAAAAACCAGCCTGTCTTCTCCGATGACAAGGGAAAAGGTACGGGGGGAAAAAATGAATTTGTACTATCTTGCTGCAGATGATAATAAGCACTGCTGTCTCCTCCTGTGTTATGTTTTGAAGCAGGAACATGATGTTTTCCCTTTTTGTATAATTTTTTGTCTCTGACACCTCACTACATTTTTATTTCACCCTCACTCTTCATTTAATTCCCGTCCCCTGTGACTTTGATTTACTGGTTGTCTCTGTCTCCATGTTTTTTCTCAGGCCAGAGCAGTCTTTCCTCTCAGACCGGGGAGGATTTCTCAGAGCTCCCAGTAGGCGTTGCCCTCCATGGTCTCAGCAAGATGTATGGCGACCGAGTAGCTATCCAAAACCTTAATGTGTCCTTCTACGAGGGCCATGTCACCTCACTACTTGGTCACAATGGAGCCGGCAAGACTACCACCATGTATGTGTGGCATGATTTATTTATTTTTCACTTTATCAGCATGACGTGAGATGAATGCAAATGAAATTTTGACAATTCATATACCCAATGAGGCATCTTTTAAATTTGATTTGTGCATCCCTTTAATCAGCAGACCTTTTAAATGGGTCTGCTGCTGACAGGGAGATTGTTTTGTCTAAATCTGGCACAGCAAATGCTACGTGAAAGAGATTTGCCCGACAGGTCTTCATCAGCTGGTGCACTTACATTTACATTTTAAATGTGACTCATTTTGCTGATGCTCTTAACCAGAGCAACACACAATGAGTGCATCAGCAGAATACCTTTCAACAATGTTACAACAAAAAAAACAAGAAGATATAATATTCCAGGGCCCAACAAATCATAATTTAACAGGAAAATGGTTGGGAGAAAGTACAGAAAAAACGAATTGGACATAGCAAAGGGCATTTCCAACATTTAGTGTTCTAGGTAGCAAATATGACGTAACATAAGTTGTTGAAAAACTATCTTATTATCTATTTGAATTATATCTTTATGAAACATGAAATAACCAGAAAACTGAATTATCTCATGTAATAAATGAAAATGCTTTGTGCTTAGGTCTCTCCTGACTGGCCTTTTCGCCCCAACTTCTGGCACCATCGAGGTGTATGGCAGAGACATGCAGACCAACATCGATGACATTCGCAGAGAGCTAGGAGTGTGCATGCAATATGACGTCCTGTTTGACCACATGACCACCAAGGAGCACCTGCTGCTGTATGGCCAGATCAAGGCGCCACACTGGTCACAAGAGGAACTGCGTGAACAAGTCCGCTCGTGAGTGACAATCCGTCCATTACAGGGAGCATGCTTAACAGCATAATGCACTCAATCATAATCCAGTGGGTCTTAACAATTATATCAGGGGTTCTGCATTATTTAGCAGTGCCATTGAATGTATTGTATAACCTGTTTTGTTACATCATAAGACATCATAAGAATGATTCTCTAGTGTCTAGGAAATATGAATAAGGGTTATCAGTGAATTATAGCTAGTGCTTAACACCAGTTACTGGTTACATAGGGACAAAAACTAAGAGCAATATTCAAATAGGGTTATAATCAAACATATTTTATGATTATACTGCTGTAACTTATAGAATATATAGGTCTTGAAGCAAGAATTCCAATCTGTGATAAGGACAACATAATTGTTACACTTGTCATGCATGAAATAAGCCCCACTCTCTTCAGATGCAGGCTGAGAAAGCTATTGTTCTCCAACCATGCTATGACAAACCTAAAACAACACTTCTTTCCCCATTTCCAGATCACAATTTGAGTATTTCTTTGTATTTTATCTCTTTTTTTTTCATTTTTACTCTCTGAGATCAGCTAAAGGGGGAAAGCATTTGAAAAGAAATGTAATTATTCTGTGGCATAATTAAGCTATGGGTAGAACCCCCAGTTACATCATGAAACTATTTCTGGAGGTTTCCGCATGACAAGAGCAGCAGTAATAAGCAGGAAAGCTATAAGCAAGGAACCATACCTTCCCACTGGTTTCTGTTTTTCAGACATCCTGCTGGGTATCTGATGGGAGTGTAACTCAGAAACTTGGTTTTAATGCACAGACAAGTATGCTAATGTAAGCTGTATGTTAAATGCTTTTCATCGACTTCCCTACCAGGACCCTAGAGGAGACAGGCATGTACGCTCACAGACACAAGCTGGTGAGCACATTGTCAGGAGGCATGAAGCGCAAGCTGTCAATCTCCATCGCCTTCATAGGGGGCTCTCGCTTGGTGGTTCTGGATGAACCCACCGCAGGAGTCGATCCCTGCTCCAGGCGCAACATCTGGGACATTGTTATCCAGCACAAGAAACGTGAGTACATATGATGAGAAAAAGTAGCCCAAAAGGAACTGAATGGAATAGGAAAAAATAGTTGAGGAAAGAAATGCAATTCTCCTTTTACTGTATGTCAAGTGGGGTCCCGCAAGGCGCAGTACTTGGCCCTATTTATTTTTTATCCAAATCTAACCCCTTGGCCATATTCTTTGGCAATTCTGTATGTAGTAGACAACTTTAGTTCATAACTGTCTGAATGTCCTGCACTCTCGCCTCACTGCCATCAAAAACTAGATGGCCTCTCACCACTAAAATGTTCAGCCAGAATATTTATCTAAATCAGAAATGATGCCAGGCAAATCTGCACTTCCCAAAAACAAAGTCTAGCAACTTTTCTACGCCGTCTTTTTTCTGATCTTGACTTCTGCATTCCATTGTATACTTGCCTTAATCATGTAGCAATTACCCATCTACCGTTGGTGCATAATGCATCAGTTTCTGTTTTTGAATTCAGTCTTGATTACCTTATAAGCCCCCCATGGTTTATCTCTGCATTATCATTAGGAACTTGTAACTGCATATCAGATCAAATCAACTGCCATACAGATTCAAGAACCTGAACATACAGACACACAGTTTGCACCTTTTATACTAACTTTGCTAATCACAAGAGGGCCGGTTGTTTATTATACATTTAAAGCACTAAAAAAGCATTCAAAAAGATCAGCTGCTCACTCAAGAGATTAAAGTACCACACATGAGTTTAAGGGAATAATCTCATTCTAGCTTTGTGTAATGGATAATTAATCACATTTTTATCCTGTTAGATGACAATGAATAAGACATTTTTTGTAATGAGGCTAATCCTTGTACAAAAAATACTGAAATTCTTTAGTGCACACACTTACATGGCACAGATAATCCAAAGTCTTGATCTAGTATTTTCCACTGGAGAGACCCTCCACTACTCCCTCCCTATACTTCCTAAGAGGGAAAGGAGTAGAAGAGCAGGAACCTGGAGCCAGCTCTAGGGCTTTCCCCTGCTCAGGCCTCTGACTTTAAATCTAGCATATAATTAAAGTTAAATAAATCCTGTGTTATTTATTCAGGCTGTTTTAGAATAGAAGGCAGCAATGGCAGGGAGGCTGCTAAATGTAATATAATTGAAGCTGTGGAAGAATATCCTGTGTAATTGGACCTGTCTCAGATGTTAAGTGAGACTTTGCTGCCAGGAGGATCTATTTTAAAATACACTTTCTGCACCGGTTGCTCTTTGTGAGCCTGTTTCTCTGATGATTTGTATGTGCATGACACAGCTTTTGTGTGACCTTGTCTTTGTGATGCTTTGGTATTTTATTTTGATGTGTGTTTTTGCGATTGTTTGTGTTTGCAGCTACACATGAAAGGATGTTCTTACTAGGATAGGAAAACAAGGGAAAAAGTGTTTGCCTAAAGACATTTTAATATGTTCTTTTACCCTTCACAAAACCTTGAACTATGGCTATTATATTTACCTGTGTGAATTCCAGGTTTGAGTGGATTGTTCAATAGTTAAAAGTGAAGGGAATAGTTTAGAAATTGTATACAAATGCATTCTATGTGTGTGTCCTGTCAGAGCGCACTGTCATCATGTCCACTCACCACCTGGATGAGGCTGAAGTACTCAGCGACCGCATCGCCTTCCTGGAGAGAGGCGGATTAAAATGCTGCGGATCCCCCCTCCACCTGAAAGACAAACTGGGTCAGGGCTACAAACTCACCCTCACCAAGAAGGTACTTAATTTCATTGGCATCCAGTTTCAGGATTCTTTCTGGTCAAATAAACTATATTTCCCCAGAGCTACATGTTTATTTATTTGTATTGCTTTTGTTTGTTCCACTTCTGGCAAAGAATATGTACACTTTAAGCAGTTTATATAGCCCAGCCATTACAGAAAAAAGCAGGGAGAAGAAACCTTAAACCCTAATCCTAGAAGTGAGAAGGCAACATATCTCGGATGCATTTTTATTCAGACACTTTGAGAATGCACAACCAGCATAAATAGTAACATTCCCTAGTACATTATTATAGTGGAGCTGGCCTGTTTATGTAACAAAAATAATTCTTGGTTTTATTTCTGTCCCCACTAGAGTTGCACACAATCCATATTGCAATAGGGTGATTTGTATCAGATCAATTCGAAAAACTGCTTAACAGGCTAAACACAAATAATGCTCTGCTGACTGCTGCAGTCTGGCTCATACTTTTTTTTTAGACTATATAAATATATATATATATATTAGTGCCCTTTATAAGTGCACTTTATGCCAGTAGTTATTTGTGTCTAAAATAAAGCTGTCAGTACTGTGTATTTGGACTGTTCAGGCTAAAATGTCTTCTCTTTGTAGCAGTAAGTCAGAAAAAGAAAATATTATCGGGGGAAATAATAGAGTATTTACCAGCCAAAAACATAAATAGTACAAATATATATGTCAAAGCAGCTGCTTTGTGGTTGTGCAAAGTAAACCAGTGTAATCTTGCAAATTAAGCTTGTTATAACCCATTCCAAATTAAGCTTGTTATAACCCATTCCTCTTTTCTATGTGCAGGTTCAGAACCCAGAGTCTGAGCCGATTGACAATGCTGACCTGAAGGTCTTCATCCAAGCTCATGTACCAGAAGCCAGACTGAAGGAGGCCCAGGGGGGCGACCTGGTCTACTCACTGCCCCCCTTTAACTCATCCAACGCTTCCTCCTACCGCTCCCTCCTGACGGCGCTGGACGCCAACCTGGATGCCCTGCAGCTGGGAGGCTATGGCATCTCTGACACCACCTTAGAGGAGGTAGGCTCATGCACAGCAATGCAAAAAAACAACATATCTTGGATATTCCCTGTGTGAAAACACTCGTGTTCATAAAGTTGGACATATTGAGTCGTTTGCATAATTTCAAGCTTAAAAAATGGAACAAAAATCTCTGTGTTGTGAACAGATGCTGTTGTTTTTCTTTTTATCTGTGTAGGTGTTCCTCCAGTTGACTCACGGAAACTCAGAAGATGGTTCTGAGGACGGCCCGCTGTCTATCTCAGAGACGGTTTCTGACACTGATTCCATCGACAGCTTCCCCTCAGACTCGAGTGGAAACATCGACAACTTTGGTGACAAGATCAGTGAGTGAACAAAAAAAAACACTTTCCATAAAGTTTATATATTCCTTTTTTGGCATTTATAAAATAACTGTTATTCTATTTTACATTTTGAAAGAAAAATATTCGAAGAAAACTTCAACTCAGCTGACCTAGTTCAACAACTTCCACATTTTGATGGGTGTACTGCCATCTTTTCTGATATAATCCACCCATTAACCTTTATCTCACTGTGCCCTAGAGGGAAAATCAGGTATTATCAAAGCAGTAAGACACTAAGAAGGTAAGTGAATTAGTACATAAATGATTAAACCTGTCTCCACTTCTTCTCCAATGTATCCCAGAGCTTACCGGATCATCCACGATGAGCGGCATGGCCCTGGCCTGGCAGCAGATGACAGCCATACTGGTGAAGAGGTTCCACCACAGCCGTAGGGACTGGAAGGGCCTGATCGCCCAGATCCTGCTCCCTGTGCTCTTCATGGTGTTTGCTATGGGCCTGGGCTCCATCAGGAGCGACCTGCGGCACTATCCTGAGCTGGAACTCAGCCCTGCGCTTTACAACTTAGGACCGAGCTACTCTTTCTTCAGGTCAGCTCTCATTGGAAACTAAATATAAGGGAGCAGAGGTAGCGGGTGCCCAATAGTAAACAAAGCTAATAAGGATTTTACTCCAAGCATTTTTGGATCAGTTTAATGGAACTCTAAAGCTTTGCCCTTTCATTCAATATATTTGGCAAGGTCAGACCAAGGCCACTGTGACTCAGGTTGCAACGGAAAATCATGAAAGGGTACCTGAAAAAGTAGGTCTTGTCCAGGAATATTTATTTTACACAGACATTTTAATTTTTAAATGTGGTGAGCTTTGGCAAAGGCTTCAAACAAATCATGATACAGCTGTGTGCCTCTCAAGAGAAGTCTTTGTAATACTTGGTTTGTTACAAAGCTTGGAAGAGGTTGTCTTGCAGTGCCATTTTCTGGCATTTACAAATCTTATACTGCGTGGTCTAAACGCTGCACTAAGATCACTTTTTTGAGCACAGAGCTGCAACCATCCTGCAACTTTGATGAAGGGTTGAAGCATCTCATCCTTTGATTGGTCCCCTGGGATCCCCCATGTCACTTGTTAGAGAATGAATTTAAAGCTGCAGTTTGTTGAAGGGCAGACAGACCTTAAGGAAAGCGAGCGGAGGAAAGAGAGGATTGAAGACGGATGAGATACAAGATCAAAGTGAGAGGGATTAAGAGTGTCAGGAAGTTGCGAGATGTCTTCAGTTTTGAGAAGTGCAGTTGTTTGATCAAGGGGATGTGTAGCAAAGGAGAAAATGAGGAGGTGCCATCCATATCAAAATCGGTATGGATGCTCTCCCTAGTCCTCTTCAGCTTGATACAAATGAGATTGAAAAGATTGGATAATCATTTTAATCCAGATAAATGGTAAGGCTTGGAGAGCTAGGTAGCAGTCTCACATTTTATGAACTTTCTCAGAGCAGTGTGTTTTCAGACTTGCCTGCATGAACAATGCAAATGCAATGATCTGAATGTTTATTTATGAGAGTACCTCTTCTAGCAGGAAACAGCTCAAATGAAAAAACTCCACTCAAATGTAAAGTGGCGAATCAAATGTCCTCACTCTCCTTTTATCTGTCCAGCTCCCCACAGCAAAGCTATTAGAATCACTGATTGTGCCCCCATGGTCACTTTATCGACAATATCGGGAGATAGTAAAGTGCTCTTATACCATCTTCTCTACTATCCTTGATAAATTCCAACCTTGAAACCCCAGCAACCAACACTGATTTGAATAAATCAATAATGACTGAAACCAATTTTAGAGCCTTGTGAACCGTTTTTGTGGGGTTACTTCATTTTATTATTGTTGTAATTATTGTAAAGTCTACTAAATCGATTATGTAAAATTTGAGGCTGACTGTTTGTTTTCTGACTCCATAGTAACCAGAACCCCAACACCTCTCAGCTGACGGACACCATGTTGTCATACCCCGGGATCGATAACGCCTGCCTCGACAAGTCTAATAACCCGTATGTAATAAAACCTCAAATGCCAAACATGTTTCCCTTGAAAATTATCTATTTTTCACCGATACTCTTGGTGCCCTTACTCAATTTTCTTATGTATTCTACGCCTTTTCCACATGCACAGTAATTTCATATTTCACTTATTGTCATTCTTTAAATGCCTCCTCCTGCACCTTGTTTCATTACCAGGCTGCCTCCCTCCTATTCTTTCCACTTTCTCTCTCCTCCATGTGCCTCCTCTCTGTTTTCCTGGCGCTCAGCTTATGTGTGTGTCTGAAAGCCGGCAGCGGGGCTCTGCGATAGGAGAGCGTCATTTGTATTCCATAAACACCTTGTGTTTATATGGGCGATTTTCCCCTTACAGGCACTCGAATCAATGTTGGCACTCATGAACCCTACCTCGGAAGCATTTTAAAATGCACTGCCAAAAAGAAAGAAGAAAAAAAAACAGAGATAATGGAAGATCCTATGTTGCAAAAAGAGACTGCATGTTTTGCTCACCATGTCCTATTATCACAACATGACAATTACTGAAAGGACGGTGTGTGAAGCAATTACATTTATATAAAATATAATGTATTGTCCCTTGACTAGGGTCACTGTTGTTGGACAACTTATATCTAAAGTAACAGGTGAGCATGTGGGTGTGCAATCTTCAGTCATCTGCACAATGTGTCATAAAGCACTTGACTGAAAAGAAAGGCGGGGGAGTTGAACATTCACCCACACAAACACATTACACATGATATGATTTTACATTACATATAAAATAACTTTTTTAAGAGTTTTTTTAACTAACGTCAGAGAAAAACAGCATGCAAACTTCACAGCTGCTGTATGAATGGTTGCAGTTAGCAAACATGCAGATGTTTAGCTTTGATGCAGGCCATCATATCAACTCAGGATGTTTTCTGGGTCTGTCTAGGGATGCTCTAGTGCCATTATCACGCACTGCAGACTGCCATCGTTCCTCTGAGCCACCATTTCACTTTGTGAATGTTTTCTTTTAAGGGTCTGCACAAGAAGCGCGAGCAGCTGGAGTTCCAGAGGGAACGGCTCCAAAGCATTTAGTGTCTGTAAATGCAGCCGTCAGGAACAGGTGAGACTGGGTCACTGGGAGCAGTGTTTGTGATTGTGTGTGTGTTGTGAGTGAGTTTTTATGTTCTCATGCATCTCTGTTGCTACACAGGAATGTGTCTTACTGAGTGTGATTGTGAGAAAGGCAGGGTGTAATGTGGTTTTCTTTCCCCTATACTGCAGGTTTGCGACCTTGACAACTTCCAGCCCCCCCATAAAAAGATCCCCTCGTCTCAGATTGTGTATAACCTCAGTGGCATCAACGTGGAGAAATACCTGGTGGCAACAGCAAATGATTTCATCAGAAACAGGTGCACATACTGAGAATTCAACCCATGCTTCACTGATATTGTACTATAGTCTCAGTGCTTATTGTAACTGCTAGTTGCATGAACTATAGGAAGCAATGTTCCAACAGAATCCAATATCACATATATTACATCAGGGGTGTCCAAACCTCTTTCACTGGGGGCCACATACAGACCAATATACGAAAGGCTTGGCCTCTCACTCGAGGTGAGGTATATTGCCTCATAAGTTAAGTTCTAAGTTAGCAAAATCAATCAAATGTAGGTAAATTATCCTTAATACTTGAATATGCTTTAAGGAAAAAAAACAGCCTTCAACAAAGCTTTCCATAGGGTTTCATTTATTTTGTTAGAAAAACTGTTGGCAGCTCAAGCCTCAGATTGCTTATAATAAGGAACAATATGAAGGGTTTATTTCAAGCTTGTTATGCTAATAAGTTATTGGGCTTTATTTGAATCAACGAAACTTTGTTAGAAAATGTTTTCAACTTTAACTTACTGAATTTATTTGAAAAGTTGGGCTTTTTGACACATGAATAGTACTGCGTAATATCTGTTTACATATATATTTAAGAAGTACAATATAAGAAAAGCACACGTTTCATGTGTGGGCCATATTCCATTATACATTTAGAATTTCCTGAGGGCCAATTCAAAATGGACAACGAGCTGCAGTTGGCCCCCGGGCCGTAGTTTGGACACCCTTGTATTACATATAACATATTTTTGATGAGTTTGAGACTCCATTTTAAGACTTCAGTCCTTAGTATTTAAGTTCTGGCCTATTTGTTAATTGTTGGTAACAGCAAATGCTATGTTTTACTAAAAGCTCCAATTGAGTACAAATAACTATTCTAATCAAAATTTCAGGCAATAATCTGCCTTTGTCAATCTTTCTGTGAGCAACACTGATCTGTTTTTATGCTGCACACGGCTCGTAGTTTGATACCTGGCTGAGATGCTGGAGGTGTGCAGCGTGTCGCCGGCAGCTCTTCATCTGACAGCTCACTGGGGCTGCTGCCGACTGCTCAATTACTCTTGTTCAATATTTCAAACGGATTCGCTGTCACAAAATGTGCCCTGTGTTTTGCAGATGCATTTTTTTATTAACTATATTGGCCAGTATTAATCCTACTGACAAACGGGTGCTTTAAATGTGAAGCTGCAGCATTAGGAAATGCTTGGTTTGCATTAGCATACATTTAAATCAACATTTCTTACAGGATATCGCCACAGACTCCCAGCTTGTACTGTAATACTGCACATTTATAAATACCACAGTTCTTTCATTAGTGGGCCATATGTTCAATTACCATTGCGCTACCTCATTCAGCAAAAATGACATAACAGACATTAACTCTGTCTACAAATCTTTAAGATTATTTCATTAATAGTTAGAACTGGGAAAGTTGCTATTGCTGGGAAGTGCATTGTATATAAAACACAAGTAGGTTTTTAGTATCTTGTCAATTTTTGGTCATACTTTTATCGTGGGGTCAAATGTTTTTACCAAAATGCTTCTCATTTGCCGGTTAATATTTAATTCAAAGAAAAACAAGCAAGCAAAAGAGATAGTTTGTCTTTCTCAGCAGCGGTCGGAGCTCTTTGTTTTGATCTATTTATATATATATTATTTTTTTATAGGTATGGTGGCTTTTCTTTTGGCGAGTCACTCCCTCAAGACTTAAAAATGGATTTAACAACAGTGCCCAAAAACCGTACACTGTCTAAGGTAACTTTTCTCTTTTTCCCGGTCTCATTATCACTTTAATGGCTTCACTGATGTAAAGTTTAAACATGACATCTTATCTTAAAGTATATTGGCTACACGATCAAGGCTTGCAGATGGAGCTGCATTGTTACGCCATCAGTGTCATCATAAACATGCTTTATTGAAGCAATTCCGCAGCAGTTTTTAGCGTGTACATTTCCTCATCTGCATTTACTGTACTTTAAAGCCTTAGTGATAAAATATTGGAAAGTGTATTTTAGGGATATAGTTGTCTTTCATATCCTGATTTGTAGCAGTGTGATTGATGGTTTCCATGCATGTTTGTGTTTGAATGTGTTTAGGTCTGGTACAACCCAGAGGGCCACCACACAATGCCGGCATACTTAAACAGCCTCAACAACATCATCCTACGCTCCAATCTTCCAGCAGACAAGGATCAACGAGAATATGGTGAGCTGGAGTTTCTTTTGAAACTCTAGAGAAGGCCAAGGGACACAGTCTGAGAATAAAGTGTAGTTGATTAAGAATTATATCCACACAGATGCAAAAACAGATCCCTATTTATTTTTACATGATATTAGCTTCTCTGCAATTTACTCTTATTGTGTGAAATATTAAAATTATTTAGAAACACATCGAAACATATCATTTGTTTAGTTGATTGTCTGTATTAACAAAAGGTATTGTACAAGTTTGAAATAAGACATGACTGGGATTAGGCCAAGAGGGATGCACACACAAGGTGCTACTGATTAAACACCTTGATCATTCTGTAGACTAAATATAAACAGAGCTGTAAACAGAGTGTTTACTCATGGTTCATTCCACTGGATTAAAGCCAGGGGGTGCTGTGTGTCTTTAGACTCACATCAGTATGCATGGTGAATACTGATGAGTGCCGCTCACTGGGGTAAAATCTGGCCCACGTTTTCAGTACTGTTTCAGCTCTGTATCACCCTGACCATCTGCCTGCGGGCAGGAATACACACACACACACACACACACACACACACACACACACACACACACACACACACATACACACACACACACACACACACACGTAGAATTACTCATAAAAACATACAGTGCATGCACATAAGTCCATGCACACACACATGTATTCGACACAGGATGAAAAAGGTGCTCGAGGGGTAGAGTGAATTGTACCTGCACACAGGGGGTGGAGATCTGGGGAGATTACTTTTCAAGGTGATGGTTCATCTGTCAAATGTGAAGCCCTCCCTCTCACAATGTGAACTGCGGTACCAACTCTGGGTGGGACACTTTAGAGGTTGCCATAAAACCGTTTGTTTAATGCCAGTCTCACAGGCATTTTGAAGAACTGCCCACTGCCACAGATGTGCGATCAGTCTTCTTTCCACTGTCCACAGAGATTCTTATCACTCCCAACTGCAACAGTGTTTTCTAAGCCTCTTCGCCCAAACGGTTTCTCAGCTGTTTAATAATCCATCTTTAGAGGACACAACCCTAAAATAAACCGTAACAGCTTGGGGGTGATAACTAATATCTAATAGAACATTTATGGATCAATGGAAAAGAAGGATTCAAATCCAATCAACTCTGGATGGATCATGACACTTCTTAGCGGATTAATCCAGCAGTCATTCAACAGAAAAAAAATCAGAAACATCAATAATACGAATGTAATTGCAAAAGTGAATTTGATCAGATATGGTAAATAATCACTGGTTCCAACTACTCAAATATGAATATGGTATGAAATGATTGCCTCTATGTTATCATATCTGATATATATTTGGGTTTAGGTCTGTTGGTCCTACAAAATTAGCAATTTGTGATTTTTAGGATTTCTGAGCCTCCATTTGAATTATATACAGTAGATCGATCAAGTAAATGGCAGATGAATCAATTCTAAAAATATCTGGTTGTTACAGCTGAAGTCGATTATAAAAGATGCAAATCAGATATCTGGTAACATCCCTCTTTAGAGCAGTAATAATGAAATGTTAATGATTACGGATTAGATTCGGATTAGTGCTTGGAACCCATTAAATCCACCAAAGTGCCCTTAAGCAAGGCACTGAGCCTCCAACCTACTCCAGTGTTGCCTTGGTCACGCTCTTTTATCTCAAGAAATGTGAGCAGAGACATGTAGGGGAGCAGCTCATGTCTGTGAGCATTCAGAAGCCCATGAAACAATGATAAAGAAAATTCAATTTCCTTTGTGTGCACTGGCAAATGAAATCATCTTGCACAATATTTTTTTCAATTGACTGTGTCCCAGGCTAAGAGAATATCATTGCTCATTTGGTTTCTGGGCTGAAAAATTGCCTGTGTGCTGTTGTTTTTCTCTTGCTAACGTAATACTCTTTCTATTACAGCCATTTCAGTTTCCAGTCACCCCTATTTCGGCCGAGCGGATGATGAAGATTCAATGTAAGGGCTTAGAGTGTAATTTCTTCCTCCTGCTGAACCGTCTGTCACTATTCTACATTATCAACGACTGCACTTTCAAACAAGAGTCTAATTAGCATTCTAATTGGTGAAAATAAGAAGAATATTCTCGGCCTGTTGTTTTGCTGAGCCGAAACTAAATTATTGAAGCCTCCTACTTTTCAATTCAAGACATGAAAGTCAGGGTGGACTCGAGGCAGGCAGGTACATGACAGCAGTATTTACCCATATTTGATTTTCTAAATGGATTTCCGTGAGCTTGCACTATTGATCAGCGTCCCAATATAATGAGTGTTTACCCTGAAGGTGGCACAGAGGTGCATTGATTCTACCCCATGCACTCCCCAAAATGAGTTTATTTAAAATACTCCACATTCTCTTTTGAGAGACCCAGACTACAGAAATAGTGCTTGCGTGAATGTATGTAAGCAAACATGTGTGTGTACTCAAATCAAATAAGAGTGGATTGAGGAAAGCTCTCGTCTCTCTAGAGCTTTATTAGCACTAACTTTTTCCCTGTGTAAACTGCCCTATTGGATTATACACATACTGCACATTTCTTTATGTGTATGGTATATACAGAGCTGTTAGCCTGCTTAGGTACTGCAGCGACTGCAAATCCACAGTCATCCCTCTGTGATATTTTGCTTCCTTGCCTGATTTATTGATTTGTACTGAGCTGTGTTAAAGATACAACAGGGTTATTGCTTCAAATGTCTTGACTTTCACAGTGTGGTAGCTTTTGCCCATCAGAAAGACAAGGGTATGCTGGACATACTGCTAACAAACGTGCTCAGTAGCCTCTGCTGCTGCTGGCTATCCTCTGTTGTTACTGCTGCCCTCAATCGCCCACCACAAGTCCCTCTCTGCTGTTCTCTCTCCTTCCTACTCAGTCACACTGCCAGCCTCATCCTCTTTTCCTGCCTCATGCAGCTTCTATTTGGTCGGTGGTGAGGCGAGAGGTAGAAGTAGTCCAGCAGTTTGTAAGATGGGAAAGACAGCATTGGAGGATGAACAGGTAGCTGCATCAAGAAAGTTTGAATGAGTGCACTGGGTTGAAGAGTAACTGAGGGATCAAAGCCTCAGCTGGGTGTCTGGAGTTTTGTCTGGACAAAAAGCTGCCGGCTCACAGCAACACCACCGGCGCACTGAACATACAGCAGTGTGAAGTTGTTCTTTTATACATCGCCATTTGTTTTGTTTGCAGTTATTATCTTGTCAGAGGCGAGGCACAAGCATCTCTTTTAACAAAGCTGTTTGTTATTAATGGAATTCCATTTATTGTGAGCCACTTCAATAGTTCAAATGAGTCAGGTCCCAGCAGGGAACGATATGATTGTTTGTAGGAGGGCTCCTAAAATGGGCCATTGTTTTCAGATGGGATTTACAGCAGCTTGCCTCATTCAAAGTGACTCAGTACAGCAGAGAATATGAAATTGTTGTTGTTCTTAGATCTAAACCTGTAGCTAATGTAGCATTTAAAAAGGACAAATGATAGTCTGTTTTAGCGAATGTCTCTTAAAGCCTCCCTGCAAAGTTATTTGTTAAGTCGTGGGTGGAGATACTCTCATGGGGGCGGAATATTTGAATAAGCCTCATTGTGACATGAAGGAGATCCAAACTAAATGTTTGTTTCATCACATGTTTTCTGATCTAGAAAAAACCCTGAAATGTGTTGGTTAACTGAACAACACAAAGACTGTCAAATAAGACAAGTGTTTTATATATTGTCCCCTTTTAACAGAAAAAACACACTTTACCCAGCAGGAATCTAATGGTCATTAGTAGAATTGATGTGGTTGAATGCTAATTCTCTAATTACGGACATAGCTGGTAATTAATGATGCCAGTGTTGTCATCTGAATGACCCTATTGTTTTCCCTTACAGTATCCAGGGAATGCTCCAGATCATGGTGGCTATGTGTGTGCTGACGGGCTATTCAATCACCACAGCCAGCTTCGCCATCTACGAGGTCAGCGAGCACCACAGCGGCTCCAAGAGGCTCCAGCACATCTCTGGCATCAGTGAGCCCATGTACTGGACTGTGAACTTCTTTTATGACATGGTAACGTCCCTCAATCAGATAACAGGAGACCCACATTGACATCTTGTTTACTCATTTCTTCTTGATGATAAAATGGGTTTGAATTTGAATTGAACATGTCGTCTAAGGGAAGTCTAACCCTCAAAATCACGCTGACTAAAAGCAAAAGCAAACATTTGTGAGATTTATTTGGGCCCCGTAACAATAATTTTAGATTGCAAAAATGCAAATATAGTGATTCTAGTGTTAACTTTGATCTTCTTGCGAGCATGTAACCCTCATTGGGCCGGGCAACTGACAAACCATTCTCAATGTGTCCTTAATGATGCATTAATGAATTGATTGCTCAACATATCTTCATATCGTTATTAAAAGATTGATTCATAATTTAATTGGTACATCGTTTTTATTTGCCCTAATGTTGTCTCATTGTGTCCTATCTCTTCCTACAGGTCATGTATTTGATCCCTGTGACCTTGACTGTTGCTGTCATCGCAGCCTTCCAGATTCCAGCGTTCACAGAGCAGTACAATCTGGGTGCTGTCACCCTGCTTCTGGTTCTCTTTGGGTGAGTTATTTGGCTTTATCTGTGAGTCTTGCGCGGCCTATAGCGTACCACGTGCTGGATTTACAAAGTGAGTTTATGGCATGTTTGGTCCTTTTGCCTTGTTGTTGCAGTAAGTGCCACTTTTGGTCAATTACCTTTTTGACCCAAAGTGATGTGATGATGAGTCAACCCACCATGAGGCTGACGCATCGGGGTTATTCAAGGGCTTCAACTGTACTTACTTTTTCAAATTCAGCTGTTTGCTGCACCTCAGGCGAATGGTTTAATGAGTTATAAAATAGCACTCTCTTAAAAAAAATTCTACTCGCCTCCATTTCACCATCCTGGGTGAGTGGTTCAGAAATAAAATAGGTATTCATAATATGTAATATATATAATAAGAGTTGAACTAAAACACACGGCCATAGGTAAACAAAATCGTCAATCACATGCACCCTAAAAGACCAAAATACAACAAGCATATATTAAGGATGGTTTGTTAAGTACAGCACAGCGTAGAAACAAGCTTACAGTTGTGCCCGATTAAATACCCCTTTATTTGATAGTAGATATGAAATTAAAGTGGGTGCATCAATGATGTTGGTTATAATGCACAACTACTGCAAATAGGTCAAAAATAAGTTGGTCTGTAAAATAATGAGTGTTTACATCAGACAGTTGTACTGTTCAGCAAAAGATTTGATTAACCTCTGGGTTTGTTTTCAACATCATCTGACTGCTTTTGTTTATACTCTGATCCAAGTGACAGCATCAAAACTCATTTGATTTAGCCTCATTCTGCAGCCGGGCAATGATCCTCACCGATAACCTAAATGAATATGTTCAAAAGCATGTCCTCATCACATGCTCGCTGTATTTTACTCTGTGTGCCACCAGGTTAGATTTACAGCACTGAGCATACGGAGGCTGTTGCAAACACAGCTCCATTTTTCAGAGTCTCTTGCAAAGACAGATGGTTGTAGGACTGAAAGGCTGATAAATCACTACTAACATGTTCATCTTATTCAAGCCAAATACAGTAGAGAGACAGGGAGACAGGGAGACAGGGTGATCAGGATTCTCTTCATAAAAATATGACTTTACAATAAGAGAAGGAGATTAATGCAAAGGTTCAACACCGATGCAACGCCATGTTTCCCCACATCTGATTACTGAGATTATTTACATCAAAAGTAGCTCAAACTTTGTTTCCTGTGTTTCCTGTTGCTGCCTCATCCTGGGCCTTAGATCTTACGAGGCCAAGTCAGCACTCTGCCCCTCATTTATCAGACAGATGTCTCCCTCCCAAGCAATGAATAATCACAGTCTGTCAGGCGGCACCCACCTGGTCTGGTCTGCAGCCTCCTTGCTTCTGTTCCTTGTCATGGCTTGGCACCCGCAGTCTGCCTACCAAGCACCTTTTTATTTTAGGGCATGGCACACAGATGCTTTGTCTCTGTCTGCCTCTATGTGTTTGTCTCTTCCTTTTCCCAGCCTACTTTTTCCTTCTTCATTTCGTTGCCCCTCCTTCGCTTTCCCTCCTCTGCCTTGCTGACCCAGACACCCCAATCAAACGAACAAGCAGATTATGTGAGAGTAAGGAGAAAATGAAAAAACAGGAAAGGGATTTTCTGCCAACAGGGGAATAAAGGGAGAAGTAATTTATCTTCCTCTATTTTGGCATCATGACTAAATGTTTACCCTCCTCATTGTGTGGTATTTTTCCTCCCTCCCCTTTTCAGTATTCTTTGGTTCCTGGTTTTCATCAGGCTCACAGCTGCTGTGTTCAATCTCTGAAAGGCTTGAACCAATACAGTTAAATAAATGCAAAGTCATGTATTTTAAAAGGTGCATTTGTGAGGACTGTATGCATTTTCCATATCCACTTTGTGTGTTTGTGGGTCTTCCTGCATTTGGAGGTAGCCCAGCCAGATCCCAGCAGGGTTATGTCAAAGTGTGTGTGTGTGTGTGTGTGTGTGTGTGTGTGTGTGTGTGTGTGTGTGTGGCTATTTTTGCTTGATGTTGTGTTTAAAGTATCCTATCACTGTCACCTCCTCAGGTTTGCCACCTTCCCCTGGATGTATCTGTTATCAGGCATCTTCAAGGATGCAGAGATGGCCTTCATCGCCTATGTGTGCATCAACCTCTTCATCAGTATCAACACCATCATGTCCACCTCCATCCTGTACTTCCTGAGTCAAATTTCATCCAGAAACTCTGAGGTTAGCTTAAACTGCCTGAGTCTAGAGGCCTCATATTAGCAACTGAATATCTGAAGTAGATACATGCAAACTTTGACTGTGGGGTTGCAGGAGGTGAGAAGAGCAAACTATTCTGCTGACGAGAATGAGAAGATTAAAATCCTGTTATTAGCTATTGTGTTACTGTCGAATAGTCTTGATTTTGCCAGCTTTATTTAAGACATATACCTGTGTAAAATGCCCTTGGTGTTTTTTTTTACAAATGTAATCAGCCTCATCCTGTGTCTTTTTAGAAAGTTATAATTGACAATAATCTAATCTTTCATTCTTATCTAAAAAATACGAACTATTTGGGTAAAGTTATTTTTGAAACATATGGCATTTATGACAGCCAAAATATCACCTTGTTTCTTTTACTCCACCGCGGTTGATGTCAGCTTTAGATTAAACTCAAGTCAGTAAGTCACTCTGAATCCTCCTGACTGAAGGAACTTCAACATTGAAAAAAAAAACCGGCCTATACTATTTGGTCTCCTCCTTATTGTCATCAAAACTAAACAGATTTCAAGTTTAACATCGGTTAAACTAAGTGTAAGACTCATCTCTTCTTATCAATTATATTGCATGTTTATATAGTTATAGTTTTTCATGGAAAAAGGGCAAAAGGCATTTCTATTTATAGTTTAAAAAAACAAAAAAATTAACCACTGCTCTAGTCTCGTAATTCATACCCACTCTTCGCACCCTCCCTCCTCTCAATTTCTTCTGTTTGGTCCTTTGCTGCTGCAGGTCATCCAGGAGATCTTCAGGAGGCTGAGTGAGGCCTTCCTGATCTTCCCCCAGTTCAACTTTGGGAACGGGCTGATGAAGCTGGCCAGGATGAACATCGAGGTCCAGCTGCTCAGTGGCTACGACATCGACGCCTATAAGAACCCGTTGTCCATGGACGGCCTGGGCTGGATGTTCTTCTCCTCCTTCATCGAGGGCGTGGTCTTCTTTGCCCTGCGCCTCCTGCTCAACAGGCTCCTTATACGCAAAGTCAGGTGAGTAACCAGAAGCCTTGGATGGTATGATGAGAATCATAATAAACTCCTCTGGTACACACATATCTCTGGCAAAAGCAATATCATTATTGAATAAGCATGAAAGTCTTTACATTAATTTAAGAAAACAATAAGAAGGTAAATTAAGTGTTTATTTGTATTCAAAATCAACAAAAATAAAACATTTTGGAAAATAAAAGCCAGACATATTGGGCTCCAAAGAGTTCACTTCAGTTAAAAAAATAGCCCCAAGTCTCAGACAATCACAGATTTGATCTGTCTGCCAGTTTTACACAATAACTTCAACACCTAGCAGTAAAAACATACTTTTCACTTTTGCAGGAATCTGATTTTCGGCAGAAAGACGGTGCTTCAGGCGCCTCAGGCGCCTCAGGTGTCTTGCGAGACCAAGGATGAGGATGTGGTGGCGGAGCACCAACGGGTGTCCAGTGGAGCAGCCAGCACCGACGTGCTGCAGGTCAACCAGCTGACTAAGGTCTACCAACAGTTCAATAAGAAGGTCCCTGCTGTCAACAAGATCTCTGTGGGCATCCCTGCAGGAGAGGTGAGCCTTGTTCCTATAGGAGGAACATAAACTAACACAACACACAATTAATAAAGTCAGCAGCAAATGTAAAGCGACTTTGTTAAATTAGTGACTATTGTCAACTCCTTTTGACAACAGCATGAACATAATCACCAACAATATCAAGTGTACTGCTTAAGAGTTGAAGATTCTGGTCATGTTGTGCCCAGATTAGTAAATAATTAACTTTACAGTTCACTGCACTCATCACAATTCACAGTTGAATTTCAAACACAAGGAAACACAATTTGTGAGCCCTATTGTCTGCTATAAAAACTACTTCAGAAATCAATGCTGGTTAGAGATAAGTAACACCAGGGCACTTTCATCATCCACTGAAGGTCAGTCAAAGATTTAATGTTGAATTTCTCTCAAAGTCTCTTTTCTAACCAATTTCATTCTCATCTTTAAAATGAACAACATCTACATTTATACATGCAACATTCTTACTACGGATAATCTGCAATCAATGTTTTATTTTCAAAACAATTGAGTTAATTTAGCCCCTGCTATAGTGGAGGCGTTGCTCGAGAGAACATCACATAAATCACCAGGTGGCTTTGACAGTCGGAAATACAAGTGTGTTTGTAGTAATATATTGTTATTGTTTGTTCTTATTAAAGTTGTCCAATATTATTTAAAATCATATTCCTCTTTGTGATGGCTGGATAAATGAAGGATACCACCCATGTGTTTCTCTGTTTTCCTTTTTGAAATCTAAATATTGCCCATTTGATCTATGGGAACTTAGGGAAATCATAACACTATGGTACTACTGTATATAAGGGACAAATGCCTCAGGGTTACTGAGCAGTGTGTGTCCAATTACAGTGTTTTGGCCTTCTGGGAGTAAACGGAGCTGGAAAAACTACCACCTTCAAGATGCTGACAGGAGATGTGAGACCCACGGACGGCACCGCACAGATCAGGGACCGGGATGGGTAAGCTGATCATGAATTCATTTATTACAAACTTTAGGATAGCATGACATCTTAAGAACTTGTGTTTAGTGCCTCTTAACTTTTGAGTAAAAATATCGATTTGTTTTTGACATCTCTTTACTGCAATATAGTTTACCTTGTATTTATAGTCAGAAATAGATCTTACCTGTACACTGAACACATAAATGTGCCAACAAATATATTTGATAATTTGTTATGGTTAAAGCTGGCAGCAGGCCATATTCACCCTGTTGCTTTCCCTTCTGTTGACACACTGCATGCCCATTCCTAACTAAATCAAGTTCAAAGTTGTTTACTTAAAATATATTCCTGCCAGCTTGAAAATGTTTTATGAAAATTAGTTTTGAGAACACGACAGAAGCAATCACAGCACAAAGATTTGATTTAATTTCTACAGGTGCCCAAGCTACTCCATCTAATGAATCCTAGATTACATTAGCAAATATCCACAAATGAGGGACGTTATTGCCTCCCATCACCGAAGATGTGAACATAAATGATTTGGGTTTTAGCGAATCTCCTATACAGGTATCAACAACGGTACTTGTGAGCTCCTTTTAAAAGCTCTGTTTTTAAGATGGGTATTCCCAGCAGGCAGCAGAGCCGTAGAGCACCCTACATGTCCATCTGCCCTACACCATGTGCTGGAGACCATTAAAGAGAACGTGTCTTTGTCTTTTTCTTCCCCAGGCGCTTGGTAGACATCATGGAGTGCCGAAACGAGGGAATTAACATCGGCTACTGTCCCCAGGTGGATGCATTGGACGATCTGCTCACAGGAAAAGAGCACTTGTACTTCTACGCTCGCATTCGAGGCATCTCAAACAAGGAGATAGACGGGGTAAGGAAACGCTGCACACTGTGTTTTTTTAAAGCTCGGGGTAGTGACAACAGCATCCACAAAATGACACTGGATCTGATATACATTCAGAGGTGCACCCCCACTGCAGGACTGGTAACTGTTGATGCTTCCATGCATACTAAATCATGGGCTGTGAAGTGATGAGTGATGTGTGCTGAAAGCTGCACTATCTGGGGCGAAATGGGAAAGCTTTTGTTCGTCAGCGCGTGCAAGCCAAACTTCAGAATTAAGCTGATGCCGTTTGCTTCCATGCACACAAATTTACATTTAAACAATACTTTGATGATGAGAGGATCTCATTTGACGTGTCACTTTAGCCCCATTCTTCCATTTATCTTTCTGAGAACTAATCAATCTTGCCTCTGTGGTGATTACTGAGTGTGTCTGTCTTTCACTGCTGCTGGTGCTGCTGCCGACATGAGAGGAATCCACCAGAACAACCAATCACAGATGATGTGATTTCTGATTTTCCATCTCGACTTTTTTCCCCCTCACAAAGAAACAGAAAATAAAAAGTTCTGAAGCGTGTAAAAAATGTGTGGCGGTGGCAAGTCATAATTGTATGCAGAAAAAAAAATCTATTTCTCTGTCTCTCTCGACACCATTTTACAACTTTGGTTGCAGAAGCACAAAACATAGATTGGGTCTGACACTCTCAGTCATTTCACAATCAGAATCACACACAGATGTGCAACAATGCTCATAGACACGCAGACACACACTTACTTACGCAGACAGTTGAGCACAGAAATGGATCTGTCTGGCTCTAATCGGCAGCACTGCGGTTGTTACAGCTCCTCTTCTCTGGTCAGCACGGTGACAACAATGGTTATAATGGCCACGGCATCGATGTCGGGCTAATTCACAAAGATGAGGTTATATATAGAGTTCCTCTTGTGTTGTGTCCCGCTGAGAGTCCCCTATCTGTGGATAATGAGACAAGCCTTAATGGGGTCATTTCGCATTGACATGGTTTTGTCAGGCTTAATGAGCTGTAACATCAAAGGTGATAGAAAGAGTCTTTTATGAGTGAACGTTAAAGCAAAAATATGTATACATTTTGATGTTAACCAGTCAGGTTTATGCTACATTGCCTGGGTTTATCATACTTAGCTGATGATACTTTGTATTTGTCTACAGCAGGTTATGTTCTACACTGTGCTCTAATAGCCTGGATGAGGGAATTCTACATAAAGGGCAACTCCTTTTACAGAGAAAAAGCAGATAATTCGTTTTTCCCATCACAATTACATTTGTCTGAGGCTCAACATAAAACAGTTATATGTATAGACCTTTAAAACACATCCTCTTGTCTTACACCACACAAGTGTTCATATCATTTTGTGGGATTACCTTGATTTTATGGACATGTATCTAGTCACTTGTATAAGCATATACTCTTAAGTGAACAGCTATCTACTGCATTGGCTCGCGTCATTGATCTGCTTCCCCAACCTTGCAACTGATAGGAACAAAATAATGCTAAAGCTAACCGATGGATAATCACCTCCAGCTTTTTCGGAAATAACCGCTATTTTCAGCTTACTAATGATTAATAGGTCAGCATAGAGATTTTAAAGCAATTGAAATGGATATGAGCCATTCATTTGTTTGACTCCTGTTTTCAATGAGGTTTAACACAGAGAACAAATTGATATGCACCAAATATATTATGCTGTGTCAGTTCCTTTTCCATAAAGCTATAGCCCCAGGACAGCGTGGAGCTCAGATTGAATAAAGTCACAAAGTAAATTCATTGTTGGTGTACAAACACAATTAAATATGCATGGGAGTGGGACAGATAGAAACCTCAGTTGATTACATTGCAGTTGACAGATTAACAGGAAGCAATAAGAGAAATTCACTTTAGATATCAAATAGTCAATGAGTTGTAGTGCATCCTTTTCAGCTTTTTTGTAAATGCACCTTTCCTGCAGCTCCTCAGTTGTGTGCGTGGTGGTATATTGGAATTTTGTCTCCAGAGAGCTGTCCTCAAATTGATGGATTAAAGGGACTGAAAATCAACTTCCTCTAAAGGTCTGGTTTTGTTTCGATCTGCACGAGACACAGCTGGGGGCATTGACTTTCTCCTCATGTGCATGAAACCATAGGGAGCAGCATATAGTTCTATGAAATTGCCTCATATTCCTTTATGGTCCTAGAGCCATGCAGAGCAGCCATTAAACCTACTGACTCCCAGTGTATAACGGCAAAACCATTACATATTTTCTTGATTGGTTGCACTGGACGCAGGTCGGAGGTTTCCTTTGCCTTCTTAAGATGAAAACCTGGTAATAAGAAGACAACGTAAATGTAACCTTTAATCTCATCCCTACAACACATTCAAGGATAAACTACTGTACGAAACAAAAGTCATATAGTCTAACGTCAAACTATTTCTTATCAAAATATTATTTGTGATGTAATTGCAAGTCATACGATTGTTCTTGTTTTAGGAAATGTATACTTAACTTGCATATGGTGTAAAACAAAAGTAGAGAGAGCATAATGATGAAACCTGTGTCTTCAGAAAATGACTGACAGAATGCCCCAGCCCCCTAATAATATTTACTACATTAAAATAGGACCAACATTTTCTTTATCAATTCAAACTGCAATAGTCTCCATATAACTGCTTTTGACAGGGGGTAAAAAAAACACTCATTAAAACAGAAACAGAAAACAATAATACAATGTCATGTGGACTAATTGATTGACACATTCATTGAACAGTGATAGCATACAGCACCTGTGAGATGTGAGTAAAGTAAACCTCTGTGATCTGCAGGGATAAGGAAGATAAGAGTTAAACTACTATTATGTTTTATCTTTTCAAACAGTAAACCTTTTTTCTCATGTGATGTTCATTATTTTTGTTCAACCACTGTCTAATCCCCTGCATGTTTTTATTTTAAAAGGTGGTGAACTACCTGCTGAAGAGGCTGGAGCTGAGCTACCATAAAGACATCATTACTGACGGTTACAGTTGCGGCACCCGCAGAAAGCTCTCCACTGCGCTGGCTCTCATCGGACATCCTAAAATCCTTCTCCTGGTGAGGAACCGCCCGTTCTCGCCGCTTTAGCTGCCCATTTAATTGCCTAACCGTCCACAAGACTGCTAATATTAAACCATATACCATTGTTCCTCCTGAAAGGGTCTTTGAAGTGAAGTAGATATTGATCCCTAAGCCTTGACAGATCTCATATCTAGTTAATTAGTCTGTTTCCTCGGGCTCACCCAAGGGTGGTCTTCCCTGTTAGCTTTCAACTTTGTTTCTACCTTTTATCTCTATCAAATCCTATCTTCTCTTCTTCTCTCTCCTTCCTGTTCTCAACTGTATCCTTACATTTTGTTTTCTCTGTGTGTCTTCTTAATTTCCCCATCCTCTTGAAGCTTCCCTCTGCCTCTTGTCTCGTCTTCATTTCTTCCCTTACCTTCCCCTTATTTACTTTCCCTGTAGCACTTGGCCTCCCATCTTCCTTGCTTTTTTGCAATTATGTATTTGTGTTTACTCTTTCTTGTTCACCCTGCCCTTGTTTTTCCAACCTCATTGTTTTCCCTTGATGTCTGTGTCGTGATTCCAACCTTCCTTTATCTCTTCCACACACATTTCGAACTTCTCCTCACTCTTCCTCTCTCTGCAGGATGAACCGAGCTCCGGCATGGACCCTCGCACAAAGCGTCACCTGTGGAAAATCATCTCTGAGGAAGTGAAAGGAAAATGTGCCGTGGTCCTCACCTCTCACAGGTTAGCTTCACCTGCTCAGTCTCTCATCCCTGATCAAATGCTTTTGTTTTTGAATACACGATGTAAGGATAAGGAATACAATTTCAGGTTATACTGTAGAAAACAACAAGAATAAGCACTAAATGTTATTATTTCTATGTGACCACAGGCACTGCTCATTACTGTATGCTCAAAGGCTCCAAGTGTGACCTTTTATCTTTCTCTCTTTGTCTCCTTCTCTCAGCATGGAGGAGTGTGAGGCTCTGTGCAGCCGTCTTGCCATCATGGTGAAAGGTCAGTTCTGCTGCCTGGGCTCCCTGCAGCACATTAAGAACAGGTTAGTGACCTCTACTCAAACCCCAATTCAGCCATTACCGCTCTCTCCGCCCTGCGCACATAACCTCCTATTTTCCCCTCTCCTGTGGTCCTTTGTGCAACTGAATGCTCAATTTTACTTGTAGCCATGTACCCCCCACCCCTCAGACATGTAATAACACAGTGCTTTGTTCGCAAAATCTCCTTTGTGCAGGTTTGGCAGCGGGTTCACTGTGAAGATGTACTTGGCAGAGGCCTCCTGTGACGCTGAGGCAATCACTGTCTTCATGCGAAGTCGATTCCCCAGCACTTATCTCAAGGTGAGTTCTGCCAGCCATCCAAAGTAGTTGCAGGTACTTGGTAGAGAAGAGGGAAAAGAATGCAAAGTATACATTGTAGGGCATTTTGGTTGTACGTATGATTCGTTTCCGAGGAACATGTAGGGAGCCTTTGTGGTATTTTGATCCCAGCTATTATTTCAGGATTGAGGTGCAAAGTTGAATTTGCCTATGTTGGTATACACTGCTCTTCACTATGCATTGTGTTAACACAGAGAGCATATTTCAGAATATCTAATTGCCCTTTCTTTATCAACACACAGGACCAGCACTCCACTATGGTGGAGTACCACGTACCAACTGCTCCAGGAGGGGTGGCTGACATCTTCGACCAGCTGGAGTCCAACAAGAATGCTCTGCAGATCAAACACTTCTCTGTGAGCCAGACCACACTGGATGAGGTAAGAAAAAGAGACAGGACATAAATAGAGTGAGAGGGGGGGACTAGTGTGCGGCTTTGTAGAGGGTGGGTGGATGGCAGCGAGGGACAGAAAAAAGGGACAGGAGATGAGAGAAGTAAAGAGAGAGGGTAGGAGGGGAAGCAGGGACAGAAGAAAGCTGAGTGGGAGTGAAAGACTGAGTTTGAGAAAGTTTAAAGGAGGGAGAAGGAAACTGACAGAGGGTATGCCTGAGGGAGAATAAATGGAATATGAGTTGGGGAGAGAATCCGTGAGCTTAATATGCAGCCAGTGCTGATATTCTTTAACTACTCTTCCATTTTGGGGCTCTGGGACTGGAAGATACCATAAGAAGAGTGAAAAGAGGGGGCGTTGAGGGAGACTGACCAGCAGATTCACTCAAATCAGTTCACAGAAAAAGAACTGTCTTTTATATTGGACTGACTCTTACATTGTTCCTGCACCTTCACAGGTCTTCATCAACTTCGCCCTGGGAGACATCGCCATGGAATCCATTTCACTGAACAGTGAAGACGGATCTGATGACCTGGACTCCATCAAGGCAGTAGACATTTAGAAATGACTGCCATCTTTTCCTGCTTTTTGTCTGCGTCTACTGTGAAATGAAATACCATTTGTTTAAGTAAATCTTCTCTTAATATATATGGTGAAAAAAATAGTTAATGTTTTAAAAATACAGATTATTTGTTGAAAGTGTCATGACTGATCACATACAGGGTAACATACATGTTTATACTTAGTAAAATAAAATGCTAATGTTAAACAAAATGACAAATTCACATTTGCATACAAGCACAAATATAAAATGTTGATTAATGAAGTTTCTTGTCTAAATGGTTCGCACCGGTTTACCTTTATTCTTTGGATCTCATTATTTATGAAGGATAACATTATATGTGTAGGCTATTATTTTATCTTTGTGGTTTGGGCATTGTTTAGAAAATGAAAAACACTGTATTTACTATTAAGAATCATTTTCATTTGAATGTCATTTTGGAAAAACTGAATTTTACATAATCTTAAAGCAATCACACAATAAATATACATATTGTGTAAAAATGTTGTATGTTATTTTAACACTTATATACATGTTATTGTGCCTACTGTCAAACGAACATCCTGAATGTGGAGTTTTTTCATGCCTATGGACCACATTTTCTTAATGTACCCTGCCTATTTTTACTATTCTAATGAAGCTATTTTTAAATGCAGCTGCTGTCTTTAGCCTATTGTACATGTTTCACTTATAAATATTATAAATATTAGATTTTTACCCCTATGTAGACCTAAGCCACCTCAGTCTAGCTTATTTCTTATGTGATAGCAGTTTTGAATATGACTCCAATGACATTTTAATTTGGCCTTTTTAAATGCTGTGAACTTTGGGTCCAAGGGCTCTTTGTTTTGGGCCATACAGTATAGTGTATACAAATGTGATAGAGGCCACTTTATGACATTAAAACTGATGTTGGAGTTTACATAAATCGGTACCACTTTACAATAAGACTACCCCTACCCTTATAAAGGATTCATAAAGGGTTTATAATTAGGTTATGAATTAGGTTGTAAACACTTTATTAATCATTAAGAACCATTTATAAACCAGTTCTAACATAGTTTGCATACATCAACACAGGCTCACTATTTGGCAAGATGACTAAGCCTTATATTGGCTACTTAGCGAGAATGAACTCAGTGAACAACAGATACCAAGGATGCTGGCTGATGAAGAAGACGATGTAAGCTAAGTAGCCAATAGAAGACTTAGCAGTACAGATAAATGTGGCCTCACTATTTGGCAAGCAACCAGTCACAGTTGCCCTGTTTAGCTCATGTCTTATAAAAGCTTATTAATGATTTATAAAGTGTTCACAACCTAATTAATAAATTAATTACAAACTATTCGTAAACCCTTTAAAAGGGTAGTCTTATTGTAAAGTGGTACCTATAAATCTGGTTTCACAATTGTAAATTCAAGCTAATTCAAAAAGGCTATACATACAAGGACATTTATTTATAACATGACACACATATTGAGTTAATGCATTAAACTAAATAAATTGCAGCATTGCAGCAAGTTAGCTACATCAGGAAACATTTGAAACGATTACAGAAATCTGTAGACTTGCAGGTTAAATATATAAAAGTAAAATAACTTGTTAAAGATGTTAAATTAAGACATTGTCAGTTTGGTGAAGAGTTAGAATATGTGTGAAGTGACTTATATACTATGATAGGGCATTAATTAAAGCCTGTCTCAACTGCCCTGTCTAGCATTTCCAATGATATGTTAAGACCTTTATCTATCATCAAGTCTCGTTTACAAGACGAGGGCTTTTGTTTTAAAAATACTTCGGAGCAGGGACGTGCACAGACATTTGGAGGGGTTATTGCTCTCAACTGGAAAAAGGGCCTCCCCCCCGAAAAAAACATAAGACCTTTTGAAAATTCTAACTTGTTTTTAATGTAAAAGGTTCATAAAATAAAAACACAACACTGTCATTGCAAGTGACACTCAGTTGACTTTTATGTCCAACTGCTAAATTCGTTATTCAGGCACATTTTTAGTTTTGCGGTCCATATCTCATTAAAAATATCTAATGTTAGTAACTATTAAAGAAAAAATGGGGACAATCCTATTTTAATATAGTTTTACCATTGTAACTGCTGTGCAGACATACTGATAAAATAGGGCTTCTAAGGCTATACCTTAAATAAACTCACTAATTAATTAAACCAGTTCAATACGCATTATTCTTATTCTTATCATTCATTATGAGCACAGTAACGGTAAGGTATCTAATTACTTATTTATTTAGAATCCCATAACTTAATAACAGAGATGGTCAAACTAAAGTAGAGACATGGCAGAAATCCTACAATGAAGCGGGACAGTGAAGTGTTCTCCCGTATGTGAGAGAGGGCGATCAAGAAAAGAGAGTGAGCGGCCCGCCCCGTTGAGGGAGTTTACGGAGCAGAGTAAAAGACACAGAAAGACAGAAGCACAATAACAAGTATATTTAGGTGTTTTTTTTGTAAATAACCGACGGTGTCAAGAGGAAGTAAAGTCCCCTGGTTTGTCCCCTATACTCTAACGCCAGGCAGGCATTTGGTGTGATCCACCATAGCCATATGAGGCCGGACTCGGAGGGCTTTCCTTTGCTTCCAGTTGTCAGATTGTAAACAAAGTCACGTGACTGGGGGCAGATGACAGCGCTGACAAGTTGTGTTTTATCCTTTATATATACAGTCTATGGTTTTATCGCAGCGAGACGCTACAATACTAATTGTGGGCTTATCATGTTGATTCGGCCACAATAGAAAACAAAAAAAACTCTCGCTCTCTCCAGAGGGGCAGGTCAGACAAAAATGACAATTAGCAACATTAGCCCCTACCTGTGCACGTCCCTGCTTCGGAGAGTTTCGCCCCAAACAAATCCGACACTTGATACAAACGAACAAGGATTGTTTGATGTCACTAATATATATTTGCAAACTGCACCGGAACTTGCGTCATCTGACTTCCGTAAATCTTTGGCGGGAGATGCAAGTAGACAGGAAGCATACTCGGCTTGTTGTGCAAGCTTGAGTCGGTAGCACAATAAAAACAAAGCAGACACATACAATCCTCTGATAATGGATAATGATGCCGTCATTCCTACACAGGATTGGAAGAACACTAAGGAGGCGGTTGCGAACTTTCGACAGCTTCTGCTTTGCTCCAAATGGTAAGTTTACGTTAAAGTTACTGTAACGTAGAAGTGATGTAACGCTACCTTCGGGAGGTAATGTAGCATCATTTGTTGCCTAAAGGTAAACAAAGAATAAACACACGTTACAACTAGTCGATTAACCTACTGTAAAACCCTAGAAGACTATGCCTACACTATGCTCAGCTAGCTCACACACACGTTTAAGTTGTCAACATCCTCACCTGATTGTAATAACTTTAATTTAAGTGTTTTCTATGGGCAGAACATGCTGAGTGTTTGCTAAATTGAAAACAAATTATAATGTATTATTCAGAGTAGGGTTGTACGGTGAGTCACAGCAGGAAAGCAAATTGCAGGTTAGATTTAAGTTATATATTTAACATTACTCAATTCTCCCCTCTCAGTTTCATATTATAAAAAATGCTAAACATGCTCATGTTATTAGGATATTTCTGCTGCTGTTTATTGAAAAGGAAATATCTTATTTTTGGGAAATAGATGCATGATATTGTTACAACACTGGAAAGAAAAGTCACGCCTATTTTTTAATTGGAATTTTAGTGCTACTTTTATTTAATCTGAATATTTAAATGAAAAATATGTCATTGTTTTCAAAGCCTACAGATATCTTTTTATATAAAACCTAGTTTTAAGTTATTAAAAAGTCATGTTTTTTTCCGAAAGGTTTCATGTTATGTGACCAAGTGACTACAAATGAATGCAGAACTAACATACATACACATGACAGCACTACACATAGCCTACTCATCGGTTTGGCCTGAGGAGTGAAAAACTGGCATTTTGTGCAAAAGCTAAACGAAACTGCACTTAAAATCAAATTGTGGATATAAGAATTGAATAGTTAGACTACAGTAAAGAAATGCAGAAAAGTCACAGTGTAAACAGTAAGGATTTGTGTGATTTGGAAATGGTGAGTTTATTTGGTTCGAGTGGTAAGATATAGCAGCATGTTAACATGTCTGTGTGGAGGAAATGGACATGTAACAGTCGGGATGCTAGGATGCTTTATTACCTCCAGCCTGATGGAAAGAGTTTGAAAAGTCAGAATATCTGATGCAAGGTTAAGATCAGACTGTGGTGCCGCTCCTCAGGATGATCTCTTTAGAAGGATTGGTAGACAACCACCCTCCTTTGGAGTTGAGAATCTTCTTGGCTTTTTGTTTTTACAGCATAGACTACACATTTCACAGTGGAGCTTTGTATTTGCAAAGGGAAGTGGTTGCTCACGTGTTTAGCTCTTTTGACATTCATAGTCCGCAGTGGATGAATTCTAACAACTTGACCTCTTACCTACCACCATTATCCAGTCAAAGTACAACCTCTCAGCTACAAGTATAGACCATTAATCTTTTTACAGACCAAAATATTGGTATTGCCTACACTGACTGTACTGACCACTTTAAAATGTTTTCTCCTCTTCCAGCTCAAATGTAATGACGGAGCCTGTGTGTCTAGGAATTTGCGAGCATATGCTGTGCAGGTAATGTAACCTCAACTAAATATATTTTACCGTATCATGCTCACTGATATTAGACGTGTCTTATGGTGGACAGTTTTCAGACACAGGTGTAACTAAAAGCGTATATTATGGCTCCATTCTATTTAGGTCTGTTACTGCCAGGATTATACATGCTGGTTCACTCGTGCACTTAAAGTGAATTTAGCTGTTTTATTTATATTGAATAACACCAACTATGTTTGGGGTACATTGACAACTTTAACGGCACTGTTGTTAAAGGCATTTCACACATCTGAAGGATATGAAGGAGAAATAATTTAAATGTTGCAGTTAGCATTTTTCTTGTTATGGGGCTCATTCATTTTGCAGATGAAGTGCTGGATTTCCATGGCATTAGCGTGGTTTGTTGGCAATGAATGCATGGTTTGCAGTGTTGAAAGTCTTAAGGGAATTAATGTCCCTATTAGGCACAAACTTTAGCCTTAATTTATTCCTTCTCTTCATGACTGAATAGCCTTAAAAGGTGAATCGATAAGCTCATTGTGTTTCTTCTTACTGAACCGGGTAGTGATTGAACTCCTAATCCAAACTTTGTTTATTGCTCAGGTCCTGTGCGGGCCCCGGGGCCGGAGATGGCTGCGTGGTGTGTCAGAGTCCTGCTTGGGTGAAGGACATTCAAATCAACAGGCAGCTCAGCAGCATCATACAGCTCTTCAGCGGGTTGGAGTCCCTGCTCAATCCCACAGAACAACCAGGTAGACGGAAGCCATTACACAGCAGCTTCATTCGAATAATTAACAAGTTTATAATCAAATCCATGTGCGATTTTCACTATCATTCTCCCCACGCATCTGCCACACCCCATTCTGTCAAGTGTTGACTGAAACATTTCACATTTTCCTCCGCCAGTCTAATCTCTGAATGAAAGTATTAGTGGCTTTTTCCTGTGCTTTATTATCTTCTTATCGCCCATCCAGCACCCTGGTAATGACAGTAATTATATGATTCAATTAACTATTGCAGTGTCTAGTTTTGCAAGTAGGTCTCAGTTTTGAGAAAATAACTACAAGGCAACTTTATAAGCCGTGTAATAGAAATGTTAAAGCATCTGCAGGCTGTCTAAAGTTAAGAAATAGCTATGGGATTAACCACTACTTATGTCAAATGTCTTTATTATTAGTTTGGAGTGCATCATTTTCAGCTTTGATGTTATTCCCTTGTCATCTCAACAGATTCTAGGTTATTAAAAATACAAGGAGCCTTTTTGAAATATATTTTTTTCTATAGTTGCTGCAGTAAAGGAACTTTTGTTGAACCCGTTTTTCTTTTTCCTCACACCTCTCTAGCAGAGAAGTCTCTAGCTGAGATCCAAACTCCACCTCATAGTCCTGTCCTCAAACACAAGAAAAACGTCAAGATCTGGTTCAGCCCCCGAAGCCGCAAGGTCCGCTGCACCGTGGAGAAGCCTTCAAAGGTCACCGTACCGGAGAGCACGTCTTCTGGAGAAACAGCCGCAGCACAGCCAGACGCCCTTACTGCTCCACCTCAGGACTTGTCAGTTTTCAATTTCACCTCGTCCTCCCAAGACTCAGGCTCTTCCTCTCCTGAACGAAGCAAAAATGAAAAAGGGAAGAAGAGAACTAAGCTAAATGCTTCGAGCAGGGAGGTGATGAAGCGTGGGCCCATTAGGGCCCCACGGATACAAAGCAGGCAGCAGATGAAGAAGAACAGGCTGGAGGCTATAAACCAGAAATGGGGGATTACCGAGGAGATGGATGCTTTAGAGGAAAAGGAGCTGTCCTGCGATGAAGGGCCAAGAAAGTCCAGCAAAAGAGTTACCTTCCTAAGCCCTGTTGACATGTCTGACGAGACTCTGACTGAAGTGCCACAGGGAAGCACTAATGAACTCGGCACCACGAGGGAGAGTCTCTCAGGAGGCAGCAGCCCTGTACTGAATGACCAAACACCGCCTGACACTCAGATTCTTGAAAAACTTCCTGACAAATCTCCCCTAAAGCATTCACCAAAGAGATCCAGACTGGAGGAGGAGGGTGCCACTTTGGAGACCACACCAAAACGGCCAAGGGCTTCCCCAGGCAAGCGGGGGAGATCCCAGATGTCTCCAGCTGTCCTGAGCCCTTTTTCGACTAGCCCCAAAGGTGATAAAAGTGTCAAAAACTCAAGAAAAGAGAAAGGAGCCAGCCCGATTGTCCCATCCCCAGCTGGAAGAAGGTCTCCCCGTTCTCCCAGTGCATCTGTTGGACGGCCCCCCTCGGGGATCCCTGCGGTCATGAAGAGGAACCACAAGGGAGAATCTCCGCTCCATCTAGCTGCTATAAAGGTGGGGAGGTTTCAAGATCCTTTCCTTAAAGGTCTCCTATTATGCTATTTTTAGGCATATATTATGGATCTCAGATATATGAAAACATGTCTATGATGTGTTTTGCTCAAAATACCAAACGGATCATGCATTTCAGACGTCCCGCATATCCCTCTATTTCAGGCCTGTTAGAGAACTGCAGGTTCAGGGTCCTTAGCTTGACAAAAAGAAAAAGAGGGGGAGCGTGTCAGAATTATACCGGCAGATACAGCTAAATGCTGCCGTGATTAAATGCCATATCATGTTCCAAACCACATCAAGGATTATTTCTGAAACAGTATGGAGCTCAAATGCTTTTTCTCTTGTGGGTTTACCACAAGGTGAGTTCCTTTTTTAATTTCCTGCTTTTTTACACATGCTCTCTCCAGTACAGGTTAGCTCTGAGTGTTAGCGATGCTAATGTAAACAAAGACCATATTACGTCCAAAACAGTCGGGCATTGTTTCTAATAGCAACTTTTCTGATAGTGCCGTGGGTCCACTTTTCCGATATTACGTCATATCGGACGCAAATCTGGATCAGCTCCGTTGTACCCCCGTTTTTGGAGATTTGGGTACGGAGGAAAAGAGAGGGTTTTATTTTCTGACACTTTGTGAGTTCCCTTACACACTGGGGACACAAATGTATGTATAAAAGACATCAAAAAGTGCATTTTGCATGATAGGTCCTCTTTTTAAATCAATTTAAAAACGTTTATGCAGCTAAGTGACAGCAATAAAACAAAAATACATGTATATGATTGATCTGATGGTTAAAGTGTGTCCTCCTCCTGTAGGGTTTGCTCCGCTTAGTTGAACATATTAGTCTTCAGATGATCAGACAGCCGTGTTCCGGTCTGCGGAGAATTAACCGTCTTGCAGTAATCCTTGTAAACATAGCCGTAATCCCCCTCTGGATCCCAGACAAGATAATCAATGGCCCACTGTGGAGTGTGATTGATAAACAGAGGAGCTTTGGTACACCGGGATCAGCCGCTGTGTTTGAAAGGTTGCGTTTACGGGTCTGCAATTCTGACCTGAGGTTTGTTGTCCTCTCGGGGTCCTGCAGGGCGACGTGGAGGCTGTCAAGGAACTCCTGGAGCAGGGCGCTGACCCCAACCTGAAGGATAATGCTGGGTGGACCCCTCTGGTAAGTCCTATAAACCTAGTGATGCATCCGAAAGCTTTATTTGTTGTGTGGAAAACCTGAGTCACATAAATACTGATATTTGTAATTAACATTTCGACCCTGGTGGGTTCTTATTTTTTCTTTTTGAAAAGAGATTTATGGCGTTTATTGACAATAACATATGCTTTTTACATGCAGGTACCTCATGGATTGTTAGACTCTAATGGCGAAATTTCCCACACAAAGGCCCATTTAATTTAGTGTAGCTTTTCATTCTGCCTTACATTTACATTTGTTATTTATCTTCTCCAGTAAACCAACATGCTAAGTTGTAATGCAAAATGTTGTTGCTAAATAGCTCTATTTATTCATTATTCTTTTCCCTTTTAGACTATTCCAATTAACATTTTCTTCCACCCCTGCATTCAATTTTTCGTGATGTGGTTTACGGCTCAGCTAATGTTAGGATTTCAAAGTTTAAAAAACTTCCGAGACTTGAATACATTACAGTTGCTTAAATGGCTTCAATCTTATTACTGGATAAAAAAAACCCTCTTTTACTTTGCTACTACCTTCAAGTTCAAGTCGCAAACATAACCTTTAAAACATTCACTTTTACTAAGCGGCTTCTCTCTTTCATGTTAATTTTAGAACTGCAGGTCAGGATATTATTGACGTTTGCTTCTTAGAAGGTTTTCTCTTTATCAGTTGAATTCTACAAAACGATTGAAGTGTGATTGAGCTGTAACATCTGATATATTTTCAAAATACCCCATGAAAGAACTGCAAACCCAGTCGAAAACATTCCCATAAAAGGATTCAAGCTCATGTCTGTATTTAAACGATTCAAACTGTTTGAAAGCACAGCAGGATGACTTCTGAGCCTTTCTACTCTTTGTTCCAGCATGAGGCGTGTAACCTGGGTCACCTGCCGGTTGTGGAGGTGTTGGTCTCAGGGGGGGCCCTGTTGAATACTCCCGGCTACAAAAATGACTCTCCACTCCACGATGCTGTGAGGAACCGACGCCCAGCCATCGCCAAACTGCTGCTGCAGCAAGGAGCCTCGCAGAACGTACTGTGAGTAACCTCAAGGGTTGTTTTCTTATACCAGGAGTTTAGTGGGTCCTCATGTAAAACGATTCACACAGATGGTGTGTTTTGCTTTGCACCGGCCTTTGAGTTGTCCCTATCAATGATCCCAGTCAGTCATTTGTAAGAACGTTTGAGTGTTTCAGGTCAGATGAGTGTCAGACCTAAAAACAAGATTTTTCGATTTGATATTTTTGAAATGGAGCCTTGAAACTGATACTTGTCATTCCGGTACTTGCCACATGAAAACATTTTAGAGCATTAGAGCAGCATAAGCCACAGTTTGTATCACTGCAATATAAAATGCAGCACTCGTCACACAATAGAAAACATAGTGGTGCACTTACCTTTACCTTTCCTGAACTGTGTTAAATAGTTTTTTGTGCATTTAAATGGTCTGCAAAAAATAACACTTTAATGTAGAGTTTCTCTCCCACACACTTCGAGGCGTTTTCCCCCCTGCCTGAAACGCCTCGATTAGACTCCTTTGTTTACTTATGTAACATAATAACATGGCTATATCACAATCAACCTTCTATTAGCTGGCAGTCCAACACATTGTACGTTATAGGCTAAGATGTGGGACAACTCTAAGCAGTTAACCAATCACAACAGAGCCTGCCAGCTAACCAATCAGAGCAGACTGGGCTCTGGTTTCAGACAGAGGGTGAAAAAAGTATGAGAAAAAACAAAGTATATATTTTTAACATTTAAAGCATGTAAATATACAAATATGAACCTGAAAATTAGCATTTGAGGTTATTTATTTTGTATCAAAACTTATTTTATGAAAATACCATTTTTATTATATTTGAAGAGGCTATAGCAACAGACAAACAAACAACCCTGAATCCAGTGCAACAATATTGCATTAAATACTTCCTTTAAGAGAATTGGTAAAAGTTTAAATTATTGTTGGGACAGTGTCAGTGAAAAAGTGTGTTTGATGTATTGGATGCCAATCATTTGTCACGTATAAATAAATGAGGTGGACAGAATATCATATAAAACCTTTCAACTGAGTTTGACGACTTGAGCAGAAATCCCAACAAAGACTAAACACTTTAGGTAGTTTCATATCTATTGCACCCCTATTGTATTACATTGCATCACATCATAAAGGCTCTTTTGTTATTCCGGACCAGTGCGTATTCTCCCCGTCTTAAATAAATCTTCAAGTGCCTGTTTTCCCGTCAGTGTACCAGGCATTCAGCTCTTTATTATCAAGGACAGGCATGTGCTAGGGCAGTACGTACTGTAGGTGGATGGAGCTAAGGAAATTGAATGACGCAGATAAGTCGTTGGTCAATCAGTTAATGCTGTATCAGCGTCTCCTGCCTGCGGAGGTGGGGTAGCACAACATCGATAATGAGGGAGAGGATGCTGGTTTATAAATGCGATCAATAGATTAGATGATCAGGGCGGCCATGTTGGTCAGTAAGTGCTCTTTTTGCAACCATTGCGTACCAATCATCCTCTGTCTTGTCCCTTCTTCGTTTCTTTGTGTTTTACTTCGATGGTTCCTGCTCATCAGGTCTTAGATTTCTTAACTCTCTAACTTGTTACTCGTTTGCAATGCAAAATAAAGGCAGTGTTAGGGCATTGCAATACATATGCAATCCTTGCCTCAAGCCACACACACACACTCACACTCACACTCACACTCACACTCACACTCACTCACACTCACACTCACACTCACACAATAGACAAACCAAGACATCTGCCACTGCAATCCCTAATGGAACGATTGGCACGCAGCTCAGTGTTTTTGGAAATACAGGTTTTGCAGATTTTCATTGTTGCTCTTCGATATTTGTGTATGCACATTTTAGATTTGAATTGTTGGACTGCATATATTCATTGTCCTCAAAAAATTGGAGACTGTGAGTCCACTCCCTATTAAGCGAAAGTATTTGACATGCTATACAGGTTATTATAAAGTTCAGACGGAAGTCTTAAGTGAATCCTAATGTGTTTTTAACAGTCGACGATTACCTGCTATCTCCAAAACAACAGGTGTAAGCATTTTCTAAGAAGCTGCTCAGCATGCACAGCAGGGCTCCGGACCATGAGTCTCAGTCCTTTTTAAGAATGAATATCAACATCAATGCAGCACATTAGGACAGCCAGGGAGAGGTCTGCAAGGTGTTAGCTGGTAGCATTTGTTCACAAACTCAAAGGACAATGCTGAAATGAGTATTTATATACATTTATTACTGTTTTTATTTTGTTTGCCCCGCACACTATAGGTTTTAAGATTGTCACCATTTAGTTATTCTGAGTGCAGTACGGCATGAAAATGAACTTGTGTTGACGAGATGGGGAAAAACAAGCCGTATTTCAATTGGCTCGGTACTAATGACCATTCAAAGCCTGAAGCACTGAATCCATACAGACATTAATTAACATCACCTGTGTGCCTCGCACTGGCACGCCAATACCACTGGATCGGTTTAATTATACTGCACACAGAGTCAAACTATAAACAAGCAATGACAGTCTCCAAAAGTTAGCAATGAATGTTTACTGCGATTGGCAATTAGCCAACGGATTTCCATCACTACATACAATACTGATTACAGTAAGTGTGACATGCTTCTAACATCTAAATAGACAGTCTACTTTGATCCAGACATTATGTTATGGATGGCTATTTCTTGCTCGAATGACAATGTTTGTGGGTATTTCTAGAAAGCATGAACCAAAGCCTACTCTTGATTATTTGTGATTTTTCATTTGGCCATCATAGAAGGGCCTCTGCATAACAATTACAATACACAGTGTTGTTACAGGTTTAAATGGAGGCGTTGGGTGAGTCATCCTCTGCATCACAGGATATAAACTGTAACACCCAGCTGATCCAGCTGTCAGGACACATTCAGAGTGGATTGTTTAAGAAGGAAATGTAACTAATGAACCTTTTGATTAAAAATGCATTCAGGCCTCGCCCTCTGCCTCATCAGTTGCTCCCGGCGCCTTTCCGTCTTTAGATATATGACTTCTTTCAAGACACACTGCTGAGCGGACACAGTGCAAAAGCTTTGTGGGCTGTTGGGTGTGCATGAGCTCATAAAAGTCATAAAATCTTAATAATAGCTAATAGCTTCTCTTTAACGACCGGTGCATTTGAAACAGAAATGTAGATTTTTAACATAATAAAATCCATATAGATAAAGGGAAATATGTTCAAAGCCTATTGATCACATACAGTAGCAGGTATGGAAGAATAATCAGTATTGGTGTTCAGATGTTTCTGCTATTGTTTCACTGAACTTTGTATTTGTGTTCAGCCTGAAATGAATATTTAAATGTCCTCCTCCCGTTTAGTATAAGAGTCATGCTTAGAGTGGGTATCCTCTAGAACCTCCACCGCCTTCCTCCCACTTGTGTACTTAATGCCGAGGCTTGTGGGAGAGTGTTTATGATTTTACCTCCAGCACAATTTTCCACGCTTTATTCTTTTTCTCCAGATATTCTTCTCGCGTGCGGCTGCATAAACCTGCTTGCGAGTGTGCATATGTATAAGTGTCCTAGACATTTGATGTTTGTTTGTGTGTGTATTGGGTTAGGGGTATGAATCCAAATGAAATATTTTATGGACCAGTGGACCTATTAATTGTCCCCCAGGTGTTATCTTTGCTGACGCCTAATCTTTTAGAGAAGACCTGCTGGGCTTGGATCTTCTCTCAGTCTCCTCTCTTCCTCTGTCGGCTTTTCTTCATTCTCTCCTCCTCTCCCTCTTAGCTCAAGGTGACCTCAGTCTTGTCTCATGCCGCTCTTTGAAACTTAAAGACACATTCTTTAAAGTTTCTTTATTTTATCTTTTGTAACCTGGGGATAGTTGCAGTTTCCTCTCTTTGAGTCTCTTGCATAATGCTGCTTTTATGATAATGCTTATGAGCCTCCATTACACACACTTTATACTGAGGGGATATTGTGCATCACAGTTAAATGGCTATACTAAATCAATAAAGGAAATGTGCTTCTCACCAGATACATGTATTTCATTGAGAAGGCTTTCAAAAGTCAGCACTCGTCAGTAGTGTTATGCAGTCATGAGATTTTCTTTTTGCATGCGATGGGTCTATGTGTTGGTTGGTCACATGACATAGGAGTGAAGAACAACACAGATTTCAGGTCGCCCTCATATCAAACAATTACGCTCCAACAAGTGAATACCACACATGGGTGCACAGTTTCATAGAACAAGCCGAGTGTGACATCGCCAAAGTGTTTTCCTTAGAGCTCTGGAATGGCAAATATTGATTTTATTTTTTGTGTCCTGCTTGGCCAGTGATTTATAAAAAAAGAACCCAAATGTTCCAATGGTTGAAGTGATGAAATGATACGAGGAAATGTTTAGCTTGTTGGACAAGACTTTGCTTTAAAAGCTATCACAAGATAACATTGATGCTGTGTTTAGTGTCTCTGAAAGATTTGTAAAATTGTGAATCACTCAGGACAGCAATAGCATTTTGGTTCTAATAATAACTATAGTTAGTTAATTGATTTAGCAGCAAAGCATGCAAGTATCTTTGTTGTTACTAAGAGACAGGAACATGTGGATAGCATTTGAAAATGAACATGCTCAGAGAAGTGTGCTGTGGCAGATTATGATGTGGTTAAAGGCATTGTATTTTCAATATTTTGTGTAAAAACAATGTTTGAGATTCTTTGGCAGAGACTATTTTGTCGGTTCTAGAGTCCAAAGTTGTTCAAATATGAGGGTTTGCTGTCAGTGCCCCAAGACTCTGAAACAACCTCCCCAAGAAATAAGGCCTGAGTCGATAAAACCCTCCTATTATATGTTATTTTAATAAGGGTTAAGTTATTTTCATCTGGTCCAGTTGACATTTTTTCTATACCATCATTCAATATGGCTTCTGGATTGCTTGTGGTATAATTTCACATTGTACATTCATACATTTTTGAACTGTAATGTTGTCCATCAGTTCAAACAGTTAATGTTAATTAACGGATCTTTTCTGTGTTTAAGGAAATGGCATTAAGTTTTGACAATGATTTATCAACAGTATCATATCCTTATGTTATGCAGATTCACTGGGCCTACATTATGTTTTTATATTAGAGGAAGTACCCACACATTTGAAAACCACTAGCAATTTGAAGAGGAAAACTACCTTGGCTTATCACAGCTGCCATGAGTAATTACCATACATATACTACACTACAAAACATAGACATTTGACCTGCTCTAAGTGTGTGCTGATGTAAATGGTGGTTAACAAATCAAGTAAATGAAATGTTTCTGCAATATAATGCTCCAATGTATTGTTCACCAGATGGTATGTGTTGCTGCAAATGCATAAATCAACAAGTGTATGCATCCTGCGAGACACTGACATAATAACTTTTGAATGTTCTTCGTCACAGTAATCAGTGTGGAAAGCGGCCTGCAGATTACGCAGCGAGTCCAGAGATGCTGGAGATTTTCCAGGAAGCCTCAGAAGGGATCCAATGTGCAAACACATCTCTCAGCCCCTCTGCTCTCTCTATGGTGAGTCCACCTGGAGATGTGGTTATCTTAATTTAAACTCTTAAATAAGGTTGTCACAATCTTATTTCTAAATTGAATATCGAACAAGATGAGCTTTTGATTTTCATCATTAGAATCCAAAGCAGGATTTGCAATTCCCTTTTTGGTATTTATTTTCTCTCCAAACCTTTTACCGGTAGCTCGCAATTAAAGTCAACAGTGGGGAATAAGTTATTGCTATTACATTTTAAATAAATAACTTAAAGTTGACTATTTGGCCTTAGTGTTGTACATTCCCAAAAGTATTTAGTGGATATATTAGCTTGCAATCTATATATTTAAAACAAAGCAACAGTTGTCAGGGCATACAACCACAAAATCTGTTGATCACAACATCCAGAATCGAACGATGGATGTGGCATCAGTGCTGGAAAATAAATGTTAAAATCGAAGAAGAGAATCAAATCGTGACCTTAAAATTGAAAGTAAAATCAAGTTGCCGATTTGGAGAATGATGTCACTTACTTTGAACCCTAGAGTACTATTACACAAGCATTATAGGTCAAGATTGTTTAACTAACTGTGTCCTCTCTCAGGTGAGCGACTGTGTGCGGAGGGATGAAATGGCCGTGTTTCTGACCACTAAGCTGTCACAGGCAGAACAGCTCCAAGTGGCCAAACTGGGAGAGCTACTGGAAGGGAGGATGGCCGACACCTTCTCTGGCTCAGGTAATGTTTGTTCGGTACAGAAACCTCTCCTTAAACGTCCTCAATGCTCCTGGGGGGACACCTTTTTTAAAATAACATCACATATGATTGCTTTTGGTGTGTCACATGGGCTTCCCCGCAACACTGCAAATGAACTGCAGCTAAGGGCCAATTGCTGCTACACAGGGACAATGGCTGGAAAGTCTTGTCACGGCCAATCACTCGGGATGCCCTGTTCAACTGAAGGATGTATTATGGGTAAATTGCAGGCTCGAGTACCAGAGGAGCCTCTAGTCATGGGGTAATGTCTTCCCCTGGTCATGATGTTTGTTGTGAAGATTATATGCCGTACTTGAACCACCAAAGAGATGGGATTTTTATCTGACTGATTCTCTTGCTACAAGGCAAGCTTTACAGGCCTCACTTTACACACAGCTCTTGTATTGTAAAAGCCTCTAGAATTATCGCTCATGAAGGTTCAACAGTAACTAACAAGTGCTTTTAGAGCTGAACACATCATTGTGATGCAGCAGCTCCTTCACTGTTGCATAGTAAAGGCTGGGAGAACACCACAGAGCAAAAGTAATTGAAATCATCCTTCATAAAAATGTTTGGAGGTACTGTCAGAGTGATGAATAAGCACTAATGAAAAACAGAAGTGTGTCTCACAACTCTCCCTCCTCTGACCGTGGGGGGGGGGGGGGGGAAAGTTTGTGCTTCCAGAAAATGTGTCTTTATCCACATTTTGAACTTGAGGATACAAATCCTCGGTCAATGAGCAATGCAATATGGATTTGCCCTGGAGAAATAATTATGGTCATTTTGTACTTGTCAACCCTACTCACTTGTTGAATAAGAGGCAATGAGCTTTTGCTTACATTTTAATTAAGCTATAATTATCGTCTAAAGCATCTTTTGAAAGAAGCCGTTGCATGGCCTTTTGTCGCCTTTAATTGCTAGACAGTTTTCCACTCAGGCAAAGTAGGTGAATTACCAGGAATGTGTTAGGATGTGCTCCGATGTTTTTCTCTGGACGTACAGAAGATGTTATTAACTCGTCTAACCTGGGCTGAGAGAAAACATACGGCAATGTCTAAAATATAGACGGAATTTCGAATTAAGGCACTTAACACTGTTATAAATGTTTAATCTTGGAGCACTTGATCTATCTAGCTCATTTAATTTGCACTAATAACATGCATACACACTCTGTTCAGCCTAACATCTTGGAGGACAGCAGCAGGAACCATCCTGTTTAGCATGTGGAGCACAACTTATTTGCACCTTTTTATACATTTGGCTGTTGTGTGTGTTTGTGTCTTCCTCCAGTGAGCCATGTCGTGGTGCCAGAAGGACACATGCCCACCACCAGCTCTACCCTCATGGGTCTTCTTGCTGGCTGCTGGGTTGTCAAATTCAGCTGTGAGTATAGAGAGAGAGAGATGGAGTAGTCCTCTGCGGAGGCTATTTTTGGATGTGATGTTTAACAATGTTCCAGTTGGTACCTGTGTGACTTCCTACCGCAGTGACACAGGAGCTGATTTCATCCAAAATATCCTTAATGTTTAATGTGGACTCAGTTTGGCCTGTCGTTCTCTTTTAAACTCTGATGAAAGAGTTGAGCCCAGACTTTGGATTATTGTATTAATGTACTGATCTTCATATTTGTCAAAACAGAACTGTAACTCTAACTAATGTTCAGTTAATTACGATGGGTTTCGAAACTCAAAAATGTAACTCATTCTCTCCTACATTAACGGAGAGATTCGAATTCACCATGACCATGAATGACAATTGTGTTTGGATATCAGCTCCTGATTCATTAAGAGCACATGGTTTTAACATTCTCTTCACTCACTGCAGCCCACGATCACACAACATGAGTCAATGACATCGTGACTTTGGGTAAACGTCTGGCTCAATTGAACCTTTTTGAGCTTTTATTCAAGCATTGTTCACTGTTGGTAACAGTTTGAAGTGTTTTTGAAGTGCCTTGGTTATTTATAATGTATTTTATCATTAGACAAAGGAGCACACATGTCAGTTGTTAATTTATTTGTCATACTCACTGTAGACTACTTAACAAGCCTACTTATTTATTGCCTTCTGGGAATAGTTTGGCATTTTAGGAAATATGCTTATTTGACTCATTGTCTGAGAAGATTGATCCCCCTCTCATGCTAGTTGTGAGACTTCTGCAGAGCTGTTGGTTAGCGTAGCTTAGCATAAAGAATGGGCTCAGGGACACAGCAAGCCTGGCAGTGACCGGCATTAAAAGGGTAATTACTACCAATACATACACATACAACTCGCTTGTTTAGTCCATATAAAAGCAACATTGTTAAAACAACTACATATTAATACTATATTTATTTCGGGGGGCACCTGACTAGTATGTGATTTATTGTCTGGCATAAAACGGTAAATGCAGCATTTGATTTGTCTATGAATCAAAACATCATCCTCCTGTGAGAACACATTTATAATAATAGGTGCAGTCAGTGGAAGAGTTGAAAAGATTAAGATGTATTTATGGTACCTAACACTAGTGTATCATCTTAGACATGGAATTATTCTGCAGATGCTATTGTTTAAAATGAGACTATACTTTTCTATGTCAGATTTTAAACCAGCTCAAAAACCAAAATGTGTTCCTCAACAGACATGGCAAAGTTTGTTTTTAGCAAAGTTAATTGCTGGCAAAACCTTTTGTTTCTCCCTTGAGAGGTCCTTGAAAGAACGGTCATAAATAAGAACAAAAAAACCTTAGAAAACACACACTCACACACTCACACACACACTCACACACACACACACACAATCAATCACATTCCTGAGATAATTAGATTGGACAACTCCGCAAAGTGTGCTACTTGATAACCAGCTTACATTTTCAACAGTTGTATTATTTGTCTTTTTGTATGCTAATGTTGTTGTGTGTGCTACCTACAAGGTCACATTTGTATTCGGTAGACTAAGTCATTCAAAGAGGGCGCTTGCCTAAGGATTTCCATCTCTATTTGATATGTTTGTTATTTTTGTTGCAATAAGATCAATTAAAACATCTATGAGGTTCTATTGGGAGCACAGCACAGGACTATTGGATGTGCTGCACAACAGTATGGATACACTTGATGTGTTTGTGCTCTTTCTGAATCCAAAAGAACATTTTACCTGCATGTCTGTCTCTGGAAGGAGTTTGGTGCAATTGTGTTGGATAATATGCAGTTTGGCACCCACATTTCAGTGGAAACATAATACTATTTTATAATATGGTTTAGATATATATATATGCTGCTGTCTTAATTCCTCCTTTACACCAAACTAGTGGGACACATGTGCGTTTGACCTTTGACCAACCTCTTCTCTGAAAGCTTTCAGGTGAAATCAGGCTGTTTTTGGAATAAGAACCCTAATGCAATAGTATTTTTCTGCAACACCTGGAATGTCCTGAAAACACCTCTTGCATTTTTCAATTTTCATGTAAATTGGTGTGTGCCTTCTGTTGGTGTGAGCACACATGTCTGACAGCCAAACTGAGTGGGAGGGTGACTGGAGGAAGCAATCTCAGAATCAATGGGCCTCAAGGCTTTAATATTACCTGCGACAGGAAGATCGGTAACTCTTTTTTTTCCCTTTGTTGGATTTATACCAAGATGAATACTTAGAAATAATGTTTGCTATTCCCAGCCCGTCTCCCTGGCATCCTTGAACCAAGTCAACAAGCACGCATTCAGAAGAAGTCGGCTTTTAGTGGAAGCGAAAAGAGACTTGCTGTCAAAGAGTTTTCTGGCACCTTGGTGTGCCCTTCACTGGTGTATCCGTCAGTAGCATCGACTCACTGTGTGTGTGTACGTGTACGTGTACGTGTGCGTGTGTTGAGTGAAAAGGCATGCTCCCCTGTCTCTTTCAGTAAGCGATTTAAAAGTTTAAATGCGTGTGTGTTCAGGTGTGTGGTTGTGTCACTGTATACAATTTTGTGTGTTTAGACCATATTCAGCCCCCCCCCCCCTTCTATTTTCTACACGCAGGCTGAGCTCCTGACACAGCCTGTCTCCCTCATGACAATCACTGTGGCATCTTATCTGTGTCTGTCCTTGTTTTTTGCGCATGCAGTGGAGTTCTCACTGTCACCTACTTTTACAGAATGTGCCTCTGCTGTCAATTAGGCCGAGCCCAAGCCTTCCCCTGTTTGGGTTTATGTTTCCTTGAAACACTTTTTTCTTTTGTTAAGCGTCTTATCTTCAGTGTTATATCAAGAAAAACAACTTAATCTGCCTAACAATGATCCAGTCCAACTTAGTCTTTACTCTGGGGATGAACAAATGGTTTGGATCCTTTAGTCCATCATGCACCTGTCACTAAAATAAATGCTTCAATATTTTGGGAAATACACTTACTTAAGATGAAATAAGGATTTTAATCTCAATGCCCAACTGTCTAGTCTTCATACCACTCGAAGGGTTTTCACTCTACATGCCAACATTTACCCATTCACACACACATACACTGGTCGTATGGCCAAAACATACACACACACACGCAGACACACACACGTTTGCACACAGATGGTTTTGCCTCCGGGAGCAATTTGCGGTTCCGTAACTTGCCAAAGGGCACTCCGATATGTGGACTGGAGAAGCTGGAAATCGAAAGCTGATCTTTCGATTAGTGGACAACTTGCTCCTGAGCCACAGCTGCCCTAAAGCTGACTTGTTAATATTTTGTCTGCCGAGCCCTATTTAAATTATTTCTTGTTTACAGCCTAGGCAAATATACAGCTCTAGAAAAAATTAGGAGACCACTTCAGATTTCTTAAATCTCTACATGTATGACGGCCATTACTTTCCAGTGTATGTTGAATTCCAACACAGAGAAATGTTGTCAGTAGTTTATAGAATAAAATAATAATGTTACTCAACACATACCTATAAATAGTCAAACCAGATGAACTGATAATGCTGCAGTGGTGTGCAATGTTTTTCCAGAGCTGTATATACAATGAATGGCTTCAGGGGGAGCTAGGTAGTTACAGCTATTATTTTGAAGTCTATTTTAAAACTTTTCCCTGTCGTTGAGTTCTTGCCACCCTGAGCTATAGATGGAAATGCTGCAAAAAAGCAACCATGGATTGACGTTGTTTACATTTCTCTTTTGTTATGGGTGAAACTAACACCATTGTGTTAAAGGTAGGGTAGGTAAGTTTGAGAAACCGTCCGGGCCGGCTAAAATGATTGGTCTTGCTTTTTACAGTACTACGGCTTCCACAGATGAATTTTTTTTTATGGATTTTTTGTCAAAGCACTTAAGATATTCATTGCTATCGGGATGTTAAGAGCATTCCATGGAATATAACAAAAAGTGTATCTCGAGCCGGTTTCTCAAACTTACCTACCCCACCTTTAATACGGATACTTTAGGGGATGTTGTCAGGAATATGTAGTTTATTTTTCACACTGCCAGACCAACTGTTTTCCCCTTCCTCAGACTGCAGATCCACACTCTGAATATACAGGAAGTTCATCTCACTCTTAATAAACACTTAAAGCCCATATCCCCTTTACCTCTTCTTATCTTTATTTCACTATTTTGACTAATTTCCCTAAACCTCTGTCCCTGCCACTGCTACTTTCAACCACTGACAGGAGGACAACCATGTGCTATCTCTCTGTGTCCTCACAAGTTATTTTCTAGCAAGAGGCTGCTCTTGGGCACCTGTCCAATTACACACTTGCTTATTAAAGGAGGCATTAATACTAGGCATTGAACCAAGGCCTCAACTGTGGGGTGATGTTTTGCTGCTATGCTGCATTTGCACACCTGCACACAGCGGTTGGTAATCAAGAGACTGATTATCGATAAAGAACGAGCTGTTGTGCCCCATATGGAGTCGGTAGTGTCAGAATTGACCTTCAGAATTTCATAAAAGTCCAACTCTAGTATCCAGTTGGTTTCATGTATAACCAATGAAGTACGTTCATCTGGCTGTTCACTCATTCATTGACTCAGGAAGGAAGGGGTGTGAAGTATTTTCTGCTTGAAGTCTTTGTGAACGTAATTAGCAAATATGCTAATGGCTCCTCGGCTCTAAACGCCAGCGTCCGGAGCGATTAACCGCAGTATCTCCCCTCGTCTCTGCCCAAGTCTCTGGCACGTTCCCTGTGAAGGAAAGCTGTAATTAAGGGGGATGAATAAATGTAATTACACTCGACTGCAGACTGTGTGTGTGTATTATATGTGTGTTATGTGCTGGTTCATGACACGGTGCTGTATCGTGACAAGATATCGACATACACACACACTTTACCCTCACCGGTTCATGCCACCACATCTTGCAGCTGGAAGCATTGTGTGAATCATAAACTGCAACAGTTGGAAGTGTTATTCAGGCTTAGCTTAATGCTCAGATATTTGTCACACCCTTTATACTCTTTTACAAGAAGTGTAGTTTGTTTCAATATACAACGTGTTCTTATACCCCAACATGGTATTCAGTAATAGAACATTTACAGGGATCTGCAGCACAGGCATCGGTGTTTCTTATCTGTGACAGTGGGGGGCTCATTAAAATATGTTACTTTTTTCCCTCCGATGCCTACACTTTTTTCAAATAAAAATGTTTCTGTCTTTTAAGATGCTTTTTGTAAGGATTTAGAAATAAAGATGATTCTCTAACTGAAAAGATGCTGGGATGCTGGCTGTCACACAGCACTAATTTGACTTTGTAAAACCTCCAGAGATGAAGAGAGCGAGAGATGATGCTGGAATTCTGCTTAAGCTGGAGATGCTTAAAACGAGGCTTGCATCATTAACTCCATCACGCTGTGGGCATCTCTCTCTGTCAACAACGGCAGCTCTGCCAATACTTCAATCTTCCAACTCAACATGAGCTTTGTCTTTCTCCCCTCACAATTGCCTTGTCACACTCTTTTAAGTCAATATAATTAGCTGTAACTTTCACTTCCTCTTTTTCTTTGATGCCAGGGGTGGAGGCATGTCTGCAGGCAGGCGAGTGGATGCCCGAAAATGAGCACGAAGCGGGAGAAGGCCCACAGCGAAGTCGCATCAACAGATGCAGCTTGGTAATTGAGACGCACACAAACAAACTCATCTAATAGATGATTATAGATTGTCTAGACTCTGTCTTGCCTTTCCAGACAGTGACGCATTGTTATTCTTCATCAGCATGGAGTAGCATGAAAAGTACTTCCTTTCATTCTTTCCTTGGATTTTTGAAAGTCCAATTTGTTTTTTTCTTTTAATCGCACCAAAAGAAAAGACTTAAAATGTTTCAGATCTGATCATATTAGGTTAACTATAGACATAACTTGTAATAATAGTAGATAGAAACATTAGCATTCAACCCTTTGCCATAACACAAATATTATTACATTACATTTCATTTAGCTGACGCTTTTATCCAAAGCGACTTACAATTACAGGGACATTCTCCCTGGAGTAACTAAGGGCTAAGTGCCTTACTCAAGGGCACTCTAGTGTTGGTGTTCCCGGCGGGATTTGAACTCACAACCTTCGGATCTTCAGCCCACCTCACTATCCATTAGACCACCACTATCCCCCAAAATATACCTTTGATCAGCGTTTTTCAGAAAAATGGACACAAACTCGTGCAGGATGACAAACATGAAAGTACCAATTAGGGAAGGCAGGGTTAGACGATATCAAAGGCTGTTTTTGGTGTTAAATAAATACCATACACCAGCAGAAACACACTAACCCCAGCTCAAAGCCCCGTGTTAAAGGATGATGCAGTGGGGAAGCTTCTTTGCAAGAGGCCTTGTAAGGTTTATAAGGGTGGAGAGTAAACTTAATACAGCAAAAATACTAGCACAGTCCTGGAGGAAGCCTTGTTGCTGTGAGAGAGAGCTGTAATTTGGGAGAGGATTTATTTCCCAGAGCAGCAACTACTCCAAACAAAGTCAAGGCTATACTGGAGAGCCTACCAAATATCAACGACATTAATGTCCCGCTGTGGGCGAGTCAGAGTCCTGACCTCAGTGCAGCTTCCTTCCGAGCCCTATGCAACTTGACAGAGCTTTTGTCATTTTAGAAAGAACAGGGACACACTGCCTCTTCTAGATGGCAAAGCGTATACAGACACCCTCAAGGCTGACATAAGAGGCTACAGATGCCTCTACTTAATATGGGAAGTTCTGAATACCTAGCTGTCAATCACTTTGTTTTGTTTTAATACCAAGTATAGCTAGTTTAGATAATTTAGAAATTGATTACAGTTGCACATTCTTTTTAATGTCAAACTCCTATTACATCCATCTTGATTCAATGTAGTAAAATAATTAAATATGAGAAAGTCAGATGGTAGTAACTTCTAATAGACATTGTCTGTATATATTAAATTGTAAGAGATATATATTTTTAAGGATTGGCACTTGTGTAGTCTATACAGGGCTTGTTATATTGATGATTGTGCAGTCAGGCATGGTTATAAACACATACTCTAGTAGATCTAGGCTGTCCGTATTGTCAGATTCCCTTTCCGTCTGACTTGCGAATTTAACATTTCCATTCTAGTAAAAACCAATATCATCAATCACAATCATAAATTAAAGTAAAAGTGAAACCCAACCAAAATGTAGTCAAATATTGTTCTCACTAGAAACTCTTGAGGGAGCCGGTTTACTCTCCAAAAACAGTCGAGTTCATTGGTGCAGAGAACAGAAGAGTCTCCAGTGGCCTAATTCACTGCTGCTTTAAACACCAATGCTAAATGGTTCTGAGTTCTGCCTGGAGAACGGTGCTGATAAATGGTCTCCTGGCTCTTCTGCAAAGAAGTAAATACAAAGCCTCCACACAGACACTTAGAAATATGAGAGCCCTAGATGTATTGGCAAAGAAATTATTCAGAGTTTAACTCAGTCATGGACAAAAGGAGAGACTTTAATCCTTGTGCCACTGTTCTTCCAAGAACTGAGGTTTTTATTCTGCTGTTGGCTGGAGTGTCTAACATGTTTTCTTTATAAAGAAGATAATGTTGTTTTTTAGATTTTAAAGGTCACCTATTATGCAAAATCCACTTTTTCCTGTCTTTTATACATCAACATGTGTCCCCTCTGTGTAAAGAGATTCTGAAAGTTTCAGGAAAAAACATTCCCTCTCTTTTTGTCCTGATCCATTTATATAAAAACCTGTCTGAAAATGAGCTGATCAGATTTTGGCCACTTTATGATGTCATAACGATTTTTTGGCTTGTGTAACCATTAGCTAATAACCAACCAAGGTAACACCCCCCTCCTTATCGCCTGAATCTCCTCCTAGAGCACCATTGTGTTCTTTTTAACCAAATATCTCTCAGAGGGGCGTGGGGAGTGGCTCCTTATTTTCATCTAAAGTAACAGACAGAGAATCAGCACTTTTGAAACAGGGCTGAAACAGAGGGGATTATGGGATGCTACAATGCACGATCTGTTTGGTATTTCGAGCCAAACACTTCAGAGACATGCTTTGTATATATCTGAGACCCATAATATATTGATGAAAAACACTATAATAGGGGACCTTTAATAAAAGCCCCTACTAATGCTTGAATTAATATTTTGTAGCTCCCACCGCTCTTCGACGGCTGTTTCTTCTTCCTCCTTGGCTCGTTCAAGGCGCCGTCCAAAGACGTGCTCACCAAGCTGCTCAGGGAGGGGGGGGGTCAGCTCCTGATCCGGCAGCCTAAGCCCGACAGCGACGTGACGCAGACCCTGAGCGCTGCGGCCTACCACGCTCTGCCGGGCTCCGACCAGGCCCTCTGCACCCAGTACATCATCTTTGACCGCCAGGGCCCCCACAAGCCACCAGTGGTGAGGAGGGGCAAGGTGTGGTCCGCTCCCTCCAACTGGATCATCGACTGCATCGCTGCCTTCCGACTCCTCCCCGTGTCTGACTCTCAAACATCGGTTTAAACAGGTTTTCATATATTCAATAACAATGTAGCACTTTTATGACGTGTCCTTAAGCATGGTCATCATGTTCTCTCTTAGTTTTTTTGATATGCAATGATTAAGTTGACAGTTATCACCAAAACAATAAAGTTGCTTAAAATAAAAAAAGTGCCTATGTGCCCAATTTGCTGTTTATTCATTTTTCGCGGGAGAAATATGTCTCCTACATATGATGCACACTATATACAAGTGCTTATACTCTGCTGTTTTTACATGCCTGGAAAAAGAACCTTCACCTGGAAGCTTGCAGTACCAATCCCTATCAGATGCCCTGAAACACCTTAACTGACTTCCTGCATCGTGAAGAAGCAGAAACATTACATCGGATCAATCCAGATGTTCAGACTCCTCGCTCTTTCTAAAGGTGAGCACAGCCGCACTGTGAAGGAAACTCACTTCAGCTGCTTGTGTCCTCACTCTGATTCCTCAGGTTATTACCCCGAGCTCTTGGCCATAGATGAAGTAGATCTACTGGTAAATTGCTCCCTCTTCACCACCACACCAACAATTCCTGCATCGCTGTTGGTCCTTCTCCACTATCACTTGCACATGTATGCAGTTTTATCTGTTGTGTGTGTGTGTGTCGCACTCAAATCAATGTCTAGCCTGCCGCTGTATTTACTGTGTGGTTTTAGAGTGTGATTGCATTCCATAATCTGCACTAGTTTACCACACAAGGATAAATATCTAATTGATAATGCGTGTTTGATACAAATGCAGTGAGTAGGTCCATGAAAAGATCAACAAAAAAGTGTATAGTAGGAAAAACAAAGCAATTAAAGTTCCGTCACAGCATTGGCACTTGCTGTGTCCACCTACATTGTGTGTGTGTGTGTGTGTGTGTGTGTGTACGTTCCCCACTGACAACACTGGCCTGAAGGTATGTGTGCTTTAAGAGGTCTCCTACTGGCCATCTCCCAAGATGCCATTTTCAATGGGATTAGTCTGGGATGCGCCTAATTGCTATTGATTGCGATGTGCTGCATAAAATTGCTTTCCTTTCCTTGTCCACGGCGGGAGGTGCTGGAAGGCAATTAGTAGTGCGGACGAGATAGAAGCCCAGTCGGACTTGTAATGAAATGGAAGCAGGAATGAACCTGTGAGTAATGCCCTCGAACGCACTGAGCATTTCACAAGCATTAAGCACTGGTATTTTATATTTTGTCCTTCTCACATAGCCCCAGGAAAATACTGCACCTTTTTATTTATCCTGCAATGTTTAGCGTCGGAAAAATGACCCGGAGTTTGGCTGTGTCGTGGGTAAACACATTGTTTCTTGTTTGTTGCATCTTGTGTTTGTGCAGAACATAATACGGTTCATTCAAGTGCCGAGCAAATCTGTTCTTTTGGCAGACTTATATTACACATTTTCCCTTAGTTGTTAATCTTGTGCTTTCATCTTGAATTGTGTCCAGAAGCATCAGCATGTTTACAAAAAAAGAAATCCACACTCACTTTTGCTGAATAACACTTCTTTTCATGTCTATTTAATAAAATAGTTTTTGCCTCAATGAATAATACACATTTTTCACATTTCTTACGTCTTTTTTTTTTTTTAACTCCACCTCAGAATTCAGAATACACATTATACGTTTTAAAGATATTTACATATGAACAACATGGGGACACCAAGGGTTCTTTAACTTTTAAAAATGTGGTTTTGTTTCTTGTACAGCGTGAACCTGCAAGCATGTGGTCATTTACAATCAAAGATGCTGTTAATTTTAAACATAAATCTTAATGTCCTTATAGAAATGATACTATCCCACCTTTGAATGAACAGACCCTTGGTGCCCCCAAATCTACAATTGATTGTATAATAACAGTGTTTCTCTCTTCGTTTCCACATAGTACTGTGTTGGTTTTCAGGCACACTTTATGTAACAGTTTTGTTGCTAAAAAAACAAACACAAAACGACCAGAAAAAAAAATCAATCATGGTTTCCAGCTACAGTTAGTCGGTGTCTCATGGAAAGAGCGGATGGTGTACCGATTACAAAACGCCCATGTACAAGCCTGCAGTGTGAACAATGAGACAATGGGGGGGGGGGGAGGTTGGAATAGACATTTACAGACGGACATAAAGACTCAAAGTTTCCTGGCAGAAAAACAAATGGCAGACTGCTGTCCTTGAAACTGCAGCTTCACATTTGCAATAAGAAATGTAATGTCCCTAGGTTTGCCCGGGCAGAGCCTCTCTGAAATGCCTTTTTTTGTATTGTGTCCTCAAATGCAGCCCATTTCAAACGACACACACAAGAATCTACTGTATGTTAATCCACACGGATCCTAAACGCTCTTCTTTAGTTGTAAATGAGAGCTTTAAAAAGTAATTTCCATGACAACTGTTTATGCTCAACCATTTTACAGTGCAGAGCGACATATGCACCAGTACAGTCTGCTGGGGTGAAAACATATTCATTACAGTTTTCTTCATCTATTCTGTCTGTTTTGAATATATGAATTGCTTTTTGATTGGATTTTTATGATTTTTTGCTTTCCACAAGCAGACTAAATCACAACTCTTGGAGGAACAATTGCATTATCTTTTTATTGATGCTTTGACCTTCACCCTCTACTCTCATACCTTCACACCTTGTTGACAGCTTGCAAATGAATGAGAAGAGCAGTAATGGAATCCCTAGTCAGAAGGAAATTAAATCACAACAATAAAACTCTGAAAAATTTGAAGCAAGTCGCCTCGATACTTCTATCGGCCATTTTTCCTTCTTCTACACTTACTTAAACCACAAACAGTGTATTTCCCAATCTATCTGTTAATTATGATCAGATTTTTCACCCGTTATTGAATAAATGTCCTAGCACTTGTACCCCCAATACTCCTGCTAATTCACCCCTTCTGGCAGTTACAGGAATTTCAAATAGTAAAACAATAACTCGTTTTGGGCATTACATAACTTTACACCGCAAACAAAGCAGTGCTTAAATCAGCCCGAGCTGTTCATACTGTATAAAGCCAAAGGCCATGCTAAGTAAATCTTATCTGGAATAGTAATAAGGCATCGGTGGTGGCAGCCATGCCTCTGAGCCCTGGAACACTCACTCTGCTCTTTGCTACCCAGTAAAGTTATTCCAATATATTTGTGGACACATGTGCAGGCTGAATAATAACTTGGCATCTAAAGTAATTAAGAATAATGACGCTCTTTTATTAATTTGAAAATGTCTGGATCACTGACGCTGTGATTGATAAACTGTAGATGTCAGTTTAGTTTTATGAGTCTGCGGACCTCAATCCAGATAGATGAGGCGTGTCTTTTCATATTAAGAGACACTAAATCACTGTAGCTTAAGGCCCCTAGCCTTGTTGTTGCACCTTATATTGAAATGCACCCACGCTTCTTTCCTTTCTTTCCTCCAACAACCATGTGCCGCAGACTTAGACTATGCTGCACACTGTGATATTCTTTTAAAATGAGTTTTAGTGCCTTTTAGGTAATGTACCTCTTTAGTCATTGGGCTGTATCCTATGTTCATTTCTGGCTCATTACAGAGTGCTGCGAGCTGCTATTAGGCAACCCATCCATCACCACCCTGGAATAGTGTCTAAAAGGTTAAAAGGAACGGATTTTCTGGAAATGCTTGATGAATGGCACGAGTTTACTGGAATTCACCTTTGAATTAATGACTATTGTTTATCATTTCCCTTTAATTGGGTGTTTTTCTTTCACCACTTAAGGACCACTCTGGTCTGGAAAATATCAAGGCAATACATTAGCTTGTCTGTTATGGTATAGCCACATCGGGAGAGCTATTCTAACACATGGGGAACGGGCTGGAACTGAAAATCTATTACAAATTGTACAGCAGCGGGATTCTGTTAGAGATTTGTATCTTACCAAACCTTATGTTCTTCACTGGGTGCAGATCAACGCACTGTGGCTTTGAGATTGCCGATGAATGGTGTGATTGTGTATGCTCTCATGGACAATGTGCATGTGAATGCTGCCTAAAAAGCATTTAGACAAATGCAGATGTCCTCTTTTTGTCTGCTGGTTCTGGAGTGGGCCCAGCATGCAGGCTGCGGCAGCGCCAAGCACCCAGCTGGATGATTTATCACAGAATACTCCTTGATTAAAGGAAATTAAAGCAGGCTGCTTTTCGCTCGCTAATTGCTTTGATAACAAGTTCAAGCAGTTAGTTAGCGGGAATATTTTTGAGAATATGGACCTCTGAGAGAAAACAATAACGACAATTAAGCCAGCAGAGGCTGCCCAGACTTGTTGTTGTGATGCAGAGTTTTACATCTGCTCATAGTTACTCTCTACCAACTTTCCTTTCTTTCCATCTTCCCCTGGCTGTGCTGCTTCTATACAGAGACATGATTCAAAACCATATGCACAAAAATCAGTGTTCTGGGGTTTTACAGCAGTTTATAAAATTGACAGTAGCATCATCTAAGTGTTAGAGGTGAGTTCCTGCCATAGTGATACAAAGTCTTATGAAGACACAAACATTAATGTGTGATGTGCATCTTGTAAACAAGCTCTTAGAGTGAAGTTGTGAAACACCTATGCAGTGCTTTTACCGGTGTTGATGCTTGTATGACAAAAACAGAAAAAGCGCTGTTAAGTGTGCTTACGGTTTGTTTTGCCTGCTGTTGGAATATTACAACACCTGCGTGATTGTGACAGACAAGTACAACAAGCAGATGGCATACATACAGAAATCCACATGAGCAATTCAACATTGCCAATGGTTAGGAAAAAGTTCAAAGAGCTTAGAAACTTTTTTGTGTTAGAGCAGCAAGTCAACATCTGAAAATATATATATAGGACGATTCAAACCGGAGGGTGGAAACAGCCTTGAGACAAGTTCCGTCTTCTTCTCGGTGTCAACAATTGTGTTTGTGTGAAGCTTGTGAGCGCATCTCTTCGATGCTATGCTGTCTCAGGTTGCTTAGGAATTGTGCTCCTGCCCTGTCAATCATACAAAATGGTGCAGTAGGCAGTGCCTTGCCTGAGCTTTTCCACCATCCCCGGTGGAGTCTCTCTATGACAACGTCTGGCCGTTGAGGCACTCCCTCCGCAGGCATTGAGCCGGCTTCCACCAGTCTCCGTTGTGGCAGCGGCAGATGGTGCAGTCGTCCACCTTCACTTCAATTCCGGCTGGGATGATCGTCGTTCCAGCAAAGCAATTTGGACCTGCCGCATGGGAAGGGAGGAAAGGAGGGGGGGGGGGAGAGAGAGAGAGAGACAGGAGTGAGAACGACAAGAAATGGATGTGGTTCTCCTGAGGGCTTCTCCTTTTCTGAGGTGTGGTGGAGTGATGCGGAGACCTGCGGGGAGTTAAAGGAGTCAGAGCAGACGTACAGATCTTTTCACGGGCATGCACCGATGGGCTTGTTTTTGCAACACTAAAGCGCTTTTGTTAGTCTCCCCTTCTCCCTCGACATGGAGCGCTTTGCATCCTAATGCGCTGCAAGAGGAGAAGCCTGCCAGGAGCTGGCTTGGCAGCACAGAGAGGCTGGAGTACAGGGAGTGAGAGACGGAGCCAAAGAGGGAGAGAGAGAGAGAGAGCGCTGCTTTGAGAGGCAGGATGGTGTTAATCACTTCAGTCTGTATGAAAAGGCCACAGAACTCCTTAGCAATTCCTTACATGATTTCTCCCCACACTCCTTCTGTGCTGACTTCTAAAACAATAAAGAACTCAGATACATTTTGACATCTAATTGATCCGTAACACACTGTAGGATTTGCTTGTGCGGATCCTTTCTGTTGATATCTTTCATTCTAAAAGGTGTTTGACTGTACCACTGGAACGCCTCATACCCATGTATCTGATCATTTCCGTAGATATTGAGACAGATTTTGCCTGGGTACATTTTAAGATCTGTACTCGAGGAAGCCATAAACACTGTAGCATTTGTGGAAATGCATTTATTATTGGTAAATACCACATTAAATTATTAAATCTAAGTTGTCTCACCCCTTTACTTTTTGAGACAGCACGGCAGAGGGAGAATGTGCTATGAATTTTTCCCGATTTTAATCATTTAGATGAAGCAATAAACAGCTCAATTGGTGTGACGGTGACTTTGGAATGCTCTCAGCATTCGGCACTGGAAAATCTGCTAGACCCAAGACTCCACGAGTAGTCATAAAAAACTCATGTCTCATAACTCTTGAAGACAAAGTAGCTTTCACGGCAAACTTTTATGGACATCTTTGTGTACTAGCTAATTTGATATAGTACAGGCAAATTCAATGGTGGCATTGTAAGTGTGTAACTGTATGGTTAGTTGATCTGAAGAGCCGAGTTACACAGGGTACATTTGGGGACACGGGCCAGATGTGTAAAAATCTGCACAATTACTCAACTTGAGCACACAACATAGGATCGTTTCATGGAGGACATTATGACATGTCGCAGTAGGGGAGGCCCATGTATAATTATCGAAATGAATAATGGTTGTATTCCATTCATCTGCTTTGATTTCAGGGTCCTGGTATTGTGTTCGCTCACTGTCACACCTTCACAGATAACTGAGCCATTGTCGATGTTATAGTAACTATGATTTTCAAACTATACACTGTATAATAGCCCTATTACTGTTTTCTGTGGTGATAATGAGGCAACTCAAAGCACACATTCAGGTAATGTAAAGACCATGGTCTTAGATAAATATTGAAAGTCACACGGACAAGTCAAATATATATATATATAAGCAGTGGCATGACTTTTAATGTACTAATTTCCTAAAACAGAGGGGAAATAATCCTTCAGATTCTTTAAAAATAAAAGTAGCAGTACCAAACTGTGAACATACTCCACTAAATGGCTGTTATGGTGTACTGTATGTTGCATGTTACTAGTTTCATTACTTAAAGGTAGGGTAGGTAAGAATGGAGAAACCAGCTCGAGTGCGCTAGAATTTGAAACTACGCAGCTGAAAAAAATGTGCCCCTTCCTTCAGATTTCCTTACGGAGCCCCTCCTCCAACACACACTGACCAATGAGGGCGCGAGATAAGTTTGTGCACAGATGGAAGGCTGACAGGCAGGTAGGCCATCCAGTTATTTTAGCCGGGCCGGCTAAAATAATTGGTCTTGCTTTTTACAGCGCCACGGCTTCCACAGATGACATTTTTGCAGTGGCGAACCGTGTCTATCACAACTGGACCTTCTGTAGACACACACACCCCCCACACACACACCCCCTCCCCCGGCGTTATAATGTCCGTCTTTTCACTGAATTGTCGTCTTGAAAAGGGTACTCGCAACAATTCCGCAACAACTTCATCTTCACCTGTTGCACTTGCCATTTCAACGTTAAAAACTATAAAACGGCATGAATTGCTTCGTCGGATTCATCCTCTGTCTCGAGCCAGTGAACTACCGGGCCTTCCCTGGAACCGAGGGAAACTCTGAAAGAATACGCCCATTGGCTACATATATATGATTGGTTGATCAAACTGTCAGTCCAAAGGTACGCTCTCATTCAGTGCAACGGCCAGGGCATTCTATCAAGGATATAGAATACCTTGGTTGAAGGATATTCTACCCAGAGACCCAGAACAAGATCTGATTGGTTGCTTTCTTTTCTAACACAAAACCACTGAAATGCGTAGTGCATGGTCCGAGAAGGACAAACAAATCAACGTAACACTGTTATATTACAGATCAACAACACAGATATGATTCTCATTTATTCATTTTATATACATTTTATTTATATAATTAAATCGATTTTTTGTTTGTTTTATCTGAGTGTTCCAGGGCATTCTCTGAATACCTTGAAGGCCCTGACGGTTCGCCACTGCATTTTTGTATGTATTTATTGTCAAAGCATTTAATGTATTCATTGCTATCGGGATGTTAAGAGCATTCCATGGAATATAACAAAAAGTGTTTCTGAAGTGAATGACCTACCCTACCTTTAAGTTGTTCAAGGTCAAGGTTCAAGGTTCTTTATTTGTCATACGAACATAGCTACAGAGTAGTTATGTCGATGAAAATCTTAGGTCACAGGCTTCTCCAACAGTGCAACACAATAATACAGATAAACAGAAAAATATAAGTAAATATTAAAAAGTAAATACAAAAATAGTTTAAAAAAAGTGAAATTGTGAAATAAGAGTGATATATTAAATAAATAGATAAATAATTACTAAGTAGCAGATGAATGTTATGGATGTTGTTTCAACAGTTCAGGTGTTTAACAGTCTTATTGCCTGTGGGATGAAACTGTCTCTGAATCCGGTGGTAACTCCCAATGTTTCACAAGCTTTTGGTTCAGATGTTTGTCGGCCTAGTTTTAATCTTCTGCAGTGTTTATGAGCGAAAACAAGCTTCAGGGGGGCAAAAACATCCATGTGACACCTGCAAAAGGAGGTGTTGGCTACCTAGTACCCCCAACCTTTGCCTTAGCACAGATGAGTCCCCTTCTCTATCCGGACCTGATAAAAGCTCTTTGATCTGAGCTTAGAGGAGACATTGTGAACGCTTGCCAGGTCTTAACTCTCATTGATCCGCCCCTGGACAGCTGGCACAGGTTACAGGACAAACTCAGTGGAGGTTGATGAGGGAAGAGGGTCACTGGTTCTGGCTGCCAAGTGTGATTGTTTATAGCCGGATAGACTTGGAGCCACAAGGACAGAGTTTCCGCTACCTGTCACTGTCCGAAGGACACACTGTCACCCGTCCGAGCCTGTGATCGATTCATGGCCAATAAAATGTGGTGAAGTCAGAAAATGTTTGTCCTGTGTCAAACTGTCCCTGCATATTATACTTTCCCTGACTGCAGCTTAAGGAGTGAATAAGCATTAAGGCTCATTACAGTCGATTTGGCTCAAATATAATCATAGCTATTGCCTAGAGGTGGGAAATGATTCTTTTCAAAACCACCTGCCAAAAACCTCTAATTCACACAAAAAATGCTGCGTGTCCATATAATATGTCAGTCTGAATGTGTTACCTCATTGCAGTCAGCTCTATGGCTCTGCTACTGCATGATACGTCTGTTAAAAATCCACAGTGACAGTTTCCAGAGAGATAAGCAGATCTATACATGGTTTAATCCTATCTTAGTGACAGAACGCTGGCCAATTCACTACTTCTCATTATAAATATCTTCATGAGAATTATATAATTACATGTATCCCCTGATAAATGTACAGTATAACTCCTGATAAATATTAGAGCTGAATCAGTCGGACTCAATGAACATGGTTCTGGGAGATAAGCCCTCCCCTGGCTGACTATTCCATTGTTCTGCTTTCTGCTTTCTGCTGCTGTTTTCAGGGTGAAGAGATGAGCTAAAAAGCCACATCCTATTAATGGAAAGTTTTAACAAAAGGGCGGCAGGCGACCAATGCAGAAGCATTGTTAGTCAAAAGACATCCGAATATCACGGCTGTAACCAGAACACATTTAGTTTAAATTGAATTATGGTAACTAATCTGGAAAAAAAGAAAGAACACATTTGTCCTCATTTCAACCCAAGTATTAAAACACATTTTACTTTCCAAATCAAAAACTAAATGATCAGTGTGGGTTTTTAACAACAATTCAATTTAACATTTCAGACCTAAGCAAACAGGCCACCCTTCGACGATTCTGATTGGTTTTGACATTTAAAGAAGCCAAAAATGTTCTTTAACTTTCTCAAAGTGAGTGGGTTGAGCTGAACAGTGCTAATGCAGAGTATAGATATTATTTCAGAACTTCCTATGCTGCAGTTTTTGTCTGCAGAAGCTACAGCCCCTTTAACCGCAACGCTGTCTAATGTAAGAAGTAACCAATCAGATCTCTGTATATTACGCTTCTTCAGCTCTGGAACTAGTGAGGCACATACCATTTTGTGATAATATCCCTAAATATATTATTTTGTGATTTCGACATGTGTCTCCAAAGGATTGTGTGAAGCTAAACACTTTCATACTTCACAAAAAAATAAGGAAAAAGATAACTGTCAACTAAAATAACATCATCTGCTTTTACTTATAGACTGTATACATATCTCTGGATTTTAGAGCTAATTGGTGAATGTTAACATGCTAAACCGAGAACTTGAACATAGCTACATATCCTAACATGATAGCCTTGTCGTGTTAGCAGGATCATGTTAGCATTTAGCTGAAACCCGTGCTGTGCTGTTAGCATTTTCAAATGAAAAAACACTTGTCACTGAAAATGAACACCTTTAACAAACATAATAAACTTGTAATAGGTGATTGTGTTGGTCTGGGGTTGGACACCAAAATCACTACACTCAAGTATGAACTGCTCCTAGTTTTGTCTAGGAGTCTTGTTGTTACCTTGTAAAGTAAAAAATGTTGGCTTTTTGAAAGAGTTGTGCTTATTTCACATATGTATTTGAAACCAACTGCTTGTAGCAGGTAAAGAAAAGACAACTCTCTTCCACTGATTGCATGTCTAACTGGAGCACACACGTGGATGTCTTCCTTTCACAGCCCCCTGTACCTTGGCAGGAAATGGGAGCTAAACAGCATTCTTCATTGTCCTCTCCCCAGAGCCCCTCAGCTTCCACAGAGATAACTGGCTGCCAGAGCCTGACCAGGCACCCTTTAGGGAGCCTGGAAACGGCAGGCCTACCCTGAAATGCCAAAGGTGTCACTGTGTCCTGTCAGCCTGGATTAGCTCTCTCCTAGCAGCTTCTGCAACCTTGTTAGTGTGGGTGTTTGTGTGTGCTCGTGTGTTAAAATAAAGGAAAGATGGCAAGGTGGATAAAGTGGAAATGAGAAAATAGTGTGAAAGAAAATCAGAGTGGTTGTGATGGAATAGCCATTTAGCTACCGCCTTAAACCAAATTCCTCCCATCACATTTATAGGTCAAGCGCTGCTTTAAAAAAATAAGGGGGAAAAAACATTTCAGTATATTTGTTTTGCCTATTTTCAGCAGGGTTACTCATACTTTTGCCTCAACATAATGAGAAAATGAAATACAATAACAAGGCACATAATCATGGGAGAACATGTATTTGTTTATCAGTTTCAGAAAACCCTTTTTTGGCTAGGTCTTTTAGCTCTTAAATGATCAAAAGCTCACATGAACTGTATAAAAGGACACAATAGGAATCCATGATTAAACATTGCAGCTTTGTGTTGTGTTGTGCATTTAGTATTACCCACAGGCACTATTTGTTGTTGAGCATTCCAGCCAGGATCACATTGCAGGCAAACAGTTACTGTACTTTAGTCATAAAGCTCCATCTATCCCTCAGGATTGGTGCTGGCAAAGGGAAATATCCTACTTCGCCTTGTAAATAGCCAATGAACCATTGGAATCCTATAATTCTAATTTAGGGATTGGCTGTGTGTGACAAGGGCGTCAGGGCACTGGGAGATAAAAGGCTCTCAGAGGACCCATTAGACCTTCCTACCGTGCCTTTAATCAATGGGCTAATGTTTACTCTGCTTAGTGTGTCATTTATAATTAAAACTAGTACTGCTCATTATTGTCCAACGGGCCCAAGGTAATCATTTTAATTCATAAAACATCAATTACATCCTGATCGTCTAAAGGCGCGACCATCAAATGGTGATACCACAGATAAACTTGCAAGTCATTGGTTTAATGAAAATGTAATGACTTCTGAGAAGTGTGTGTGGAATTCCAGAAGAGATGGGTATTTACCGTTTTTACAGATGGGGCAGCATTGCTCCGGCTCGTACACAGGGTTGACACACTCGGGGACGGCGCAGTCGGACACCACGCAGTGCACCTCATTATTTGGTTCGCAGCGGCACCATTCACAGGCCGACGGCTGTGGGCAGAAAGAGGTGAGGGGGGGATTTGGGTTAGATGAGTCAGAAGATCTTACCTTCGTCATGTGCATGCGCTACATGGTTACCAGGTCAGATGAACAGTCTGCTCCTCTGCTGTTATATCCCAATGAAGAGGATCTAATTATATGAACCTCATGAAGAAACAAGTTCATCAATTATTCACAACGCCCTTTTATTAGGCTTCTTGCATCTTACAAACAAGCGTGTAGCAGACTTTAAATGTTATCCCCAACTAATAAGGGAGTCTGTAAAGTAGTGTTCATGATATTTAGTATTTTGCTGCATTCTTCTGTGGAATGCCTCAGGAAACTGCATATCTTACCACCTCTGCAACATGTAAATCAGTGCTATGCAGCTCTCTGTGCGGCTCCCACTTACTTGACTCTATCTTTACAAAGTCTCTTGACCGGAAAATGAACTGTAATGCAATTACATGGAGTGGAAAAATACAAACTGTTTCCAACTCACGAAAGGTCAACTGCTCATCATCTAAAATGTCTGTTCTGCTCATCATAGTAAACAGACTTTTGATGGCATCTCTGCTCAGGATCTGCCAGTACTTTGTTCTGGGCTTAGAGGGTACAAATGTTTCATATCTAAGAACCATTTTGCAGTTTACATCCGATAAAATATTGTTGTTTTTTGGTAGACCAATGAGTGCAGGAACCAGAAAATAGTACAGATGATTCATACTAAACTGGGTGAGTTATTTGTTTGAAGTCCACACATTTATGTAATTTGCTGCAGTCAATATTCTAATGCTTGGCATTTCTTTGAATGACATTGAGATGACTACTATTATGCTTAGCTTTGGCGTGTTTAATATTCGTATAATCAGCATACCCTTTAAAGCCATAGATGTTTTTGGAGTCTATGCTTATTATCTCTCTGGGGGTTTACTTAGGAAAATGATACCATTGCCAAGTCTTGGTGCTAGTAAAACCAGTGAACGCTGCAGGAATTCAGTAGTACTAAACAAGAAATTGTCGAGCTTGTAAAGAGCAAACAAACAAGGTATAATGGTGGCATTAGTGAGCTTTACATGTAGGCAGATTGTGTGGGATGTAGCCAGGTTAACTGTTTTCCCCTGTTTTTCAGTATTTATGCTAAGTTGAGAGCCAATTTTCCTACCTTGGTTGGTTATTGGCTAATGGTTACCCAAGCCAAAAAATCGTTACGACATCATAAGGTGGCCAAAATCTGATCAGCTCATTTTCATTGTCAGGTTTTTATATAAATGGATCCGGACAAAAAGTGAGCGAATCTTTTTTACTGAAACTTTCAGAATGTCTTTACACAGAGGGGACACGTGTTTATGTATAAAAGTCATGAAAAAGTGGATTTTGCATAATAGGTCCTCTTTAAGTGGCACAACATGGGAAATAGCCAGTGTTTTTTTTGGGGGGGGGATTTCATGGCAGTCACACATTGAAAGTCGGCGGAGAGTAGGAAGGAAAAGCAATAAGAAAGGAAACAAATGCACAAATCCTTATTAGTGTGGCGTCTTAACCCAAAACTATTACTACTACTGTTTGTGGTGAATAAAATAACCAAGCATCAGAGCAGAGACTTTCACATTAATGTTTTTCCTCCTGTCATTCCATTTTCCCTCATTGAGTTAGAAAACATATGCATGTCTGAACTGTAATGTTGACTTCCTGAAATATCAGACAATGGTCAGATGGAATAAAATGTTAGGACAACTATCTCTCAGATATGATTATAAAAGGCAATACAAATACAAAAAAAAGCCTGTTCCAAGGCAATGAATAAGTGACAGAACAGTGACTGCATTTGTTTGGAAATGTCTGCAACTTATTAGTGTGCTCCTGGTATAAAATGTCTTGTTGTGTATCTTCGCTTTAAAATATTCACACTCTTAGTGATGTTAATGAAGATATATTTCATCTGCTCGTATATTGTGCCTGTTGCATATTTTAGAGCTGTTGCTCCCTGATGTAAAACACGCCTTTCCTTTCCTCGTGAAGCTGCACTGAAATAATAAAAGCTTCTAAGACATTTATAACTTCACTCTCCTCTCATTAGAAATTCCTCTCATATCTTACCAACACAAGTGCGTTCATGTAAATAAACCATTTCAAAAATATTTCCTTTCGAGTTAAACACCCCTCCAGTTATCTTCCCCTCTTTCAGTTCAAGCGCTCATACAGAAAAATACCAATTACATACACAGCAAGGTGTTGTCTCATACATATGGAAGGTTTTGCCAGCCTGACAGACTTTAAGTGTGGGGGCTGGAAGGTGAGATCTAGGGTCAGCTCTGCAGGATGTATGGGGCGGTGTCTGACACGTACAGTCTTGATTCAGGATGTCATGCTAAAGCTTTCTGATTCTCCAACAGGAATATTTGACTTTGTCTTGGCACCCGTCATTTAATATATAAGGCTCACTCATGAGCTTCCATCGTTGAGAGAAGATGATTCACCTTAACCCGGGGCAGCATATCAAATCCATTACACCTTGTTTTAAATTGACACTGCTAGCAGCAGAAACCCAGGTTCTGTCTGGAATATTTTAGGTGTAATAACAAATAAGTCTCATTAGGGAATTGAAGCAACAGCAGAAATAATGAGCTTTACACTGTGTTTTTATTACAGTCTTTAAATAGAGCTTCAAGACAGTTTAGTGAGTTTACATTCCCATGTTACGAGTTTGTACAATCCTGGTTAAGTGTTTTTGCATGCAAGCATCCTGTTTTTAAGAAAGCCAATATGCTAGTCATGAACACTATTCTCAGACTGACCTAAAGTCTGACCATAACATTAATAATATCCTTATTGTTCAGGCCCTCCTTTACAATTACAGACCTTTACTAATATAGACATGCTAGGCTAATGTAGACAAAAAGAGGGTGCTGTAGCAATCGTGCAATGGACCAAGCTGAAGACCCACTTAAGACTATAGGGTAGCTTCTTTTAAGCTTGCGATATGAGCTACTAGCAATTATGTTAAACATGGTTCTTGATAATAACAAGTAATGTTATAAATGGTTTGCAGCAACAGAGAAAGAGCTGAGGTAGTAAGCTAAGTGGCGAGTATTATTATAGAAAGATTGATTGATTTAATGGAAATGATTTCACAAGTATCACATATTTGCTCTTTTTATAAGTTGAAAGTAGGCCAGTAACTAACTGGACAAACAATATCTCAATCTACTTTCAAAACATAGAATATTATATCTGTTCTAAGTATTGGGAATGAGGTCTCATCTCTTTAGGTTATATCAACAGCCCCTCACAATTCCTGCGCACATTCCATGTTAAAAGAAAGAAGCCACCTTCTAGAAACCCTAGGGCGGAGGATAAACTGTTGCACTTTTGTCCTTTATTACTTCTGATAAGATGGAGAAACTAGAACCAGAATGCAGCAGTCATCGCAGCCAGAAACAGAAATGGGCTCATTCTCAAATGCTTAAGAGCTCAGACAGTATAGAAAGCTGGGTCTATATGGGGAAGGCAGACCCGCGCAGACATGAAGAAGCCTGGATATTACTGAAACAATATCTAAAAGGCTATGAATCAGATTAATGCTACTTTCTGTCTATTCACATGCCATTTCTTGAATATGATCAATTCCAGGATGCTAGTGCTAGTGAATGGGACTTTTAGGACAAAAGCAGCTACATAAGCAATCCACGCATGTAATAGTTCTTATATTTAAAAAAAGTAACAGCCTAACAAGATTACTCCCCCTAAAATAGCATTTACTTAGCAGGATGGTCAATTACATGTTAGTCTGAAGTATCTAATTATTGGTAAAAGCCCAGCACAATCACGTACTCCCTCTAGGAGTGGGACAATTAGTTAAGTGCATGGTAAGGATCCAGCTTACACCAGTTTCGATTAATTTTTGATCAGCTGCCAAAACATGGGGCAAGGAAATTACACTAAAACATAACAATGGAAACAATTAGACGTAGTTTCACTGGAGTCTGCATCTGGCACAGATACATTTTTCCTTTCAAGGCATATTACTATCTTTAGAGGATAGCGAGGGAGATGATTAGACATCATATAGTAGTCTTTAAAAATCTGCTAAACCTTTCATTTGTGTTTTTGTCTCGAATTGTGGCTGCTGGTAAGATTGTACGGATGAATTGGAATTAGACTCGACATGAGAGTTAACATATAATTCATGTGGTTTGAGGCGATGGAATCACTATTTTCTGAGCCAGAAACAACAAAACAGTGATTTGGATTAATTGTTTATGGCTCACATACATTTTTTATGTTGTCAGACTGATGAGAAATGGGCAGCTGGCTCTCTCGACTTGCATGCAATGTCGAGTGTCTTGATCTCAAGGTGCCACTTCCTCCATTTTGTATCACAGTGTTTGTTTTTGTAGTTGGTTAAACACATTTCTTATTTCTTCGTTTTGATGTGGTCTATACTTTATACTGAATTATTTATCCAGAATAACCTATATACACAATAGTTTAACCTGTTAAGTTTAGGGGCAAAAGTACACAATGTACCACTTAATTTACTATACTGCAATTTTCTACATTCTCAGACATCTTGAAAACATTTATTCTAAAGATACTCTTTAGTGAAAATCTTATATTGCGTTAATTACTCTAGTTTATTATTGTCTTAATACCAAAAAGGTCAAATATAAAGCATATTGTGAATGAATTACAATATTTCTGATTCATTTCTGGGACGTATACTGTGAGGAATCCAAAATGTAACTTAAATAGAAATACATAACAACAATAACACATTGAATTGTATCTATCATTGGAATATATTCATACTGCTTTTGCAACATCTGAATGCACAGGTATAGCTAATATTCACAACTGTATACCATTGGGTAGTTTTATCTACAAGGCATATTTTTCATTGAAGAGTATAACTAACAACTTAAATACTCAAGTAAAGTACAAGTAAAGGTTGTACTGTACGGTATTCGAGTAAATTATAAAAACAGATTGAAGTACTTTGGTTGCATAAT